AGAGGGCGCTTCGGAGCCAAACAGTCAATAGCCCTGGTTAACTCCACATTCCAGCCGGCCCCCCGGGAATCAGCTGAAAGGCCATCAACATGGGATAAAAACATCCTCTACCACTCTCTGGAAACCATTTGGATCCATTAAGTGGCGGGCCGGACCAGCTGAATCGGTCCCACCCTCCCTGCAGAGGGAAGGGTCGTGGAGAAGTCCAGTTGCACCAGGAAGTGATCTGACCATGGCACTTCTTTAGTTTCGCTTTTACTTAGTGTCAGATCACCAACATCCATAGAGGTGAACACCAGGTCTAAGGCATGACCGTGGCTATGAGTTGGGTCAGACTTATTCAGGGACAGCCCCATGGAGGCCATGCTTTCCACGAAGTCCCGAGCGGCCCCTTGTAAGGTCGTGTTGGCGTGGATGTTAAAATCCCCTAGGACAACCAAACTAGGTGTCTCCAGGAGATCATCCGCCACGACCTGAAGCAGCTCGGGCAGGGAATCCTTGGTGCAGCGGGGAGGTCGATACACCAAAAGGAATCCTGTTCTGTCCCTATTGCCCAACTTCCAGAACATGCACTCAGAGAACTGGGTCTTCCCAATAGGACGCCTGGTGCAAACTAATGACTTCCTAAAAATCACTGCAACCCCCCCTCCCTGCCCACAAGGCTGTGCGTAAGACAAACCTGGTGGACAAGCAGCGGCAAGGACAGGCCCATCTGCTTCATCCAACCAAGTCTCTGTTACACATGCCAGGTCAAGTCCCCCATCCATGATCAAGATATAAGAAAAAAACTGCTCCTTTTCCCTTATGGGGTATCCAAGAGCCCATATAAAGTCCTTTTGTAGGTTCTCTGTTGATAGGATAAAATAACAGAGACCAACCAGAGAATATTGAGAAGCAAAGCAGCTAGTAAGCCTGATCTTTTATTAACTGTTGCAACAGGGTGCTCCCCTCACATGCAGGAGAGAGGAAGAGGACCCCGAGCCATGCGTGCAAGCCCTTATATAGACATTTTAAATTGCCCGCCCTGGAGTCCAAGACCACCCCCAAAAACTTCATACATGCACCACAGAAGGGGTGTAGCCCAAGACCACCCCCAATACATCATACATACAGGGGCAGGCAAACTACAACAGAAATCTGAGTGCGTTGTTTTTTCTCCTGTCCGCTAGGTTACTTGATTGGATTACCTGGGCATCCTGGCCACTCTTTTGTTTTCCTGAATCGAGGTCACAGGCTCACCCTATTCACATCTTAACTGTGCCCTTGAGACAGGATTTGTGAGCAAAGAGACAGTGGGGAGGCTCTCCATTTCCTTCGATCTTGCAGAGAAATATTTGAGATCAATTTGGAAGAGACAAATGGTTTCAGGACTTTTTCTGTGGGTCTCAGACATGTGGTCTATACATTTTATGTATGTGCTTGCTTGGTACATTTATGAACATTTAATATACAGTGGTACCTCGGATTACATATGCTTCAGGTTACATACACTTCAGGTTACAGACTCTGCTAACCCAGAAATAGTGCTTCGGGTTAAGAACTTTGCTTCAGGATGAGAACAGAAATCGTGCTCTGGCGGCGCGGTGGCAGTGGGAGGCCCCATTAGCTAAAGTGGTGCTTCAGGTTAAGAACAGTTTCAGATTAAGAACGGACCTCCGGAACGAATTAAGTACTTAACCCGGGGTACCACTGTGTGTGTGTCTCCTGAGAAATCTCTATGTGGAACAAGAAGCTACAGTTAGAACTGGATATGGAACAACTGACTGGTTCAAAATTGGGAAAGGAGTACGACAAGGCTGTATATTGTCTCCCTGCTTATTTAACTTATATGCAGAATTCATCATGCGAAAGGCTGGGCTGGATGAATCCCTAGCCGGAATTAAGATTGCCGGGAGAAATCTCAGCAACCTCAGATATGCAGATGACACAACATTGATGGCAGAAAGTAAGGAGAAATTAAAGAACCTTTTAATGAGGGTGAAAGAGGAGAGCGCAAAATATGGTTTGAAGCTCAACATCAAAAAAGATCATGGCCACTGGTCCCATCACCTGGCAAATAGAAGGGGAAGAAATGGAGGCAGTGAGAGATTTTACTTTCTTGGGCTCCATGATCACTGCAGATGGTGACAGCAGCCATGAAATTAAAAGACGCCTGCTTCTTGGGAGAAAAGCAATGACAAACCTAGACAGCATCTTAAAAGCAGAGACATCACCTTGCCAACAAAGGTCCGTATAGTAAAAGCTATGGTTTTCCCAGTAGTGATGTATGGAAGTGAGAGCTGGATCATAAAGAAGGCTGATCGCCGAAGAATTGATGCTTTTGAATTATGGTGCTGGAGGAGACCCTTGAAAGTCCCATGGACTGCAAGAAGATCAAACCTCTCCATTCTTAAGGAAATCAGCCCTGAGTACTCACTGGAAGGACAGATCCTGAAGCTGAGACTCCAATAACTTGGCCACCTCATGAGAAGAGAAGACTCCCTGGAAAAGACCCTGATGTTGGGAAAGATGGAGGGCACAAGGAGAAGGGGACGACAGAGGACGAGATGGTTGGATACTGTTCTCGAAGCTACCAGCATGAGTTTGACCAAAATGTGGGAGGCAGTGGAAGACAGGAGGGCCTGGCGTGCTCTGGTCCATTACTCTTACGTTACTCTTGTGTCCCCTGATGTCGCTGGATTGCAACCCCCATCAGTCCCAGCAGACATGGCCAACAGTCAGGGCTGATGAGAATCCAGGCAGTAGCTGTGGAACCCAAGACTGAAGAGCACTATGCTGACTTACTAGGGTGGGGACTACAATTCAAATGCAACAGAAACTTAAGGCAATTTGATGCCTTGCAAGATGTTCTGACTACAATTCCTATCATCCCCTGACCATTGGCTATGTAGGGTGAGTGTCCTGATCCAAAGGAGGCCCTGTACGAGTGGTTTGATGGTCAAGGATGCTGAAACACCAGCCTGGTCAAGTCACAGTGCTTCATTATAAGAAAGGGCAAATTTACAAATGCCTGCAGAGTCTTGCTGCCTTGACTCAGGGCAAAAAACAAGAGAGCAAGTGTTCATCATGACTGTCTGCACCCAGGCAAGCATTTTTTTTTTTATTGCTTACACAAAAAACATTGCATTCCAGCCGGCCAATTAAGGCCACCTGTCTGTGAAGACCTAGGTAGCAGGCCTCCAAGCTGAACTTATAACTCCCCTCCCTAGCCAAGTGTCCCAAGCCAAGAGATAAGCATAGCATCAAAGCAAACCAATAAGCATAAATCAAAGCAAGTGGATAAACGTATGCGAGCTCATTCTTGCAGTGAATAACAATTAGTCCAACATGGTGTTCACAGGCCTTCCATGACATTTTAAATTGTTTGGTTCTACACACTGAGGCCAAAGGGAGAAGTCTAACAATATGAGGAGAGTATGTTGAACCCCAAGTGAACTGTTCTGGAAGCTCTGCACATATAACCTTGGTAGTCAAGATGACCCCACAATTAATTGGTAGTTATAGCACTGAGCTCGAATGTTTGTATTAACTTGCTTTGATATAAGCTAATTGGTTTTCTTGGTGTTATCCTTAATTGTGGGCTTAGAATGCTGGGCTTTGAGCCCAGGAATAGGAACTATTTGTAAGATTTGGCTATTTACCACCTGTGCCCTCATCTAATCAGATGAAGTGAAGGGAAGTGCTGGCCTAAGTGACTTAAGCTGCTTTGTGTATAAAGAATGCATGAATGTTTGCTTGGGCTCGGACAAGCCATCTCTTCCTGTGGTGCCCATCACACGTCTATAAAGGCTGTAAGACTTGGCAGGTTGATTTGCTGCAGGTTTACAACTTTCTTTTAATAAAGCATCTAGTGGTATCCCTGCACCCATACACTCCCATGAGCCCTCCTTTGGTCAACGGTTCAGAGCAGAGGTGATGGGCTTCAGAGATAACAAAAGGAGATTCATGGCCTTACTGTGAAGCTGCATGTGTGAACAAGAAAGCCATAAAACTTGCCCAAGAGGCAACTGATGTGCCCAGGAGGCAGCAAAGCCCACACCAATTGCTGTTAACCCTGCTTGGCTTAAGCCAGGGGTCAGCAAACTTTTTCAGCAGGGGGCCGGTTCACTTTCCCTCAGAGCTTGTGGGGGGCTGGACTATTTTTTTGGGGGGGGGGAATGAACAAATTCTTTTGCCCCACAAATAACCCAGAGATGCATTTTAAATAAAAGGGCACATTCTATTCATGTAAAAACACGCTGATTCCTGGCCCGTCCATGGGCCGGATTTAGAAGGCGATTGGGCTGGATCCGGCTCCTGGGCCTTAGTTTGCCTAACCATGGCTTAAGCTATAAGGCAGGCATGAGGAATCTTTGGTGCACCTGAACTACAACTCATATCATCCCTGGCCAATGGCCAGATGTTTGCTAGGACTGGTGGGAGTTGCAGTTCAGCAACATCTGGCGGGTCTGACTAACTTTTACATGGATGCTAATAGACCTAGCCAACATGATGCCCCCAGATGTGTGAACCAAAGTAAAAGGAACCATCACCATTATGAACTCAGGGTCTCAAACACTTTTAGGCAGAATAAAGGATGCTTGATGCTGGCTGAGAAGCAGGAACCTGTGACAGTCAGAAAATCCATATTTATTTTCTGGTACAGGGACCCACTTTTTAAACTGCTAAAGGGGCTCTCCTTTGTTTTCAAGTATTTGTCTTGCTTATCTGATGTTATTTCGGGTGTTTAAATGCAGCCATATGGTTGCGTGGGTTTCCCCTTGCTAATCTGCTGCAGCTACAGAAGCTCTTTTAGTGAGAAAGTTGTTGCAATTGTGTGCGTTGTTTTCTTTTAGCCATTCTTGAACTTTGCATCATCAAGGTGACCAAAGCAATTTCTGTTTTAAAACTTGTCCTAAACTCCACCTACTCAAAAATCTTGCCCAAGAAGGAGACAGTGGCAACTGGACAGATGTTTCTGAATCCAGGGAGGGTTTCTTGAGGAGTGCTCTATTTTACCTCTTTTTTAAAATAATTTTTATTAAGTACAAATTAGAAAACATATATATTTACAACAAAAGAAAATACAAAGGAAAAAGAAAATACATATAACCAAGGAAAAAAATTTAGAGAATACTTTGCCTGTTTTACCTCTTAGATAAGCAAGGAGGAGTCTGTACTTTAGTGGGAACTGAATGTTGCACCTTTATATCAGACCAAACAATAAATGTCACTGGTCACCAAAATAATATACACCTTCCCCAAAATAACCTAGCAGAGATACGAGCATGAACGTATCTTGGATTGGAATTTCTGGGGGTAGCTTCCTGGACCCCAGTGGATTCAAAGCCTCTCCCATAATTCTTTTGATGGACAATGTGTCTGTTGCTCCTTCAAATACAAAGTAGTAATAAAATATTAAGTACAATCCTCCAAAATTAAATAAAGCTTTATTTATCTTTTTATAAACAGTGAAGAAAAAAAATTTATATTCTTTCTTTTTATCAGTGGAATTACTGTCTGTTATGAACTCAGAGAGTTCTGCTGGCTCTTAGCATTGGAAGCTCCAGGTCCTAATTCTCCTGATCATCGTCCGAATCATCATCAGAGATATAGTCGCTGTCATGAAAGACGTCGCTGAACTTGAAAACTCTTTTCCAGCTGTGGTCTTCAGCTTGCTGGGGCTCCACAGTTATATTCTTTCTTGCCATTAGCTCTGCCTGTTGTTTCTTTAACATTGGAAGTGTCACTTCATACAGATGAGTCATGATTTCTTAAAAAGACACAAACAAATACGAAATCTCAATGAGCCACAATGAATATGTACTCCTTCCACTGCTGGAAGCAACATGCCTCTGAATGCCAGTTGCTGGGAATCACAGGCGGGCGGGGGGGGCGGGCGGGGAGCGCTGCTTGCATGGTTCCCATAATTAATGGGCATCTGGTTGGCCAATGTGAGATTAGGAAGCTGGGCAGATGGACCTTTGGCCTGATTCTGCAGGGCTCTTATTATGCTCTGATCTTGCTGGATTTTCAATAGTTGGTTTGCCCTGCCTCCTTGAACCCACAGAACAAGGTAATACTAACTGATAGATTGGTAAGGGTCAAGAACCTTATCAAGAAGCCAAAACTAGCATCTCTTATGGAGCACTGTTGGTTGCAGATGGTGGCAAGGTTGCGCAGTTGTAAAGGGGCCCCACACTGCTCCAACTGCCTTGCCATTTTCAATTCAGGTGGAACATCCAAGGAATCAAAGAGAGATAGAATGAAAGAGTTCCTTGTTCACCTTCTACAACTTTGGAATCTGCCTTGTCCTGAGTGATACTGATATAAAAATTAAGAGAACCAAGGTGTATATTTTTTATTTTAATAATTCTTCAATGTTTTGCTTTTAATTGCATGAAGGGAAAGGCTTGCTTTCTGTGCAAGGATCTTGAGGGCCTGCATTTTACAACTGTATGCTCTCTAGGCTGTAAACAAAAAACCCTGAAAATGGCACAAATGGCCCTCCAGGATGTCTATCATGAGTCAGCATCAGAGAGCTAATCAGAAATCCTTGAGGCTTCCTGAGAGGCTCAGGGACTAATAATAATAATAATTTTTATTTATACCCTGCCCTCCCCAGCCAAGGCCGGGCTCAGGGCGGCTAACAAGCAATAATAAAAACAAGTTGAATGAATACAACTTAAAAACAAGATTAAAATACTAAAACATTGAAATATTAAAATGCAGCCTCTCACAGGAGCAGAAAGGAAAAAGAAAAAAGAAAGAGGGGGAGGGAATCAAATTGGCTCCAAGCCAAAGGCCAGGTGGAACAACTCTGTCTTACAGGCCCTGCGGAAAGAAATCAGATCCTGCAGGGCCCTGGTCTCATGAGGCAGAGCGTTCCACCAGGCCGGAGCCAGAGTTGAAAAGGCCCTGGCTCTGGTTGAAGCCAATCTAACTTCCTTAGGGCCTGGGACCACTAGGGTGTTGCTATTTATGGACCTTAAGGTCCTCCGTGGGGCATACCGGGAGAGGCGGTCCCGTAGGTACGAGGGTCCTAGGCCGTGAAGGGCTTTAAAGGTCAAAAGCAGCACCTCAAATCTGACCCTGTACTCCACCAGGAGCCAGTGCAGCTGGAAAAGCACTGGGTGAATATGCTCCCATGGCAGGGACCCTGTGAGGAGCCTCGCTGCAGCATTCTGCACCCTCTGGAGTTTCTGGGTCAGCTTCAAGGGCAGCCGTGCGTAGAGCGAATTACAGTAGTCAAGCCTGGAGGTGACCGTCGCATGGATCACTGTGGCCAGGTCGGGGCGGGAATGGAATGGAATGGAAGAGGTAAGGGAGTGAGATAAGAGAGAGGAATGTCAATAAGCTCTGTTCACAGGCTTGGCTACCAGGGCAACATATGACACCCAATACCTAAAATGGTCAAATGGCATAGGTATATTTGGGGTGCTCTAAGGTGATTGTGGGGATACCAATATGGAGCCATGCGTGTTTTACTTCTCATGACCTATAAGCTTTTCTGATGTATGTTTAAGAATGTTTAGATGCTTAGTACTCTTTGTTTGATGTGTCTGAACTACTGTATAAGCTTTGTTCTGATTTGCCTTTCATCAGTTGGCAGTCCTCCTAACTAGCATCTGAGCAGCTGGTTGGCAAGGCTATCCCACTGCAAGAGTTTTAATAAATGCTGGGTCCCTCCTGGATGATGGATTTGTTTTATTTCCTTGGTTTGTGGGGTTTTTTTTTAAGATGCGTTCCCCCACCAGGGTAATGAACAAGGTGGTGTAGAAGTAATTAAAAAAAAAATATTCTTTATGCTTTTACAGTAAATTGGCACGTCCATTTCATTATCCGTCTGCCTTGTTCTTTCTTCCCCACACCTCCCTCCATGGGTTCCTTTTTAATCTTAGTTGTGCTACAAATCTTCCTATACCTTCCAATTAATTCAGCTGCTGTTCATATCTAGTCCTACTTGGAGATTTACGTTATTCTTTAAATAATCTCCCACTCCTCTCTCAGGGTATGTACATCCTGGTTTCTTATCTTTATAGTCAGGATTGCTAACGTATTCTTTTAACTTATTCTGCCAACCCTCTTTTGTTGGGCTGCTTTTGTCCTTCAACATTTGTGCATATGCTACTCTGGCCGTACCAGTTGCATAAAGAAAAAGATTTAAAACATTCTTAGGTATCTCACCCTCTGCTATACCCAAAAGGAACATCTCCATTTTGGGGGGAAATGTCAGCCTTAACATCTTTTTTTATTTCTGTCTATATCATCTAATATTCCTTAACTTTCTTACATCCCCAACACGTCCCCTCTATTTATTCTCATTTCCAACACATCTTAGATCCCCTTTTATACATTTTGACCAATTTAGTCAGGGTGAGGTACCATCTTTTGTAGGTTTTCCTTTAGGGTGTGACATACTGAAAAGCTTATTGCTTTTTCCACATCCTCTCCCAGGATATCATGTCTATGTTATGTCCCAAATCAATTGCCCATGGGATCATTGCTGCCTTTGTTGTTTCTTCCTTAGTCTCCCATTCTAACAAAGAATTATAAATTGTGGAAGTTAGTTTTTCTCTGTTAACCATTATAACTTTTTCACACTCCAAGCTTTTCTTACTAAATCCTTTTTCCTTTAACTTTTTAAAATATCTCATTTACTTGATGGTACTGAAACCAGTCATTGATACGGTCTTGTACAGTGGTACCTCGGTTTACGGACGCTTCAGGTTACAGACGCTTCAGGTTACAGACTCCGCTAACCCAGAAATAGTACCTCGGGTTAAGAACTTTGCTTCAGGATGAGAACAGAAATCGCACAGCGGCAGTGGGAGGCCCCATTAGCTAAAGTCGTACCTCAGGTTAAGAACAGTTTCAGGTTAAGAACGGATTAAGTTCTTAACCCGAGGTACCACTGTATATCTTTTTTCTTTTTTAATATTGGTTGGCCTTCTTTGAATTATATCTTTATAGGTACCCCAATTTTCTTTCACGTTTGTCTTTTTCACTGACACTGCTTCTATGGGTGCTATCTAGTTTGGCATTTTCCTTTCTAAGAGGTCTTTATACCTATTCCAAACCCCATATAGACTTCTTCAAATTATGTGCTTTAAGAACCCCCTGTGTACTCTAACCTTATCACAATACAGATACGCACGTAGAAGTAAATTCTTACCACAACATCCACACTCACACACATAGAAAGAGCATGAATGCAGCTCAGAGGCATGTGACAAGTGCGAAAAGGCAACTGGAAACATGGGATGGCTTTAGGCTAAAGCTGCATTAGCCAACGTGGTGCCCTCCACACAAAGGATAGCACTTCTTCACACAGTGCACAGTTCAGGGAGAGGGAACCTTTCTTAACCCAAGAGTCACATTCCTTCCCAGGCAACTTTACAGGAGCCACATGCCAGTGGTGGGTGGGGTGAGGGCAAAAGCATGCAGAAAAATGGATGCTTTCCTACAGAAGTCTGGTTTCCATTCACACAAACCCTTCTCTATCCTCCATTCAAGCAAGAAAGAGGCACCATCAGCGTTCAATGACACATTCCAGCCAAGCAAAAGCATTCAAGTAAGGGGTTGGAGCAGGGCAAGTAAGGGGCATGAGAGTGCTGAGTGCCAGAGAAAGTCGTAAAGGGCCACATTCGGCCCCCAGAGCTGAGGTTCCCCCCGCCCCGAGTACATTAGAAAAAGATTCATATGTTCAATACATGGGATTTAAAAAACAGACACAAGCTGGATGAGGAATTGGGATCCGATGGCCCTCCAGATGTTGTTGGTTTCTAATTCCCATTAGCCTCAGCCAACATGGCTATTGGTCAGGGGATCATGGGAGTTGTATTCTCAACAATTTCTGAGTGGGGCCACAGGTTTCCTAGAATCATAGAATCATAGAGTTGGAAGAGACCACAAGGGCCATCGAGTCCAACCCCCTGCCAAGCAGGAAACACCATCAGAGCACTCCTGACATATGGTTGTCAAGCCTCTGCTTAAAGACCTCCAAAGAAGGAGACTCCACCACACTCCTTGGCAGCAAATTCCACTGTCAAACAGCTCTTACTGTCAGGAAGTTCTTCCTGATGTTTAGGTGGAATCTTCTTTCTTGTAGTTTGGATCCATTGCTCCGTGTCCGCTTCTCTGGAGCAGCAGAAAACAACCTTTCTCCCTCCTCTATGTGACATCCTTTTATATATTTGAACATGGCTATCATATCACCCCTTAACCTCCTCTTCTCCAGGCCAAACATGCCCAGCTCCCTTAGCCGTTCCTCATAAGGCATCGTTTCCAGGCCTTTGACCATTTTGGTTGCCCTCCTCTGGACACGTTCCAGTTTGTCAGTGTCCTTCTTGAACTGTGGTGCCCAGAACTGGACACAGTACTCCAGGTGAGGTCTGACCAGAGCAGAATACAGTGGCACTATTACTTCCCTTGATCTAGATGCTATACTCCTATTGATGCAGCCCAGAATTGCATTGGCTTTTTTAGCTGCATGAGTCACACTGTTGGCTCATGTCAAGTTTGTGGTCAACCAAGACTCCTAGATCCTTTTCACATGTACTGCTCTCAAGCCAGGTGTCCCCCATCTTGTATTTGTGCCTCTCATTTTTTTTGCCCAAGTGCAATACTTTACATTTCTCCCTGTTACGTTTCTCCTGTCCCCAAGCAAGAGGAAAGACCAGCAAACTCACCCATGAAGCTTCTGTTATTCCAATGAGGGACACGGTAAGCCTTGGTTCTGTAAAATCTGCTCCGAATATAATATGGAGGGACATTCCTGTGAGGCAGAGAAGGGGGTATATAAAAAGAGAAATTATTCTGCAATAGTGCTTGCATGAGAGAATGAAAAAGCGAGCAACCCACATTTAGTTTCTCACATGGGGGGGGGGAGGTTTCTTGCTGTTGGTTTTTTGTATCTTTATTTTAAATCTTGTGTTTTATGTGGAAATAGTTCAGTTTGGTTGTTTATTTTTTGTTTTATTTATTGAATTTATTGACTACTTTTGTTATGTTGTAGTTATGCATTTTTTTATCTGTAAGTTGCTTTGAGCATGGTTTGAAAAGTGGAAAGGTGGCATACATATAAAATTATGTATGCATGTGTTTAATGAAAATTGAAAGATTGCTCCTATGAATGGTTCTGCTGTAAACAAACCAGTCAACATCTATGGTCCATGGAGCTCGCTGTTGTCCTGATCCAGGAGACAGTTCTTAACTGTCTTTTCCTTTGCTATGGATACTTGCCAAAACACTTCAAATAGACGTGTTCAGAATCATTACATGCTCCTTTCCATACACCTGGGATGGGAGGCTTATGACCCTCCACATGATGTTGGACTACAACTCCCATCATCTCCTGACCATTGATCTTGCAACTATGTAGAGGGGCACAGCTTCCCCAGCCCTGATCTAAGAAGCAGAATCCTTCTCTTTCATGAGAGGATCACCTCTTCTAGAGGCATTCTTTCTTCTCTTACATTCAGTAGGGAATCCTTCTTTTTGGATCAGAGGTGGGAAAATCTGTGGCCTTCCAGAGGTTGTTGAGACTCCAACGCCTATCATCCCTGAGTATTTGCCATGCTGTCTGGGAGCTGATGAGAGTCCAGCAACATCTGGAGGGCCACAGGTTCTGAATCCCTGCATTATACAGACCAGCAGTACATTAAGAACTTGACAAAAAGGACACAGAATTGTAGACACTTCCCCCATGTTACTGACAAATATTTTTTAATGTACCCTATAGCACTGGCTATCTCTTCCCAATCAACTTCTTCCACGTCATCAGCATCCACTTCATACAACCTGAAATACAGAAGAAATCTGGGTGATTTGCTCATTATCTATTATTATCTTTATTATTATCTTTTTAGTGTTGTCCCACCTTTTCCCCAGAAACTGAACTAAAGGCAGCCCACACACAAAAATTAAACATGGGTAAAACATGGAACGCTAAAAACATATAAAAGTTTAAAAGTATAATAGAATTAGAATGATTGATGTATAATACAATTTATTAAAATGCAGCAGGTGAAAACAGCACACCGTTAAAAGCCCTTTCCTTAAAAGCAGCCAGTTGCAAAGGTTTGTTGGAGTAAAACAGTCTTCACCAGCTTGCGGAAGGACAACAAGGAAGGAGCCAGTCTAGCTTCCCTAATAAGGGAGTTTCAAAGTCTAGGAGCAGCCACTAAGAAGGCCCTCTCTCGCATCCTCACCAGACATGTCTGTCAGGGTGGTAGGACTAAAAGAAGGGCCTTCCCTGATGATCTCAGAGCTCGGGCAGGTTTGTAGATCAACTAAAAACAGTGGGCAGAAAACTTAAAATTTCAGTTGGTTTCTTCTGACTGTAATTTAGTTAGCTACAGCCCTATGTTACTGATAAAATTAAATGTGCTCTTTTGAAAGGAGACCTGTCTTTTGGTTGTTGTTGCTTATCTTCTTATGTTCTGCTGTATAATGACAGCATCACAGGATCTGAGACTGATTCCAGGTACTTGTAAGGAACCTGGGCAGAGCTTATACACTCACTCAACCGCTTTGATCTGCGGAACTGGCACTGTTACAGATGCCACATAATTTTCATTCTGCATTATAAGGAATCAATCTTTTAGCATAGCAACACCTATGCTTTGAAACCCCCTGCCTATATGCTTCTCAGCACCTGCTAAAATCATTTCTGTTTAGGCAAGCCTACCCAGACATGTGTTTTGATCTGGTTTTCAGTTTATTGTTGATTGTAGTTATTACTGAATGCTTTAAAATAGTTTTAAACTGTTTTTATTGGTAGTTTTTGTGGGAGTGCTGCATCCAAAATGCTATGCAAAGAGTTAATGTAATATAGAATCCTATAACATCACCATAGTAGGCAGTTTTTGTCATGAATTCTGCCTCAATATTGATCCAAAGTAGATCCCAACATATAGTTAGCTGAGTAAAAGCTTAAATACTTTGCAGGATCCCCCCAAAATAGACCAGAGGCAATTAGCTTCATCCAGCAGAGCTCTTACTACTGAAGACAAATGAGCTTAAGAGTTATGAATCCAATATCTTAAAGATCGGCACAATCCACAAGAAATCCAGTTGCAGTAGACTTAACTTAAACTTACAATATACTGAAACCTAAAGACTAAGCATACAGTGGTACCTCTGGATGCGAACAGGATCCATTCCGGAGCCCCGTTCGCATCCTGAAGCGAACGCAACCCGCGTCCGTGAGTCTGGCGATTCGCCGCTCCCGTGCATGCACTTGAAGTCATTTTGAGCGTCTGCACATGCGTGAGTGGCAAAACCCGGAAGTAACGCGCTCCGTTACTTCCGGGTCACCGCGGAGCGCAACCTGAAAATACTCATCCTGAAGCTACTTCAGCCCAAGGTATGACTGTACTCTGTACAGAACACCACACCAGAACAAAAGAGAAAGTGAAAAAGGCTCCTTCTGGCCTATTATTACAGTCAGCATGACCTTGATAGAAAGAGATAACAGAATGAGTTTGAACAAGCTATTCAGCTTCTTTGAAATTATAACCTAAACATCAAGAGCCTGCTACTTATTTCTAAGAAGAAGAGAGGCTTGTTTTTTAGCTAGAAACTTTCGCCTGGCACCAGCTTGTATCACACAGAAAAAGCTTCCAGAACCCTACTTGAATCAATTAGAATAGGAAAGATCTCTGCACATCAAATACCCTCTGAACCAAAAAATGCAAACTGACAGTTTTTTCAGTTAGATCTGTTATCAACTGTAGAGTGAGAGTGAGAGAGCACACATACACACACATGTGTAAATATGTTTTAGTATATCAAGTAAAGTAATGTGTTAAGTTTAAACTCTAAACAGAGAAGATTGTACAGTCTTTTATAGGAAAGAAAAAGAGAACTATATTTTTAAAAGGGTCAAACAACCTGGGGAAAATTTCATGCATATAAATACCAGAGTTTTATTGTCTTATTCCTTTTGAAAACCACAAGTTTGTTTCTGTCGTCCATTGTATATAATTTTAATTAAACAAACAATAAATTTTGCTAATACCTTTCAATGAGGGCAATGTTTATCCGCAGGTGTTCAAGTCTGCTCCTTTTTGTCCGCTTACCCATAAACTTCTTGGTTACAATATTAATCCTTAAGAAGAAAAAGAAAGCTGATTACAATTGTTTATTCAGTAAATTGAAGGCATTTGCAGGTGACTTAGTAATAATGGTGGAAAATGCACAGGAAAGTATCTTGAAAACGCTGGAAAAAATGAGTATATTTGGTAAAGTTTCAGAATTTAAATTGAATAAATTTAAAATGAAATTAATGGTTAAAAATATGGGTGAACAAGAGAAAAATGAGTTACAAAAAAATCTGGTCTGTCAATAGCAAAGAAAGTCAAATATTTAGGAATTGGGGTAACCATGTATAATAAAGTATGGAAAGAAATAAAAAAAGATATGGAAATCTGGAATAGATGAAATTTGACACTATGGGGAAGAATTTCGACTATCAAAATGAATGTTTTACCCAAAATATTATTTCTTTTTCAAATGATCCCAATTATAGGGAAATGGAGTGTTTTAAAATCTGGAGAGGGACATATCCAAGTTTATTTGGCAGGACAAGAAACCATGTATCAAGTATAAATTACAGGCAAAGGTACCCCTGACCATTAGGTCCAGTCACGGATGACTCTGGGGTTGCACACTCATCTCACTCTATAGGCCGAGGGAGCCGGCATTTGTCCGCAGACAGCTTCCGGGTCATGTGGCCAGCATGACTAAGCCGCTTCTGGCAAACCAGAGCAGCGCATGGAAACGCCATTTACCTTCCTGCCGGAGCGGTACCTATTTATTTATCTACTTGCACTTGACGTGCTTTCGAACTGCTAGGTTGGCAGAAGCAGGGACCAAGCAACGGGAGCTCACCCATCACAGGGATTCGAACTGCCGACCTTCTGATTGGCAAGCCCTAGGTTCTGTGGTTTAGACCACAGCGCCACCCGCATCAGTCCAAGTACAAATTACTAATGGATAAAAAAGAAAGGAGGCTTCGCTCTGCCAGATTTAAAACTCTATTATAAAGCCACATGTTTATGCTGGTTAAGAGAGGAGATGATTTTGGGAAATACGGACATTTTAGATATTGAAGTTTGGGATAAGTAAAAATCCAGATAGATAAGTCATTTATTTTGTGCAAAAATGATAACAAGATATACAAAACAATAGAAAATGAAATGTAAATAGAAGAAGCTGCAATGTGGTGGTGGGAAATCACGGGGGGGGGGGGGCGGGGAGAGGTAATCACAATATGGATTGTTATACCTTAAATATAAGTGAAAATATGGGTGTGAATTTGTAATTGTATAATGAAAGAAAATAAAATAAAAAAGCAATAATTAAAAGGGGGAATGAGCAACAAATTTGAATAGCCCCACCTAATAATAATAATAATAATAATAATAATTTTTATTTATACCCCGCCCTCCCCAGCCAAGGCCGGGCTCAGGGCGGCTAACAAGCAATAATAAAAACAAGTTGAATGAATACAACTTAAAAACAAGATTAAAATACAACATTAAAATATTAAAATGCAGCCTCATCACAGGAGGAGAAAGGGAAAAGAAAAAAGAAAAAAGAAAGAGGGGGAGGGAATCAAATTGTCTCCAAGCCAAAGGCCAGGTGGAACAACTCTGTCTTACAGGCCCTGCGGAAAGAAATCAGATCCTGCAGGGCCCTGGTCTCATGAGGCAGAGCGTTCCACCAGGCCGGAGCCAGTGTTGAAAAGGCCCTGGCTCTGGTTGAAGCTAATCTAACTTCCTTAGGGCCCAGGACCACTAGGGTGTTGCTATTTATGGACCTTGAGGCTCTACGTGGGACATACCGGGTGAGGTGGTCCCGTAGGTACAAGGGTCCTAGGCCGTGAAGGGCTTTAAAGGTCAAAAGCAGCACCTTAAATCTGACCCTGTACTCCACTGGGAGCCAGTGCACTGGGTGAATATGCTCCCATGGCAGAGACCCCGTGAGGAGCCTCGCTGCAGCATTCTGCACCCGCTGGAGTTTCTGGGACGGCTTCAAGGGCAGCCCCGTGTAGAGGGAATTACAGTAGTCAAGCCTGGAGGTGAATGTCGTTTGGATCACTGTGGCCAGGTCAGGAGGAAAAGGGAGGAACAATTTGCCTGAGGACAGCTGGCAGGGGTTTCTTGAAAGGATCATTCTGCAGACCTAACTAGAGGTGTCAAGGATGGGACCTTTTCGTATGCATGTTGCCAGTGGCTGATGAGAGTTGTGCTCAATGTCTAGAGGGAGACAAAGGTTCCCTGACCACTCTTACCACTTCTGTTTACACTGCCTCCAGTGCCTGGTGCCCACTTTGGCTTCCACTTTGGACCACGAGATGCCCTTCCAGAGATTCTCATACGTGACCATGAGTGCTCCATCCTCATCCTCTTTCTCTGAAGCAGGATCTGAGTCTCTCATTTTGGACAGCAGTGTCTCCTTGATGGCTTGAACTAGCTTCCTTGTCTCTTCAGAACCCCAAGGACCGGAGTTATACGCTGAATTCATTTAAAAGGGGAAAATACTGATTTAATTCATTATCAGCTCTAGACATCTTGCAAGGGCTTATGCAGGGGAAGGTCTTGGCTGGCTAGCATCAGTAACAAGAATGACAAACTGGATTGCTGGTTTAAACAGATAGCAACAGTTCTCCATTCAACCTAGTTCAGTAGTTCCCAAACGTTTTTGGGCCTCCGTCCCCTTGGCTCCCTCACCCTCAAGTTGCCGAATTTGAATGACAGAGGTAAGAAAGTACCATAGAATAAATGATCCAAAAAAGATACACCAGCATGCCCAATTTCCATAATTCTGCTTTTTTTGGTGAAATTTTTAAATAATTATTTTAAAAGCCCTGAGCCCTGGTTTGAGGAAGGATTAGGCCAGGGTTGGGGTGGGGTGGGGGGAAGAGCAGGAGTGTTAATATACCACATTTGATCTCAGAAAATTTTGTTTCAACTGAATGGCTGCTGCGAGACATCAGGTCCGAGATCTTTTTCCAGTTGTTGCCATACATGGCTTGATACTTCTTGAGCTTCTTTTTCTCCAACTCAGAATACCTAGGGAGAAAAAGGGTTGCTGTTCTCAATGAGCTAGTTGCACTGGTAGTGGGTTAGTGTGTCAGACTTGTGGTAATTATACTTTACAGAGTTGTGCGGAGGTTGCCCCAAGTTGTTAGGCCCTTTTTAATAGTTCTCTTTTTCTCCCAGAAAAAACAACAACTATGCAACACTTGCTTTTAAAGTTTAAAAATAACATGGCTTTTACTAGGTGTGCTTGCTCTTGTCAGATTGAATGAACAAGAAAGGCAGGTAATACTTATACTACTGAAATATATTTACATGAACTTGTGTCTGAGACTGACTAATATTTACAGACTGACTATGAGGCAGACAGCAGCACAACACAATATACTTGCTACAGATTCTATGCTACAGCATTAACTCTTTGCATAGTATTCTGGATGCACCATTCCTATGACTAAGACATAGTAGACTAGGGTTCAAATTCCCATTCAGCCATGAAGTTCATGAGCCAGCTGCAGTCACTCAAACCAACCTACCTCACAGGGTTGCTGTGAGGATAAGATGAGGAGGAGGAGCTCCTTGAAGGAAGGTTATAAATGTAATAAACATAATAAACATAATAAACATAATAATAATAATAATAATAATAATAATGCTTATGACTGGATCCAAGAGCAACCTTTGGTAAATGAACATTTTGGAAAGAAATTGCTCAATGCAAAATACATTTTACATTCTCACCCAGTACATACCCAACGAAGCACCAGTGGAATCAATATTATAATGCCCTCATATGGATCTATGGCGTGACCGCATTTGGAAGACTGTACAGTTCTGGTTGCCTCACCTCAGAAAGGCTATTGCAGATTTGGAAAAGCTTTAGAAATGGGCAACCAAAATAATCAAGGAGATGGAGTGACTGCTTTATGAAGAAAGGTTGAAGCATTGTGGACTTTTCCACATAGAGAGAAGGCGATTACTTGGTGACATGATAGAAGTTTCTAAGCTTATGGATGGCTTGGAGAAAGTGGAAGGAAAGAAGTTTTCTCCCTCTCTCATAACATTTGAACTCATGGACATCCAATTAAGCTGAATTTTGGAAGATAAAGGAAAAATAAAAAAGGGACTTCTTTATGCACCAGAGTTAAAATATGGAGGATTCTCCCACAGAAGGAAGTGATGGCCACCAATCTAGATTGTTTTAAAAGAAGATTAGATAAAATTCATGGGGAGAAGACTATCAGTGTCTACTAGCAATGATGACTATGCTCTGCTTCCATGGTCAGCAGAAGCAATGATCCTAAAGACCAGTTGCTGGAAACCACAAGAGGGGAGAGGGCTCTTGTGCTCAGGGTCCTGCTTGCTGCTTTCCCACAGACATGTGGATGGCCACTGTGAGAAGATGATGCTGGACTAGGTGGGCCATTGGCCTGATCCAGCAGGCTCTTATGCTCTGACTTCACTCTGTAGGAGCTGGCCTTCAGGAGATACCATATTACTGGGAGGTCCATTTGCTATGATGTAGGAATCGTCCCTTTTGTGTAGTGGCATGCTAGATTTGGAACTCCCTCGTGCTACACATCAGACAGTGGCTGTCTCTATTGCTTCCATTACTTGCTTCCTTGAGATCAGGAGCCAATAAGCCCCACAAGTATGCATTGAACTGGAAGTGACAAAGGACAAAAGTTAAAGCTTTAGTGAAATCAGAAATCTGGAGCTAAAACGTGAGTCTTTTGGAGTTCAGGCAGAGAGAAAAACTTTCCGAGTAGGAACTCCAGAACCCTGTCCTGTTAGGCTCGGTGGCCAAGTATTCTGGGATGCCTCCATGACAACAGCAAAAAAACCCCAGAGAAGCCCAGTTGCCTTTCTTACCTTCCATTATAATTCTTGGGATCGTACATTTTTCTTGCTCGGTAATATACTAGCCTCCAAGGCCTTGGAATTCCCTGAGCTTCAGAAGAATCGATAAAGATGCATTAAAATCGACATTTTGTGATTAAAGACAATCTACATTAAGGAACTAATTGGATTATGGGTTGCTGATTTTGCAGCAGTTATGTTATGATTGTGTTTTTATACACCAAAATATTACCACCCTTTATTCAATTTATATAATAAGCCCAGAGCAGCATTTATTCGTTATGAACCTTGTTCTCTCTGGGAAATGTTCTCAGAGGCCAGCTAAGGAAAACGGTACATCACGCTAGAAAAAACATGGAACTTTTGATTTCTTAATGACTGTGGTTGATCTTTTTCTTTAGGGGCTTTCCCTCTTTCTGAGAGGTTAAAAATTAAATTCACTCCATCAGCCCTGCTTTGACCACATGAGCTCCATCATGCATCATCTCCCTAAACTGTCATCTGTGAGCAGCCATTCCATCAGGCTGCCTCAGCGTGGGAGAGAGAGGAAGCCGAAGGCCATCAGCTTGGCCAAAAGACCAGCTCCATCAGAGCCTTTGACTCCTGAAGTATGCAAGCTGGTAAGTGTGAGAACAGCTGTTTAAAGGGACCTCAATTTCATTCCCACCCTTCCCTCCCTGATGTTGCTGGACACCCATTAGTCCCAATCATCACGGTCAATGGTGATGGGAGTTCATAGAATTGGAAAGTACCCCAGGGGTCATCTAGTCCAACCCCCTGCAATGCAGGAATCTCAACTAAGCATCCCTAACAGATGGCCATCCAATCTCTGCTTAGAAACCTCCAGCAAAGCAGAGTTCACAATCTCCCAAGGGCGTCTGTTCCACTGTCAAACTACTCTTACTGTCGGAAAGTTCTTCCTGATGGTTTTGTGCAGTAATATCTACAGAACCAAAGGTTCTCCATCCCTGACTAACTTGTATATAACTAGCTAGCCTGTGGCCAGAATTGCTTGGGAATCCAAGAAATGAAGAAACCCAGGACAGTTTTGTAAGATTTCAGTTCGCCATCTTGATTCAAAATGGCATCCAATGGTATCCAAACAAACCTAAATACCTGCTCCACGATCTCAGGAGCCATCATGCTAAATTTGGCTATGGTATCTTAACAAGTGTCCATACACATGGTAAAACAAACAACTTTCCCATATATGTAATAGATTATGGTTTGATTCGGACAAAGGAGGGAATTTGGACAGCTTCACAAATGTACTAGAGAGGCAAATCTTTTAGCAAGACTACCCCCTCACTACCAAGTCACCCACAAAAGCCACCCAGTCAAATACTCACCAATCTTTGCACCAAACAAGTTTTTAGTTTTCAGTTTGTTGATGGATTCTCTCTCTTGGGGGAACCTGTGAGCAAAGAGGAGTTTTTCTGCAGACTCTATCCCAGTGTCTTTCAAGAAGGCCTCAACATTGTGCCGCAGCTGATGGTTTTCTTTCCTGGAAAATTTGCCAAACCGCACAGCAACGCCTACATCATTTCCAAGGGAGAATAGGAAAGTTTCAGATTTCAGACCTTGCCCTTCAGCGTTAATCACTCATTCATAACGCTGAGTAGTTTTCAGGGCCACAGGGCCACGTATACCTTGCAGTGTTGCAACATGAGCCTCATGGATAACTTGTCTACTGTCAGCTTTTGTGAAACTGGCCATTTTTCAGGACCCAGGACTCCTAAATTGTGCTTGGTGCTCCCATAAAACAGGTGCAGTAACCTTTGGGTCTCTAGATACAGTGGTACCTTGGGTTAAGAACTTAATTTGTTCTGGAGGTCTGCTCTTAACCTCAAACTATTCTTAACCCCACTTTAGCTAATAGGGCCTCCCACTGCTACTGCATCGTTGCCACACAATTTCTGTTCTCATTCTGAAGAAAAGTTCTTAACCCAAGGTACTATTTCTGGATTAGCGGAGTCTGTATCCTGAAGCGTCTTTAACCTGAAGCGTAGGTAACCCGAGGTACCACTGTATTGCTGAACTCCAGCTCCCAACGGCCCCATCGCGTTTAGCCAATGGCGAGGTATGATGGGAGTTGGAAGCTCAGCAACCTCTAGATGGCCATAGCTTCTCTACACCTACCATAAAATGATAAGCTAGTTGTAGATGTGGGTTTGGGTCTTGGTTATTAGGACAAACATCAAATGTTTGCCATCTCAAAGCCAGAGGTGGGAAACATTGTGACCCTCCACATGGTTGCTAGACTTTTATCTCCCACCATCCTTGACCATTAGCAATGGGCCTGGGGCAGACAGGAGTTAAGAGTCCAACAACATTTGGAGGGCCACAAGTTTCCCACCCCTGCTGAGCATGTACACACCTACAAGTGACCACAAGTGACATATATGAGGGCAGACCATGCTCTTTGATTTTCTGAATTGGGAGTCAAGAAATGTGGTGTCCCAACCTTTTCCCCACAAAATAAGCAACATCTAGAGAACTACCGGTTACTCACCACTGCTATGCCCCTTGCAAAGAGCACATGTGTGTATGTGTAAAACCTACCATTCCATCAGGTTATCTACCAGTTCTGCCAGAATACCAGCTGCAACAGAAACCTCCTACCCCTAAACTGTTTCTGTGTCAGCTGGTTATTAAAGCCCTGTTTGGTGCCTGAGTTTGTGTTTTCCTCTGCCTGCCATGTCCTCCTTTCCTTATGTGCTGTCTTTTTTAAATTGTGGGCCCATAAGAAGCGACTGCTTTGTTTTAAGGGATTGTATGTAAGCCACTCAGAGCCTCTTTTGGTTGAAGAACGGGGTACATGTGGTCTGAATAAATATACATATATATACACAAATACACACCCTTTCTTTCAATGAATACATATAACAACATTTGTATTCCACCTTTCCTCCCAGGATGAAAGGGTAGTGTACACTTTCCTTCCCCTCTGCATTTTCATTATTTGAGTATTAATCACCTGTACATAACACTTTGGAGATTATGCAAAGAAATTGCCATGACCTTTGATTTACTGAAGAGCCTACCCAAGTGAAAGGTGTTCTCACTCAGGACTGTACACACCTTTTTTCTTAAAATTTCTAAACCTGACCAGGTCCCGACCAGCCAGCTGTCTGATCGCTGAATCACTCAGGGTCCTGATGTGAGGAATGAACTCTTCCAGCTCCTTGGTGGCAGAGTCCAGATCTTTCATTGAAAGCTGAGAAAATTCTACAAACTCATTGTCCACAAGGGAAAACTTGCTGGAAGATGATTCCTCAGCGTCTGAATGGACAGGAGTTGGAGATTTCTGTGGCCTGTTAGGAGAGCAAAACGTGAGGCCTGCATACTATTACTGGCACTTGTTGGCACTGAAAATCGCTTTGGGATGCCAGGGAAAACCCCGGCATTAGCTTGTGAGACACATGCTATTGACAAAAGCCACACCTCACCTGTCTTGGAAAGATTACTTACTAGGTGACCTGATCAACCAGCCCAGTGATGCTTATGCAGTGTTGGAATAGCATATCTAATGCTTGAGTGTAAGACTCTTGGAATGTGATGTGTATATTGAAACAATTTACTATGCACACAAGCTTGGATAACGAATACAAGTGGTGGCTGGCAGCTGAAACACAGTCTTTTTAGTACACTCCGGCACTCCAACCATGGAAACGTTTTACAATTTGGGGGGAATTAATACAGCCAATTATTATTATTATTATGAGGAAGTGTGCATGCACACAAAAGCTTATACCCAGAACAAACTTAGTTGGTCTCTAAGGTGCACTGTGTCAGACCAACACGGCTACCTACCTGAATCTGATTGGCTGTGTTTCTAGATTGTAAGCCAGTGGGAAGCAACTATTTCTGATACCTGTAAGCTGCCTGGAGTGCCTTTTTCAGCTGAAGTGGAAAAGGAAGGCAGGCTTCAACACTCCTAAGCTCCACCCTCTCTCTAGTGCATCTTCTGAATCCCAGACTCCCACTTCTACACATCTGGGACAGATCTGGGTTGAGACACACAAGAGATCTGTTGCCAACAAACTTGTTTTAGCCTTGAGCCTGTGCATGAAGCCCTTCACCCTTTTGCTAACCATCAATTTAAATACTAAAGCAGTTCATGTTTTCCTCACACCTGCCAAGAAAGCCCATCCATGGGTAAGGTACTTACCCACCATCAGAAGCATTCGTGCTGGGAGCATTTTTACGCTTATGTGATTTCTTTCGTGTGGCAGGGCTGCTGAAGTTCACAGTTCTGTCCAACTTATTCACCTCATTGTTCTCCTCTTGAGAAAGGTCTGAGGGCTGTGTTAAGGGTACAGGGGGAGGCAAAGGTGTAACGAAGTCCTCCTTCACGTCCTCTGTGTCACTGCAGTTGGTTGTATTGTGCTTGTGCAATCCTGCATTTTCCAAGTCACTGGCATCAAGCTGGCTGCTGGCATCTTCTGGAGTTTCAGCTTTTTTACGCTTTTTCTTCTTCTTCCGTGCAATGGGACTACAGAACTCCACAGTTTTGTCTGACTCAGTTGCCTCTTTTCTCTCCTCCTGGGAAAGGTCTGAGTGCTGTGTTAAGAGTACTGCAGGAGGTGAAGGTGCAAAGAGGTCCTTTTGTGTGTCCTCTGTGTCACTGCAGTCTGTTCTATTGTGCTTGTGCAAACTCGGAGGGTGAGCCCTAATATCTGTGAGCCTGTCAGAAGCTCCATTTGCCTCGGCCTGCTCTGTTAACAAGAGCACTTTTGCCTTCTTCTTCTTCTTCTGAACAGGTGTGGATTCAGAGACATAACCTGCATTTTCCAAGTCACTGGCTTCAAGCTGGCTGCTGGCCTCTTCTGGAGTTTCAGCTTTTTTACGCTTTTTCTTCTTCTTCCGTGCAATGGGACTACAGAACTCCACAGTTTTGTCTGACTCAGTTGCCTCTTTTCTCTCCTTCTGGGAGAGGTCTGAGTGCTGTGTTAAGAGTACTGCAGGAGGTGAAGGTGCAAAGAGGTCCTTCTGTGTGTCTCCTGTGTCACTGCAGTCTGTTCTATTGTGCTTGTGCAAACTCGGAGGGTGAGCCCTAATATCTGTGAGCCTGTCAGAAGCTCCATTTGCCTTGGCCTGCTCTGTTAACAAGAGCACTTTTGCCTTCTTCTTCTGAACAGGTGTGGATTCAGAGACATAACCTGCATTTTCCAAGTCACTGGCTTCAAGCTGGCTGCTGGCCTCTTCTGGAGTTTCAGCTTTTTTATGCTTTTTCTTCTTCTTCCGTGCAATGGGACTACAAAATTCTGCAGTTTTGTCTGACTGAGGTGTCTGCTTTTTCTCCTGCAGGGAAAGATCTAAGCGCTGCATTAAGGGTACCACAGGATGCAGGCTGCTGGCCTTTTCTGGAGTCTCAGGAATGCAAAAGTCTCTGCCACCCTCTTGTTCACTATGTTGATACTTCCTCTTTTTCTTATTACATACGCGAGTATCTGTTCCAGACTTGCTATTCAGCTCACTGTCTGTTGGGATCCAAGTAGCATCTGACTCAGAGTCTGGAATCTCTTTCCCAGCTTTTATGTTCTTTGTTTTTTTTCTACAGGCCCCAGTAGCTTCTGTATCCTCAACGAGCCAAGGAAAAATTGAGGAATGTCCGGAAGATGGAGGCGAGCAAGGGGCAGCCTCCACAGGTTGGTCATCCCCCTGTCCATTAAGGCCCTCCTTCCTCTTCTTTTTCTTCTTCTTCTTCACCAACTCTGGGAAATGAAAGCCATTTGAGGCTGATGATGCATCAGCTCTGTGCATAATTTCCTTTAAAAAGCAAAGGAGAAGTGGCAAATAAATAATAATAATAATTATTATTATTATTTATACCCCGCCCATCTGGCTGGGTTTCCCCAGCCACTCCGGGCAGCTCCCAACCTAATATTAAAAACATGATACAGCATTTAAAACTCAGTCTTAAGAGTATTTAGTGCTGCCCAGTGCTGCGGCACTTCAGTGCTAGTTTCCAGTTATTTACTTATTATATTCACATCCTGCCTTTTCATGCAAGGAGCTCAATGTGGTGTACGTAGTTCTCATCTCCCCATTCTATCCTCATAGCAAACTTGAGGGATGGGTTGACTGAACCAAGGTCACCTAGTAAGCTTCATGATTCAATATGAATTTAACCCAGGTCCAGCATTCTTAACTGTTACACTACTCTGCAATATATTGGTATTGGAAGATATAGCCCACAGATCTCTCTGCAGGCTGTTTTTCAGTTTAGTTCCCGAAGAAGGCCTTTAAACTCACTGGGTAGATTTGAAAGTAAAACCTGTATTTTCCCCCAGCACCTCTGCATTGGTTTCAGGGCTGCTGTCTGGATTTTGAGTTTTTTGGTTGTTTTTTGTTTTGCAATTTAAAGACTAACTTCATCAGTTGCATGACACATTTTCTTGGGCTGCAGTTCTGTGAATAATGTTTGTTAGAAACTTTCGTGCTTTTGATAACCTGTCAGGGATAGAAGTGTAAATATATACAGTGGTACCTCGGGTTAAGTACTTAATTCGTTCCGGAGGTCCATTCTTAACCTGAAACTGTTCTTAACCTGAAGCACCACTTTAGCTAATGGGGCCTCCTGCTGCTGCCGCGCCGCTGGAGCACGATTTCTGTTCTCATCCTGAAGCAAAGTTCTTAACCTGAAGCACTATTTCTGGGTTAGCGGAGTCTGTAACATGAAGCATATGTAACCTGAGGTACCACAGTAAAAGGTTTGTTCATATATTGGTTTGCTATACTAAGATGAGATCATCCAAAACAGCAGTTACATCATGCACCTAAGGGAAACACTTTAGGCATCTGACAAAATGGGACCAGTGCACAAAAGCTTCTGTACTACAGGAGATGAAGTCAACATAGTGCCCTCCAAACTTTCATAACAAGCTGCCTTATACCAAGTTAGACCATTGGTCCATCTAGTTCAGTACTGTCTACACTGGTTGGCTCTTCAGGGTTTCAAGTATGAATCATTCCCAGCCCTATCAGAAAAAGCTGGGACCTTCTGCATCCAAGGCAGATGCTCTACCACTGACCTGCAGCTCTAATCATAAGAACATAAGAAGAGTTCTTCTGGATCAGGCTAATGGTCCATGTAACCACCAAGCAGAAATTGAGGTCACCAGCACTCCCTCCTTCTCTGGTAGTCAGCAAGTAGTATATCCTACCTATGGTTATAAAATGTTAGGATGCACACACACAGCAGACATACACTCAACAGAAAACCAATACTTCCATCATCAAAATTTAGGAAGTATTCCCTGAGAAAACAGAACAATCCTAAAAAACCATCTTGGCTCTCCTAATGACCTAAAGAGAAGCCTTTCTTGATACATTAGTTCTTTTACTTCCAAATCCTGTCTTAAGGGCATACTTTGTGTATGAATAGGGTGGACCTGTGACCTGGATTCAAGAACTAAAGTATTTACTTCAAAAGAATAGCCAGACTGCCCAGGTAATGCAACCAGTAAAACATGGGAAGGTAAACTAAGGCCTGGGGGGGGGGGGCCAGATCCAGCCCAATCACCTTCTAAATCTGGCCCGCAGACGGTCCGGGAATCAGCGTGTTTTTACATGAGTAGAATGTGTGCTTTTATTTAAAATGCACCTCTGGGTTATTTGTGGGTCATAGGAATTGGTTCATTTTTTCTTCTTCTTCAAAATATAGTCCGCGCCCCCCCACAAGGTCTGAGGGACAGTGGACCGGCCCCCTGCTGAAAAAGTTTGCTGACCCCTGCAGTAAAACATTATCAGGTATCCTGGTAGATAGGAGAGAAGCCACACTCTCAAATGTCTGTGGCAGACTTCCTCTTTCTGTGATATTTTTCTGGGTAGTCTTTGGCTAAGGGGTTGAGCATTGTTGAAAGTTTTTAAAGTGGCTTACAAACCTTTGCTCTGAGCCTCTCATCTCCTTGCAAGGAGGGGGGAACTCTGTCACACAACAGAAAATTAAAGATCTGCCTTGCTTTCACTGGATCTTGCCTCCATCCATTCTTCTCTCACTGATCATGGACTTAGGGGACTCAGAGTCTGTTGGGGAATTGGGCAGCAAAAGCCAATCCCATTTCCCCCCTACAATACTAATATCAAACATCTCACACACAGATGAGGCCTTGCTGGTGGTGCCACCATTGAGGGTTGTCTGGTTGGTCCTGACTCATGACAGGGCCTTATCAGTGGTGGTTTCAGTTTGTCATATGGCTTCTCTAGTGAGGCTAGTCTGTCTCCAACGTTATTAACTTTCAGGAGGAATTTGAAATTGTCAAGCTTACCCAGATATTTGGTGGCTGAAAAACACTGATCCTGGCAGTCCTGAAAACGGTGGATGAAATGCCATTTTAGAACTGTTTTAAGAGTTTGCTTTTTTAAAACTGTGGATGGGTTTCCCACCTTGGGCTCCTTTGGGATGGATGAGATGAAAATTTAATAAATAAAAACAAATAAATTGGCCCGGCCAGTGTGACCAACAATCAGCGATAAACTGGTTAGAGCAAGCGTGCGATATGAATAGATGCAGTAAACAAAGGAGTAACCCACGTGGAAGCGCTTTAGGCACCTATAATACTAAATACTGTAAAGAAGAAGAAGAGTTTGGATTTGATACCCCGCTTCATCATTACCCGAAGGAGTCTCAAAGCGGCTAACATTCTCCTTTCCCCTCCTCCCCCACAACACTCTGTGAGGTGAGTGGGGCTGAGAGACTTCAAAGAAGTGTGACTGGCCCAAGGTCACCCAGCAGCTGCATGTGGAGGAGCGGAGACGAGAACCCGGATCACCAGATTAGGGAGTCTACCGCTCTTAATTACTACACCACACTGGCTCTCCAAAGCAATTAAGCATCCCTTCCTGCTTCGAAAACAGCATCCCGAGAACCCTAATTCCTCTTTACGAACTGGCCAGGCTACTGTAATGCGAGATAAATACACTAAAATATACCTGATGCATCTGCTTCTTCTTCGGTAACAGACCGAGGCAAAGCGGTCCAGCACACGCGCCACGGGCTCCACTTCCGGTTGTTTTTCACCGTTTCCTCCCCTCAGCGGAAGGAGCGTGTTGACTTGGAAAGGCTAGAGCGCCTCGGCCGAACTTTCGAAATACGTTCCATCCCCGCCCCTGCGAGTTGGTTGGAAAGAGGAATAAACATCTCCCGAGAGGAGAGGCGGGACGCGTCTTTTCGGGAGGCCAGGAGCTTGTGCTAAACATGGGTGGGTTGGATTGGGTTCTGAGCGGCTATTTTAAGCAGAGCGGTGTGTTTGACATACCCAGAGCTCTTTAGATAAAGGGTGATGTTAGAAAGCGGACCTAGGTAAGAGGCCAAGGCTCAAGCATCTGCTAAGCTACGGTGATCACTGCGTGTGGTTTTTGAGCCGGTTAGCTTCTCTTTCTCGAAGCCTAAGCCCACTTCACAGGGTTGTTGCGTCTGTCTCTGTAATAGCGTTACACAGCAGAGAGAAATAAGCACAATAAAGCACATGCAAACGAACTGCGCCCTTTTAAAACGAAGAGTGCAGCCAAATCAATGAGCGATCAGAAACAATTTAAAAAATACAGGCGCAACTAGAATTTCGCTGTGAGTTCAAGGCAGCACGTGGAGTTTTGTTTTCCTTTTCTACTGGTGACGCGAGAAACTCTGCCGTCCAATCAGCGCCTGCGTTCCCGCCTCCCTTTCATTTGGCGCAACCTTCGCAGGGCGCGCAGGCGCCGTGCGGGCGGAGGCGAGCGAAGAGTTTTTGTATGTGTGTGCTAACTATATATGTGTATATCTATATCGGACGCATCGTCTCCGGCAGTGAGAATGACCCGCCTACTGTTTTATCAGTCTATGCAAAATGAGTAATGAGGCAGAAGAGCAGTAAGCAGAGTCTGAGGCGACTCTACTGTTTTTCCTAACTCTAGGGTGGCGGGAGGGGAGAAGAGCGGCAAACAGAGCCTGAGGCGACTCTCTATTTTCCTAACTCTAGGGTGGCGGGAGAGCGGGGAGAAGGCTTTTTGAGCACGCGCGTTTGTGCGCTTGCCTCTCATTTACTTATCTACCACTGTGGGCGGAGCCAGGGAGGCGGGGCCAAGAGTCTAGAAAAAGGAGGCTCGGATGCCGGCTCGGTCTCTTCGCTGGAGTGAGAGGCTTCCGTCGCGTGGTGGGCGGGGTCAGTGCCTGGCGGAACAGCTTGAGCGAGCGGAGAGAACGAGAGAGCGAGAGCTGGAGGCAGCAAGGTTGTCCGCGCCTACGGGCCGGCTGTGGCAGCCACCTTGCCTCACGGGCACCTGTCCGGAGCAGGAGGTGAGTGAGGCGAGGGGCTGGCGGTGTGTGGGAGGCTTATGAGGGGCTGCGGCGAAGGTGTGGGGAGGAGGGCAAGGAGTAATACAGCAACTCAACAGTTGCTTATGGTTGCGGGGCTGGCACGGCTATTCCCCGCTTCAGGTACCCCCCGCAGCATCTCTGTCCCTCCAGTTCTGCATGTTAGAAAGTGCCTTTGCTGCACCCCTTTCCCCCCCACTGTCAAGGGAGAGTCCCCGTGAAATGTGCGTGTAATTCGCATGTTACACTTAGGGTCGGTTCCGGGGGCTTCCTCGCGTTTCCGCGAAGTCTCTAAAAGACGGGAATTCTTGGAGTCGCTGCCGCTGCGCAGACGGCAAAGTCGAGGGCTGCCCCCGGCTTTGGAAGAAGACGCGGTGGGTTCCCGGAGTTACTTGTGTAGCTGTATGTAGCCCCTCTTTCCTTATACGTGAAGTAACTTTAGCCCCTGAAGAGATGCGCATTATATATTTGTAGCGTTGTTCTTTGTAGCAATTTGTAGCAATTCTATGTCAACGGTACAGTTTAGTACAGTCTAATGGTCTTTAAATAACATTTTTTAAAAGTTAGATATTGTTTTGGTTTGCAAAAGTACATGCATTGTCTCTTTTTCAGGTTGTAGGCTTTTTTACATTTGAAGTGAGACATTAATGTTGTATGCAGAATAAAGTTGGGGAAGAAGAGGGGGGAGAGGGGGTGGGTTGGGGTGGTAATGCTTGGTCTTTGTGTGTGGTTTTTATGTCAGCGTCGCTTGGGTCGTTTCCCTTTCTATCCATTTAATTTCCGTGGTACTGAGAGAGGTGGAGGGCAGGCATGGCTGGTTGTCTTTAGCGGGCTGCAGTGAGATTTGTTTGCCTGCGGGCATGGAGGGGAATTGTTGGGTTGTTAGCCATATTGATTCATATGTTGTTGGTGGGTTCTTGTTGTTTTGTTGGGTACTGCCTGAGAATGTTGAGCTGTTGACTTCTTAGGTAAGCCTATGCTGAATCTCTCAACAGAACCATCTGGCAGTGGGTGCCTCCCCATATACATGGGTAGTGGGGTATCTAGTCACACAGATATTATCACTGCCTGCTTTGTAAGACAGCAGAAATATTGTCAAGGCCATGGGAGGATTAACACAAGGAACAGGTAATTAATGTGTTCCAAGAATGGGGATGGGGTGAGACAAGAGTTCTGTCCTTGCAGAAAATCCACAGAAAAATACAGCTGTAGTGTGTCCAAGTGCTGCACCTTTGCTGACAGGATCTGACCATTTTGCCATCCAGAGGGGATTCTCAGGCTATTGAAAGAGTTTATCTGCTTTCCTTTGCTCTTTACCTTCCTCATTCTCTGAATAAAATCCATTTAAGAAACAAGCTTGGTGTCCTTTTTTGCTTACTTGAATCAAGAAAACCTTGGCCAGTTTGCCAGTACAGTAGCACTGTGGCAGAGCAACTGCTTTGCATTCAGAAGGTCCCGGGTTCAATCCTCAGCATCCCCAGGTAAAGCTGGGGAAGTGCCCTGTCTGAAACCCTGGTGTGTTGCTGCTGATGGACCAATAGTCTTGTCATGGTATGTGGCAGGTTTCTATGCTCCTATGCTGATGTGTTCAGCAAAAGTTGAGTTTATCTATCAATTATAACTTCATAATGATTTATAAAGTGCCTAAAATCTAAACATTGGATGATGATTAAAATAGGGTTACCAGATGTCCCCTGTTTCTGGGGACAGTCCCCGGATTTTCAAATCTGTCCCCAGACAAATTCTGTCCCCGGAATGTCCCCAGATTTGCAAATCTGTCCCCGGAAAACGTGGCAGCAGCAGCCTCAGCAGCCTGAAGCCAGCCTGGTAGCGCAGTTGGCTCTGGCTGGCTTCAGGAGCTGCCCGCTGCCCACTACCATGGTGCCCACCATTTTTCCCCGCTGGAAGTTCCCATATGATGTGTATTGTGCACAACACATCATATGGGGACTTCCGGAGAGCAAAATGGTGGGCGCCATGGCAGTGGGCAGCAAGCAGCTCCTGAAGCCAACCAGAGCCAACTGCACTACCAGACTGGCTCTGGGCTGCTGAGGCTGCCGCCGCCACTGCCGAAGGGGAACCAGGGACGTCCGGTGGTACAGGTCCCCTGCCCCCTTTGTTTTGACAGATCGGGGGAGTCACGGGCAGCTGACCATTGCCCAGTTTTTTTAAAAAAACTGCAAATTTATGTTTCACAGGGTGCGAAAGAAGGGCTTTGCACCTTGCCTGGCAGGGAAACCATGTGTCTTGTGCCCCTCCTGGGCAACAGCTGCCCGCCCATGACTCCTGAGCCTCCCCCAAACAAAGGGGGAAAGGGGCAGGAGATCAAGGAAGGCTCGGGAGTCATGGGTGGATGGCGCGCTGTTGCCCAGTTTTTTTTTAAAAAACTGCGCATTTATGTTTCACAGGGTGCGAAAGAAAGGCTTTGCTCCTTTATACAATATGCATGTGTGCTTGGGCCCAGGGTCTTTTGCCTCACCATCCCCAGTACTGACTCCCTGTTGCTACTCAGCTTCAAAAAAATGTCCCCGGATTCACTGAAAAAAATCTGGTAACCATAGATTAAAAAGAACGAACCATGCCCATACAATTAGTCTTAAAAAATACCTACCCATAAGGAAGATTAAGGAAGTCAAAAGGAGATGCAGATACAGAGTTATGGCTTGGGGTAAGAATTCTGTTGTTTAAATAATGGCAATGCATGAAAGGTGTAGTTGTAGTGTCCCTGCACCTAGGCTGTGGAATTCCCTGATAATATTCAGGATGCACCATCAGCACTTTGTTTCAAATGCCTGCATTGAACATAGCCAAATTCATAATTTTATCACTCAGTTCCTTTGTTACGGCATATCACTGTACAGGTGCTTGCTTTTATGCTGTTTTACAGATGTGACTGCCACCTTGTTGATTTGTGCAGTATGCCTGTAAAATAAATGTATTGGGAGGTAGCAGGTTACAAAGAACAGGAAAGAAGTGAGTCAGGGACAGTAGTATTAGGAAGTAATCTGTGAGTAAGCAAAGAAAAAAATGAATTTGGCAGAGTGAAAGCAAATGGGAAGAAACCAAAGTAACAAATTTGGCTCATCTGCTTTAATGTGTATTTGGGGTAGACATTTATATTTTATTGTGGGGAAATTTTAATTGCCTTAAAGCAAGATTATCCAAAGGGACGCGGGTGGCGCTGTGGGTAAAACTTCAGTGCTTAGGACTTGCTGATCATAAGGTCGGCGGTTCGAATCCCCGCGGCGGGGTGAGCTCCCGTCGTTCGGTCCCAGCTCCTGCCCACCCAGCAGTTCGAAAGCACCCCTAAGTGCAAGTAGATAAATAGGTACCGCTTTCTAGCGGAAAGGTAAACGGCATTTCCGTGTGCTGCGCTGGTGCTGGCTCGCTAGCTGCAGCTTCGTCACGCTGGCCACGTGACCCGGAAGTGTCTTTGGACGGCTCCGGCTCCCGGCCTCTTAAGCGAGATGAGCGCGCCACCCTAGAGTCGGACACGACTGGCCCGTACGGGCAGGGGTACCTTTACCTTTAAGATTATCCAAGAATCAGTGAACAGTTTGTGTATTAAGGTTCCATAACTAAAGCTGAAGTTTGGGCACCCCTTCACTTGTGATCTTGTGCAGTTGATTTATCACTCCAAATTTATAAACTGCTTCTCCTCCCCAAAAGGAAGCTTTGGAGCTAAAACATTAACCAAACTACTGGGCATAATAGCAGTTAATATTCATTGTAAAACTTTCTTAAATTGCATTGCGAAGGCCTTGGCAAATATTAATATGTTAATATTCCTCCTGAGCGCAAACTAGGGTGTGAGACTGCCTGGTTTGTCCTGGGAGCACAATAGGTTGCCAGCACAGAGTTGTGCATTTCTTTTCAAGTGTTGGCAGATTCCTTGCTCATTTTGGCCCTGGATGGGGGTTTTTTTGGGGGGGGTGCGCATAATGGTCATGACTGAATGAATACCATCAAATCAATTTACATCTTAATGTTTGGCAAAATAAACAGCTGATGTACCAGTCTTAAGCACCTTTAGTTCAGGGCTACCGTGATGGTCACCAGAGTGCTTATCTCTTCCCTGTTTCTGAAAACCAGCAACAACTCTGGCGCAAGGAGCCATCTATTTTTGGCAAATATTTATGCTTTAACACAACCTATGTTGTGCTGCCTTGTCAGACAGGAAGCTGGGAGATAGATGTATGTGGGGAGTGTGTGTTGGTAAAAGTTACATTGACACAATAAGTCATTCGGTCACAAAATATTGATAGTTATTGTATGTACAGATGTGAACCTGTATAGTGGAGCTTCCCCCTGAGGTAACTGAGGAGGGGCTGTAGCTCAGTGATGGAGCTGCACCCACTTTGCATGCAGACAGTACAAGGTTCAGTCCCCAGCATCTACAAGTAGGGCTTGGAATTGCCCCCTGTTGGGCTGATTTGGCAAGCTCATTTAAGTTCTTATGCCAGGCTTGGTATAAGGCAACTTTCTGTGTTACTGAACTTGGCTCAGGTCATTTCTGTGTTCATGTTTTTAAATAATTAAAACAATAATTTCTCTTATTTTTGTGTTTATCTGCAGAATGGAGACATGCTGTTGGTGCACCCCTATTGATTCGGTTATCACCACCTTAAAGAACTATGCCTCTTCTTTACTGCCTCCAGAAAAATTTGCTGCAGCCAACGAAGACCTTTGTTACTGTTTGGAGTGTGTGGATGAGTATCATAAAGTGAAGGATGAGTTGTCATACTTACATGAGGTAATTTGCTTTCATTTATAGACCACCATATCCTGGCTGTGTTGGGGTTAACAGATGACAGAGACAGTCAAAGCAGATTTAGGTAGGCAGAAGACCAGTAGTTATTGGTTTAGAGATGGGGAGCACAATTCACCTGGTGGGAGAGATGGGGGGTGATGTTGTCAGGTGACTCATTTTCCCCTGCCCTATGTGATGAGCAGCACTTTAAAGCCCCAACAACAAAATGTTGGGGCTGCCAAACAAATCTCTATCTATCTTCCAAATGCTGAACACTGCTTTCAGCTCTAAGTTAGTCACTCATGCCCATTAATTTAACGGGGACCAGCTCAGATCGAATACAATCCACTGTAGGGGTTTTGAAGTTGAATTCACAAGGTGGCTGCAGCAACTATGAAAGTAAATTATCTGCAGTTGATTTACTTTGGAACTGAGTCTTTCTTTGTGTAAAATAAAAAAGTGGTCTGCAAATCCTTTTCTTTGCCTTGTTGCTCTGTCTCTATGTCCTTAAAAATAAAGTCCTTTGTTCCTCTAGTTCTGAAAACAAATTTCAGATTAACTGTTGCTGTTTAGACTTTCAAGTGGTGTTCACTGCTTGTTTTGTCTCTTTCCTTTGGTGTAAATCAAAATCTGAATTGCACAGAGAATGATCTAACAAAGTCTATACAAGTGTTTTTACCAGCTGCAGACTTTGGAGGGTACACCCCCCACCCAGATTTTTTCTTACCTCTGTCGTGTCCTTCTGTTTTATACTTTTGAATGCTTATCCTGTTGTAATTAAACTCTAGTTCCCATTTATGGTATATACGGAAGACAGCCCTGGGTCTTTTGACCCTTTAATTAGTTCTCTTTTCTCTCCTATAAAAACTATGCAAGAGGCTTTCTTTTAAAGTTTAAATAACAAATAATTTTTACTTTAGTGTACTTGCCGTTGCAGATTAAAATATACAATGCAGGTGGATGTTTCTTAAATTGCTGATACGGCTTACATAGGTTACACTGCCACAGACTAACTAATCAAGGCAGACAGTAGCACAACATAACATACCTGATGCTGTAACAGTTAAGATTGTTCTACTAACTGTCATGGAGTTCTACAGCTCTTGCAATTAACCCTTTACATATGCATTTTGGATGCTAACATCCCACATATTGAACCCTTAGGAAGAGTTTTTGTTCATTACATTCTGACATGTCACTCTTTTTTGCTCTTCTTTTTTGAATAACTTTTTACTAGGCTTTGGAATAATGATGCATATAAATAGACAAAGTCATCACATGTCACTTGTTTATCACAAAAATACCATAATGTGCAGTAATATCTACAACATATGATTCATCATTAGTGGTCAGTGTATAGTTTCTTGGTTCGTGAATTGGTTAAAACAAAAACAAAGGGGAAACAGTACAGAGTAGAGTTAAAAAATAATTAACATTGTATTGCCAAACATCCAATCAGGAGCCCTTGCAGTTGTGCTTAGATCACCGTATTTTTCGCTCCATAAGACGCTCCTGACCATAAGACGTACCTAGTTTTTAGAGGGGAAAAGCAAGGAAAAAATATTCTGCGCAGAGCATATAAGCGGCTCTCGCTTTTCTTGCTTTAAACCCTTCCGTCCCTCCTCCCTCTTCGCTGATAAGCCAGAGAGCAAGCTGCGCAGCTCTCGCTGAAGCCAGCAGAGCAAGAGCGATAGCTGCGCAGGCCCTCTTGTTCTGCTAGCTTCCCAGCAAAGCGGGAGGAGGGACGAAAGGGAGCCCTTACAAAGGAGCGTTGAGCAGAGCCTGGCAGCGGCTCTTGCTAGCTTTTCTAGGAGGTATGGGAAGGGACAGAGGGCAGCCCGTCAGTCCCTTCTCCCTCCTCGGGGAAAAGCCCCCAAAAGCTGTACACACGCTCTGTGCGGCTCTTTAAAGGGAGCGCTGAGCAGAGCCTCCTGCCTGCATTCACTCCATAAGACGCACACACATTTCCCCTTACTTTTTAGGAGGGAAAAGTGTGTCTTATGGAGCGAAAAATACAGTAAGTATCATGCTACTTTTACATTATCAATGAAACAATAAAAAGTTTTGGTGTACAGTGGTACCTCGGGATGCGAACGGGATCCGTTCTGGAGCCCCGTTCGCATCCTGAACAGAGCATAAGACGTGACAGCGCGTCTGCGTGGGTCACGTTTTGCCGCTTTTGCGCATACGTGTGATGTCATTTTGAGCGTCTGCGCATGCATGAGTGGCGAAACCCAGAAGTAACGCGCTCTGTTACTTCCGGGTCGCTGCGGAGCGCAACCAGAAAGCGCTCAACCTGAAGCACATTCAATCCAAGGTATGACTGTATTGACGAATTTGGGAGGGGGAGTTCAAAGTGAAGATGATTACCGTATTTTTCGCCCTGTAGGATGCACTTTTTCCCCTCCAAAAATGAAGGGGAAATGTGTGTGCGTCCTATGGGGCGAATGCAGGCTTTCGCTGAAGCCGACCCCTCTCGCTCTCCAGGCTTCAGGAAGCTATCCGCAAGCCTCGCGCGCCCGGCGGGAGGTCCCGCTGGGCGCGCAAGGCTTGCAGGCAGCAGCCTGCATCCCGAAGCATGGGGCGAGCTGTGGAGCCCGCCCCGTGCTTCGGGCAGATGTCGGCAAGCCTTGTATGCCGGGCTCGCAAGGCTTGCAGGCAGCAGCCTGTTCTGGGGGCTGGGGTCAGGGGAAGCTCGGGCTTCCCTCGCGCCAGCCCCGCGCCTGGGGGGGAAATAATTTTTTTTTCTTTATTCCCCCCCCCCCAAAAAAAACTAGGTGCGTCCTATGGGGCAAAAAATATGGTACATTTAAATTTAAATTGTAAGTGTACTTATTTAGTCTGTATTTCTTGGTCTGACAGTGGTATACAGTCATACCTCATATTATGTTTGCTTCATGATACGTTTTTTCAGGTTGCGTCCCGCAGTGAACCAGAAGTACTGGAGAGGGTTACTTCCAGGTTTCGCCACTCGCGCATGCGCAGACGTGCAAAATGACGTCACGCACATGTGCAGAAGCGGCGAATCGCAACCCTCACGTGCGCAGACATGCACGTGCGGGTTGCATTCTATTCATGTTGTGAACGGGCCTCCAGAACGGATCCCGTTCCCAACTAGAGGTACCACTGTATTTCTGTTACAAAAGTCACATAACTGGTATAGACCTTCTGCTCTCTATCTGGCCACATAAAATTGTCAAGAAGTGTTGTGAAATTATGGGTGGGAGGCGAGGGCTGCCAGAGGGGACAGTGCAGGAGTTAGGAGTCCTGCCTTCTCTTTCCATGCATTAAGAATGGTTTGTGTGGATCACATTTGGAATGTTCTGAACGTTTGCTTTAAAGGGTACGCTGAGGTTAGAATTTCCTCAGTTACTTCTGTTTTCAATTGAATAGGGTTGCCATATATCAAGAGGTAAGAATCGAGACAAAATAAGTTGTTTTTTTGGCGACCATCTGTCCCGTCCCGGCCATCAGCCGCCGCCAGAGCCCCAACTGCCCACGCCAGAGCCCAAACCAGAGCCTAAGCTGCCCGCTCCAGAGCCCGAACCAGAAACAGCCCAGGTTGTCTGTGCCAGACCCCAGAGCACAAGCCAGAGCCCAGGCTGCCACAGCCAGAGCCTGAAACTGAGCTCAGACCATCTGCACCAGAGCCTGAGCACAAACCAGAGTCCAGACCAACCACGCCAGAGCCCAAACATAAACCCAAGCCTCCGTGCACAAAAAAGTAAATACAATAAAATAAAACCAACCCCCCCGCAAAACCTGGACAATTGCTGTAACTTGTAAAAATTTCCCTTGATGGGGATGTAGGCCCCCCAAAAGAGGACATATATAGGATTTCCTGGACATATGGCAACCCTACAATTGATGCCATTGTTTTGAGGTATCATCTAAAATAAAAGGGATGGCATGTTTTACATGGTTAGCAATAAAATATAGTATCAAGTTTGGGGTGCCCCTGCCTCCTCCTACTGGGAGTTTGGCATTTATTCTGGTTTGGTGTGTTTTTTTGCACTTTTGTTGAGTGAGATCCAAGTGGGTTAGTGATTGGAATAAAAATGGCAGTTTTGGTAGAATCACCATTTTTACCATTGCTAATTTGTCTAGGATAAAATGGGGTTTATTCTATTGTGTGTGTTTTTGTCAAATTCTGAATTGTCCACAGATATCCACAGGAGAATATTTTGTCGATAGAGTCTGTTAAGGTTTCTTGTTATAATTATTCCTAAATAGCTAAGCTTTCTGTGAGAGAGTCTATCTAATGCCTGTGAGTTTTGTGAAAGCTTTTTGGTTGGGTGGTACACTGAAGCATAAATCTTCAGATTTTGAGAATATAACATGCAGACCTGATTGTGTTGCAAAGCTGTGAAGCTTTCAAAATATTGCTGCTCCTGTCTTCAAGGTCAGGTGTCATTATCATTAAATCATCAGCAAATAGTCCAGTCGTATAGTTTTGTTTTCCAATTAGGACTTCCTTGACATCTGGGGTTGTTCTAAGTATATAGCTAATGGTTCTAAAGCTAGGATGAACAAAAAAGGGAGAGATTGGACAGCCTTGCATTGTTCTTTGAATCCCCACTAAGGATGAATTTATATTATTTATTTCTACTGTAGTGGAAGCTTCAGAGTATATTTGTTTCAAAATTTGTATGAATTTGGGGCCAAATTGCATTTTAGAAAGGACTGCCTGCAAGTAGTCGCATTTCAGACATTCAAAGGCCTTGAGGATGTCTAACGCCATGACTACCAGTGGGAAGGTTGTCTGTCTACTATGTTGACAGCTTTTTGATAGGTCCGGTGATGTTTCAATGAAGGAGAAAACCAGCTTGGTCTCGGGCTTAGTCTGGGGCTATTAGTTTGTGTAACAATGTCTTAATCCTGTTGACTTCCACTCATGTAAAAATTTCATAATCAGACAAATTGGCTAAAAAGATTCTACTTTTTGGTGGTCTTTAAATGGTTTTGGGATAGCTATAATCTTGGTGTGGTACCATATTTTGGTGATAGGTGCTCCTCTCATTAGGTCACTAAATAAGAGGACCATATATGATGATAATGTTTCTTTGAATTGTTTATAAAGCTCAAAAGCTTAGAAGTGAAGCCACCAGGTCCTGGGGCTTTATGTGGTTTCAGTTTTTTAAGAACATTGTCAATTTCTTCTAGGGAGATGTGGCTATCTAAAAAAGGTTTTCTCATGAGTTAGTGAGGGTATAGGTAAGTTTTCTAATAATTGTGGATATCTTTTGAGGGGGGATTATGAGGTATATAATTTAGTATAAGAGGAGGGGGTAGATGCCTTTAAAAGAGATTGTTTTAGTGCCTTTTTTAATACTGTGTACTCCTGACAGAATTTATTTCTTTTTAAGTCTGTTCGCTGAAAGTCTAGTCTTCCCTCCATATTCATAAAAGTATTGTTTCATGTATAAGAGGTTGACCAGTGTACTACTATTTCCAGTGAGCTTATTTCTCATCTCTCTTGTTAAATTACTCTGAGGTAGTGTTTTGACTATGATTCCAGAGGGTGGCAGCATGATTCTATCTTTTGAGGCATTAGCTACCCCTCCCAGTTTGGTGTCACCTGCAAATTGAATAAGCATGCCCTCAATTCAAGCCATTTATAAATATATTGAGCAACTGTCCCAGGACAGAACCCCTCGGCACCCCACTTGTCACTTTTTTCCAGGAAGAGAAGGAACCTTGAGTAAGCACTCTTTGGATTTGGTCAATTAATCAGCTACAAATCCACCTACCAGTTACCCCATCTACCCCATATTACCCCATATTTTACTAGCTTCTCCACAAGAATATTATGTGACACTTTGTCAAAAGCCTTACAGAAAGCAAGATACACTACATCGAGAGCATTCTATTGATCCTCCAAGCTTGTACCTCTATTAAAATAAGAAAGAGATTCGTCTGGCATGACTTGTTCTTAAGAAACTAACGCTGGTCTTGGTAATCACAGCATTCTTTTTTAACTGTTCACAGACTGGCTGTTTAATTATCTGTTCAAAGGCCTTTCTTGGAATCAATGTCAAGCTGTCTGGTTGGTAGTTACTGACTGGTCAGTATTTTTTTCCCTTTTTGAAGATGGTGACAGTATTTGCCCTCCACCGTGGGTGCAGCTCATTGGGTCCTGGGAGTCTGAATTCATTTAAAGTAGCTAGGTGTTCTTTTACCACCTCTTTTCCTATCTGGGGCTTCAGCTCTCTTCTTGCATTCCCCCCCCCTTTTTTTATGCCATGCATAATTTTATATACTTCTGCCATCTTTTCTCTAAACTAAAAGTCCCAAATTTTGCATCCTTTCTTCATAAGGGAATTGCTCCATCACCTTGATCACTTTAGTTGTCATTGTCTGAGCATTTTCCAACTCCGCAGTATGAGAATTTGAGCTGAGACAACCAGAACTGTGCACAGTATCCCAAATGTGGTTGCACTGTAGATTTGTTTTTATGTGCTTGGATTTTTCTTTCTCATGTAATGGACGATTTCCAGAGAGGTTGCCATGTTAATTTATTGCAGCCTAAACAACAAATTCAAGGGACGTGGGTGGCGCTGTGGGTAAAACCTCAGTGCCTAGGACTTGCTGAGCATAAGGTCGGCGGTTCAAATCCCCGCGGCGGGGTGAGCTCCCGTCTTTCAGTCCCAGCTCCTGCCCACCTAGCAGTTCGGAAGCACCCCTAAGTGCAAGTAGATAAATAGGTACCGCTTTCTAGCGGGAAGGTAAACGGCGTTTCCGTGTGCTGCGCTGGTGCTGGTTTGCCAGCTGCAGCTTCGTCACGCTGGCCACGTGACCCGGAAGTGTCTTTGGACTGTGCCGGCTCCTGGCCTCTTAAGCGAGATGAGCGCGCCACCCTAGAGTCGGACACGACTGGCCCGTACGGGCAGGGGTACCTTTACCTTTTTTAAACAACAAATTTCTTGGTCTTTAGGTGCCATAAGGCATTGAGGGTTATTGATGCAGTTTTTGTATTTCTTGTATCTGCCAGCATTTAGCATTTCTGTTGTATTGCTTCCTTTTCTGCGTGACTTAAAACTTACACATCCTTTCAGCATTACTTAGCCTTGTCAGTGGCCCCGACTTATAAAATGACCTGTTATCTTTTGCCCTGACCTTCCAGAAACAGGGCCATATAATCTTTTCTGAAAACTGGCACAGCACAATGGAGAAATATAAACAGTCATTGATAATTCAAGTGTGGCTGAGAACTAAAAATGGCCAAGGATATGTTTTGGCTGGCTCCTGAATACAATCAATGTACAACACTATTTGCTAATCCTGAGAGTTCCATCCTGCTTTGACTCTCCATTTGCAACATTTCTGTGCTCCCATAACTTTTAAATCTATTTTCTTAATTAAAAAATCTCCCCTGCAGCTACCAATTGGATCACTGGTCTCTGTAGCTCAGTATTGTGTACACCAACCAGCAGCTGCTCTCCAGGGTTTTAGACAGGGAGTTTCTCCCAGCCCTGCCTGGAGATGCCACTGGGGACTGAACCTGGAACCTTCTGCATGCAAAGCAGCTGCTCTAGCCCTAGGCTGCAGGCCCTCAGTCTGGACCTCTTTGGGGTGGAATCCACATGTATTTGGGGGTGAGGGAAGCAAAGGTTTATAAGGAAACATGGAGACACATGGTAGGAATGGGCAAAAGCTGAGTTTAGAAACTTGGTTTACATACAGGGCTGTCCCTCCTGATTTCTCTCAGCCTCAGTTTTCAGATGTGGGAAAATACAGGATGGGGGGCTAGGCTTTTGGCCCAGCTATGGAACCAGCTAGGGACGAGGGTGGTGCTGTGGGTAAAACCTCAGTGCCTAGGACTTGCCGATCATATGGTCGGCGGTTCGAATCCCCGCGGCGGGGTGAGCTCCCGTCTTTCAGTCCCAGCTCCTGTCCACCTAGCAGTTCGAAAGCACCGCTAAGTGCAAGTAGATAAATAGGTACCGCTTTATAGCGGGAAGGTAAACGGCGTTTCCGTGTGCTGCGCTGGTGTCGGCTCGCCAGAGCAGCTTCGTCATGCTGGCCACGTGACCCGGAAGTGTCTCTGGACAGCGCTGGCCCCCGGCCTCTTAAGTGAGATGGGCGCACAACCCTAGAGTCGGACACGACTGGCCCGTACGGGCAGGGGTACCTTTACCTTTACCTATGGAACCAGCTATGGAATAATAGCCCAGTGTCAAGAAGATACATGGCTGAGGTGATTCCTGTTAAGCATCACCAGTCTCCTCAAAATACATAGGAAATCTTGAGACAGTCTTTAGACAGTCAGGAATTTGAGGTTATAGAGAACAAATGTGTTTTTGGGTTGCTGGGGAATAAAAAATAGGTTGTGCTCCTGCATTGAAACTCACTTAACTTTTGACCTTTTGAATTTATATGAGCTAACATCCATGTCAGAAAGAAGTTGCCAGAGACACCAACAAACTAAATTCCAGCTTAATTTCAAATTAAACGTCCAAATCACAACAATTTATAGCAATTTTATCATCTTCTTTTTTGCAGCCTGTGCAGATACGTTCCTTGCCTGTATGTTGCTATTAACATTAACAGCTGGGCTAACTGGCTTCAAAACTGCTCAAAATAAAAACTAATTAAAACAGACCACAGAGCTCAAGGACAAGTAGCTTTGCCCATTGCCATCTTCTCCATTTTATTTCCTTTGTTCTCTGGTGAAGCTCAAACAAAAATATTTTAACTTTTAGTTACTGTTTTTCACCCGATTAATTTTTCCTGGGTTTGCTACACTGGACTGATTTATGCTAATTTACACCTGAGATTGTACAAATCTATTTCTTGAACTCCTGTTATCAATAGGTAACTGTAATATTTTTCTTTTTATCCTTTACTTGGAAAGACAAGGGTCAGAATTGTCTCAAGAATATGTAATTTTACATAATGTAGTTTTGATTTCATTTATGCTATATCATTGTGAGTTATACTTCCATATCCTGGAATGCAGTCATTGTTTGTGATACATTAAAAAAAAAAATCCTTTCCGGTTGCTACTACTTGCCCATTTAAGCCTTTTAAATAGAGATCTTTCCCAGTCTGTTTCTCCTTTGGAATTGTTTTTAGATCTTTTAAGTGTTTCACTGCAGCCATGTCTGGTGATCTGGGACCCTTTTGGGATGAAGAGTGGGAATGTTTTAAAATAAATAATATTCTGTAGATTCTATTTTCAGCTAGCATCTTTTTAGGGCAGCAGAGGTAGTTACTGCAATCTCTGTTCTAGAATTCTGTAGTTAATTTATTTTCTAATTACAGAGCCTGTGGAATATTGAAACCACTCGTCTTATTGCCCATTTTGAGAAATCAATGCCGAAGGAAGATGATGACAGCAATTCGCTGGACTGTGATGAGGGGGGAAAGGTGCAATGCCTGGATTCTGACATCGAGAAAAAACTTAGAGTGCCATTGTTGGAAATACTGAAATACCCCTACCTTTTGCTTCATAAACACCTCAGTGAGTATCTTGAGGCACCTGAACTTGATCTGGTTCTCCCTTGCATAGTAGCTACAGTTTTTGAAAGCAGCTACTGAAACAGGTTGTGACAAATCACTTAGTGGTTGCATTCTCAGGATACACCAGGAGGTGGTATGTTGATTGGGCTTTTTTGTACTATTTCGCTCCTCAGAAAATCTTGTACACAAAATTCTTATTACTATATTATGTATATTCTGTTGCCATCACAAGTGATCAGAAATTGTGGCCTGGGTGGTGTTGCTCACTTGACTTCTTCAAGACATGCATCCCTGCTGTTTACTAAGAACAGGAGGGTAGAATTCTTTTTGTTGCAGGAACCTGTGTATTAACTTTGCTGGAAGGACAAGCTGTGGGTTTGTTTTGGCCCAGCCATATAGCAACAAGGTGCCTAGGGAAGGTTTACCAAATCTTTCCTTTGTATGTGTGTGTGGGGGGGGGGCGTGTTTCATGAAAATGCCAGACAGGTATCTCCCTTAAGAAGCTTTATAGGATAAAACCCTCTGCATAGTGTTGATCTGAACACTATGCAGAGGGTTCGACAGAGTCCATTCCTGTTCTATGAATCTTTGAAAATGGCTTTCATCTTATGCAAGGATCATTTCCCTTCAAATTATGGTTATTCCAGCAGCCCTAACACTTTGTGTTCTCTTTTTTTGAATTGTAGGCATGCTGTTTGTAGAAGCGATTTGCAAAATGGAGGCAATCAACTACCCCTGCCAGGTGCTTGGGAAACACCCAGGGGTCTATTTGCTCATGGTACACTCTAATGAAACGGTGAGCTGCTTTAATTTTCTTCTACGTTTTCAGTTTTGCTTCCCAGGCTTAAATGTAGGATTAAGCTGCCTTAACCATTGGTCAAATGAAAGAAAGTCCTTATGCATAGAATTGTAGAGTTGGAAGGGACTCCAAGCGTCACCTAGTCCAACCCCCTGCAATGCAGCAATTTCAGCTAAAGCATCCATGACAGGTGGACATCCAATCTGTTCAAAAACCTCCAAAGAAGGAGAGTCCACCAACTCCCAAGGGAGTCTCTTCCACTGTCAAACAGCTCTCACTGCTAGAAAGTTCTTCCTTATGTTTAGTCAGAATCTCATTTCTTGTGAATTGAAGTCATTGGTACAAGTTCTCCAAGCAGGAGAAAACAAGCTTGCTCCAGCTCCCACATGACAACCCCTAAGATATTTGAAGATGACTATCATCTCTCCTGTCTCCTCTTGTCCAAGCTAAACATACCCAGCTACTTCAACCACTCCTTATAAGGCTTGATTTCCAGACCCTTGATCATCTTGGTTGCCCTCTATATACATTTCAGCTTGTCAATATCCTTTTTAAATTGTGGTGCCCAGAACTGGACGCAATATTCCAGTTGTAGTCTAACTAAGGGAGAATAGAGTTGTGCCTGTACTTCCCTTGAATTGAATACTACACTTCTGTTGATGTAGTCTAGAACAGTATTCCCTCTTTGTTATGCTGAATCACAGTACTGAGTCATGTTAAACTCGTGGTCTACTAAGACCCCTAGATATGTACCACTGGCAAGCCAGGTGTCCTTCCATCATATATTTGTGCAGCTGGTTCTTCCTGCCTAAAGTGCAGGAAGAACCTTACACTTGTCCCTACTGAAATTCATTTTGGAAGTTTGGACCCAGTTCTCCAATCTGTTAAGGTCCTCTTGAATTTTGATTCTTTTTAAGTGGCATTAACTACCCTTCCCAGTTTGGTGTCATCTGCAAATTGGATGAGCAGCCCCTCAATTCTTTCTTCCAATTCATTTATAAAGACATTGAACAACAAGCCCAGGACAGAACTCTGTGACACCCTATTTGTCACTTCTTTCCAGAATGATGAGGAACCATTATTGAGCACTCTTTGAGTTCAGTTATTCGGCCTGCTGCAAATCCACCTAACTGTTACCTTGTCCAGCCCACATTTTATCAGCTTCTTCACAAGTATATAATGGGAGACTTTGTCAAAAGCCTGACACAAATCTGTATTTTTCAAATTACATTAACAAGTTTGAGAAAACAACAGTTCCAACAATGCTTTCCTTCATAGTTCTAGGAAATAACAAACAAGCTGTTTTGTGTTTTATATATTAATAGAAACACCTTGAACTTGGCCTGGTAACAAACCAACAGGTTGGTCTGTGAGCATGTGTGTTATATGCTGACAAGGTCTCACACCTGTCAGCAGCCATGATGCACCATTCTGCACTAACAGCAGCACAAGGAAAGCCCGACACAGAGCACATTGCATTAATGCAATATTGAGGCAGCCAAACCTTTATAGGAAGCTTGTTCTTTTCATCAGGCTGAGGGCCTGGCAACAGAAATCTTTGCCTGGTTAAGACCCTTGGGGGGCTACCCTGTGTGAGAAGAAATAAACAAACTTAACTTTTGTAAGTATCTCTGAATTCTCTTTTGGCTAAAGGGTGAGGTATAAAAAAAGACTTCTATCTAACTTCTACTTAGAAGAGATTCATTGATGTTAACAGTCTAAGTTAGTCATGCCCATCAATTTCAATGGGCCTGCTCTGCATAGGACTGACACTGGATTCAACCTAAAGTAACATCCTAGTTGTTCTACACTGTTATTAACACAGTTCTATTTTTAGTGATTCCACCCAGGTTTTTTATTTGTTTTTGATAGGTGGTTGTTAAAATATCCCTGTCCCTCATTTTCTGGGATGATTGGTAAGTGAGGAGGCTGTGGAGAAGTCCACGGCCTTCAAGTAAGTTTTCCCTGAAACATATCTACACTGTCTGGTTTGGAATGTGAACCTTTAGGTTAGACTTGGTAACAGTTGTCTTTCACACCAACTTGGCTTCTGCTCCACTTTCCATAACAATGACTGCTCTGATTCCTTACCATAGTAATTAATAATGTCCCTTCAAACCCACAGATTCGTCGATGGGCCATTATGACAGCCAAGAGTCTGGGAAAGGTGGACAGGGACGATTACTATGACATACAGGAAGTGCTAAATTGCTTGCTCAGAGTTATAGAGCTGAACCTCTTTGAAAACGCTTATGTTTATAACCCCACAACAGTTGAGAAGGGTAATCTCATCTTGTTGCCTGACCACCTGTACGATATTACCAGTTACAAAAACTACTGGCTAGGTGAGTAGAAGCAGCTGAGATGGTCTGAAGGGTAAAGGGATTTGGCATGCCCCATTCCACTGGGCATGGTAGCATTGTGGTACAGCAGGAATAGCTAAACTTTTTTTCTCCTTTTGGGTAAGAGCCACATTGGCTCATAACGAATGCTCGGAGGGCCTCATGCTAGCAGTGCTCCCAAAACGGGTACGGGGTGAAAGTGGGTGCGACCACCATACACACAGCCTCTGCCTCTGCCCCTCCCTAACACACACACACACACACACACACACACACACACAGGAAGCTACCTTACGCTGACTGACCATTGATCTATCCAGCTGACGGGGGCAGCATCTATCTCCAGGGGGTGTATTCCAGCCCTCATCCATGAAATCAGGTGCCACAATAAACCTATTAGCCTTCTCTCCCCACACCCAGCTCATCTCTGGCCTTCCAGATGTTTCTGGAGTATGTTTCTCATCCTCTTATTTTTTGACATGCCAGCTGGGGCTGATGGGAGTTGTATACCAATAACACGTGAAGGGCCACAGGTTTGCCCACCCTCCTTTAAGGTGTTGCCGGGCTCCTTTTCCTCCTGTTCCATTTAGAATTAAAACTTTGCTTCCTTATCATTGACTTTGTGGCGCTTAACAGTTGTATATATCATTATTTTTAATTAAACCATCCCATCCATGTATGTGCAACCTTGCTAAATTCTAAAATGTAGGTTCCTATCCCAAGGGATGGGTAATGTAAAGCAGGGGTAGCTAACATGGTGCTCCTCATATGTTGCTGGACTCCACCTCCTTAAGCCCCAGTCAATATGGCCTATTGCCAGGGATGGTGTGTTCCCAAACTCTGGAGGACACAAACAGTCTAAAGTTTGAGAGGACTGCAAGCAGGCGCAATTACATTAAGTAGGTTTTAGTTTGTTTATGGATTAAGATTGGGAGTTAAGGCAATGCCCAGTGACAGTTTCTGAACTTTCTAATTTTCATTGTTGTAGGTATATGTATGGTGCTGCTGGTGCTGGATGAGCAAGCCATGGATTCATTGTTGCTTGGCCCAAACAAACAGAATGACTTTATGCAATGCATAATAAACACCCTTAAGAAAGACTCGGATGGTAATTAATTAATAATCTTTTAGGGCAGTGATAAAAGTAAATTAAAAATAGTCTGAATAGCCATAAAACTTGTATGTCAAATAAATTATTTAATGTTCAAATGCTATAGTGCATGATGGCTGATCACTAGTTTCTATGCTTATAAAAAACAGACCTCAAATGTCATTGAAGTTTTGTTTTTCTTATGTGTTTTGCAGTTATTAGGTGAGATCTAACTAAGTCATAGTTTAGACACATTGGTTAATGAAAGTTCATTGATTTCATTGGTGTCTAGATTATTAACTGAAGTTTGATATCACCAAATGGGTTTTAGGGGGTTTCTTTTTGGAGAATTAGGTGTCATTTCTTCTGAGGAGGAACAGAAATCTGTTTGGATGCACCTTATATCCAACTGAAATTGCATAAATTGATATCTGTAACTTGCCTTCCTTTATCCATAATACTTCTGTTTTGGTTGCTACATGAGAAATTCAGTTTAAAAACATTACACCCCCCCCCCATGTGCTTTGGCTCACATTTACCTGCAATGTAATATCTTCTTTCAGCACAGTTGATAAAGCCATTAGGTTTGCAGACCTTTATTCTTACTGTTGTTTGCTGATAAGCACTGTTGTGTTGAATGGCATTTTCCTGCAGCAGAGAGGGAATCCTCACATGGATTGCCCCCCCCCCATTCCACACTTGCTCCACAGGCAGGAATATGTAGATTAGACAGATCTTACCTCAGTGGGACAGCATTGCTTCCTTTCCTTCCTGCCTTGCTACTGTGCAGGCCCAGGTCGCAGCTCTACGCTGCTGCCGTTTGCTGCTTGAGGAGAAGCTTTCCTTTCCTTGAGGCACATTTAATTACAGAATTCAACAACAAAAAGGTATGAGTCGTCTCTGAGAGCTCGCAGCCTGCATTTTTGGCCAATTTCTCAGATGAGGAGGCCAGAGGAGCAGAGGCTACCCACAGCAGTGGGGTGGTTTCCCTTAGTGTACCCTCAAGCTTGCCAAGAACTGCATCCCAGGAGCCAGCAGAGGCTGCAGAGGAACAGCCAGCAGAGAAAGCTGAGGCTTTGTAGCAGCTGCTGGGCCTTGCATCACCCCGTCATTTAGTGATTGACAGCACAACACTCCACACTGGGTTCTGTCAGTGAATCCGGCAGGCATTGGACCAGGATGCAGGAGCTGGTTTAGTCCCAGTCCCTCAGATGGCATTTCTTGGCCCTCCAGTGCCCAAGGTACGTCAGGTTTTGGTGGGAAATAGGGCCTCACGCTTGTTTTCTGCTGAGAGTTTTGCCCACCTGTTGAAGATCCTAAAGATAGATAACTGTGCCCAAGAACACAGGAGCTGGTGGTGGCGGCGGCAGCGGCAAAGGGAGTGTCCAAAGTAAGGACTGTTCCAGTCCTTCAACCCTTTTGGCACCTTTTCCATCTGTTCTCAGTACCTGGGGATAGTCACTCCTCAGGCCCAGGTAGGCCCAGGTCCTAAAAGGTTTTATACCTTTCAACTTGAGACTATGACTAAATGCTGAGTTCCCCACCGTACCTCTGTATGTTTGATACAGTGGGTACAATGACAGCCAAGGACACAGATTAATTTCCTAGAATTCGGATGATAATAAGACTCCATTTGACCTTCTGGTGGTGCCTATGGCCGCGGAGACAGTAGAAGCTAGCGGTACCAGTGAGATGGGCAGAGATTCCAGCCCTGGCAAATAGCAGAAGCAGTTCTCACCCAGTTCTAGAGAGACTGGACAGAATCAGCAGGGAGGCAAGAAGTTAACTTAGTCCTGACTAGAGATGTAAAATTTCCAGAAATTTTGAAGCCATGAGAAAAAAAGTTTTTTCCTCTTTTTCCCCAGAAAAAAATTGAAGTTTTTTTTTGGGGAAATTAAAGTTCAATGTGGAGTAGTTTTACAAATTGCGTGAAACACAGTGTAGGTAAAAGTATTGTGCTTGCAATAAAACATGTAACCACCCCCTTTCCCCCAAAAGCAACAAAAAAGCAAGAAACCATCAATATAAAAAATAATCAGATTTTCCCCTTAGCACCAACAGCAAATAAAGTTAAGATCCACTTCAATATTTAAGCTCCATAGAAGATCTACCCTTTGAGTAGTGCTTTTTTAAAAAACAAAAAAGTGTGTGGAATATTCAAACTATATCAAACTTTTTTTTTTAATTTTCCTAGAAAAAAAACAGCTTCAGAAAAAAGTGGGGGGACGGACACTGGGGTTTCCTCCCCAATTCCCCCCCCCCCAGGCCTTCCCATCTCTACTCCTGACTCCCTAAGCTTCCAGTTTAGTTCATCTGTAACAGTTCTTCACCTGCTGCAAGGAGATGACAACAGATCAGTGGGTTCTACAAACCACGAGGGAAGGGGATATTCAGGACTTTGCCCACTTACCTCACAGCCACTTTGTCATTTCTCCCATGTCCAAAAAGGAGAAAACGCTATGTGGTCCTAGCAGCCATTCAGCTGATAATCCATCAATGCCATAGAGCCCATGCCCTGCTACTCGATAATCTTCATAGTCCCAAAGGAGGAGGAGGAAGATCTCAGGGCCATATTGAATTTGAAGAGGGTGAACAGGCACATCAATCAATCAATAGACTTTATTTGCGTAGCCGACAGGCCATAGCATCAAAGGACAAACACCGACAAAAATACATTACAAATATAGTTACCATAAAATCTTATGACCTATTAAAACCCTAGGTAGAAGCTGGATTAGAACAGGCACATCTCTCAGACACTGATGCAGCAAGGGACACATTGTTCAACTGGGTGGAGAACTACCTCACATCTATCACTGAAGAACATGTATTAGGTGCATCCACCAGGGAGGATTGGCAATAAAAGATATTAAGGATGTTAGTAGAATAAGTCAGTGCATATCCTTATTTGGAAAGTATTAGTTAGCTTGAACATGCTTAGATTAGAAAACTATATAGATCAAAATTTGGAATATTGAAAGAATGTCTCTTTGATTAGCTTAGAGATTAACCTGATGTTACTGTCCTGATGGAAGGTTAGATATGTAAAAAAACAAAATAAAAGGTTATTATGTAAAATGACTTGTAGGAAAATCTTGACCAGCATGTCATGTCATGGCTGATGTAGAATGGACCATGTGGAACTGGTTATATACTTAGCGCCATGTAAGCGGTGTATGGAGAAGTATAAAAGCTGTCTTGAAACCTGTGATTAGCACAGTACCCACTATTCTATGGGATTGTCCTTTACTGCAGCAAATTTAATAAAAAGTATTGTCTTCCTGGAATTCGTTCACTGAGGTCCAGCTCTGAGGGCCTTCTGGTGCTTCCCTCACTGTGAGAATTGAGGTTACAGGGAACCAGGCAGAGGGCCTTCTCAGTAGTGGAACCCACCCTGTGGAATGCTCTCCCATCAGATGTCAAGGGAATAAACAACTTTCCAACCTTTAGAAGACATTTGAAGGCAGCCCTGTTTAGGGAAGTTCTAAATGTTTGGTGTTTTGTTTTATTTTTAATATTCTGTTGGGAGCTGCCCAGAGTGGCTGGGGAAGCCCAGCCAGATGGGCGGGGTATTGATTGATTGAGTTCCTTACATGGGAATGAACCTGAGGGATGTTCGAGCAGCTTTGGTACATCCTATCCGAGGATCCCCACCCCCCGGGCATGGAAATGTGACATTGGAGCACCAGTGAAGGTCCAGTTTCTGCAGGGGGTGGAGGGGATCCTATGCACCCTCGGGTAGTTTGCATAATTGGCTGTGTGGTTGCACGCATACACTGCTTTTTAGTATTTTCTCTAATTGAATACGTTCTAGTTTGGTGTTGAAACACTCTCTCCTCAGTTCAGTTTAATACAGTAGTACTCTCCTGCTCCAAACATGTGGGCATTCCACCTCCCTAGGCAGCAAAATTTTGCTGCCAGAGGACAGTTGATCAGCTGCAGCAGGCAGCATGAAATACTTGCAGGGACTACAGGTTGCCCATGGATTCAGCATCAAGCCAGTTCCTTAATTTAGCCAGGTTCATTCATTTCATTTGAAGTTTACTCTGAGTAAAACATAATTTGAATACAAACTTGCTCACTGATTTTATGGCAGTTCCAGTATTGCTTGATACTGGGTTTTTATCCCCCCCCATGTACTCAACATTTTCATTTTTTAATTTACGTGTTTTCATTGACTAAATATTATTTCCCATCTCAGCGTGTTTTGACTTGTCTGTTTCAGATGAAAGTAACAGTCCCTTCTGGCCTGCACTCCACTGCTTCATGGTGATCCTGGATAAGCTTGGGTCCAAAGTATGGGGGCAGCACATTGATCCAAGTGAGGCATTTCAAACTATTAACAACAGCGTGAGTTATAATAAAGAAATAGAGAATATTCGCCAAAGGTGCAAGAGGTCAGTCCTTTATCCTTTTATTACAGTTTTTATAATACAGCATTTTGGAAGCCAGTGTGATATCCTTCAATTCTTGCTGAGCAATTGGCCGTTCTGGCTGGGGCTGATGGGAATTTTGCATCAACATGTAACTATATTAGTTACCACTGGATTAAGATTAAACATATTTGATATAGTTTAAATGTTACCTGCAAATCAGTTAAAGGCTTTGCTTAAAATATTTTCAAGTGTTCCAGTTAAAATACCTACCAATAAAACTCACTCACTGTTTAAATTGTAATTTGTTTTTGTTTTTTGTTTTAGTTCTAATACTAGTTTTTATAAATATATTGTGTTTTGTAGGGATGGTTATCTGTAAAAAGTTAACTACTACATTGATTTTAATCATGAGTTTCTTGATTGGATTTGTGTTGTGTTCATGTATTGTGACACTTTCTAATTTTATGAAATGTGGTTCCTGCAGAAAATATGTCAGTGGAACAGTTTCCATCTAACATCATTGGATGAGCTATGTTGCTCATGCCCATTTTGTGGATGTTGTGGTATTTCTTCCAAAGCCACCTAAGGAGCCTATGACTTAGTGAGGTTGTCTTTCCTGCATTTACAAATCATGGTGCATCCATGCTGTGTATGTGAACTATGGTTTGTTCCAACGTGCCTTAGGTTGTCTCACAGATGAGCAAGCAAACCAGTTTCTTTCTACAGAGCTTAAAACAAGCAATGTTTCATAAACCTACAAGAAATTTTAGTGCCAGATTGGAATCAACCAAAGCAAGCTGTAGTTAGTCAGCTGAGCTGGGTTCCAACTCTGGAAAGAAATTAGTAGAGGAGTTTGACCAGAGGTCGCCCTCCACTGAACTCCCCAAAGACACAGGCTTCAGTTGAAAAGTAGGCCTTTATTAGTACAAATGTACATAGGGTCAGTCTCTTCAAAAATACTGGAGAAGACTGCGTTTTGGGGCTTTCAAACGTTATTTCTACTTCACCAGTCATAGGATTACAGCAGACTTTCCCATCACAGTTACAACTCATTGACACCATTCTAGACCAAACAGAGATCCTTTTGCTCTTCTGTCTAGCCCATCTCAACCTCCTCATCTTATTATACATTTTTTTAAGGGTAACCTTTTTTAAGAGTGTTTTTGATTAATTTCTCTTATTAGCTGTTTATCAACATCTGTTTTCCATTATCTGTGATTCATTTATCAGGTTAAATATAAGTGCTGCTATGCTTAGCAGTCCTTTCACTATTGCCATACTGATTATCTGCTTACTTTCCTTCAGAGTTCGTTCCCTCATTGTACCAGGTGCACATAACCTCTTAGTTAAATACAATGTTTTTTTCCTTACTAGAAGAGCTTAGTTAATATTCATACACATATGCTGGATACATAATATGGAGTCCTAAAGGCTCAAAGTGGATTCAAACAAGATGAAGAAAAATGGAGAGTTCTTCTTTTCAACCATCTGTGGTTTAGAGTTAAATTTGAGTGAAATACTCATCGCTCTGGCTTAAGTGAATTAGCTTTCACTAAGGCAGTTAGTTTAAGTCTGAGAGCAATTTAAGTACTCTTTATGACAAATGTAACACTATAATTATTTGCATAGTCTTTGGGACTCAGGGTCAGAGGAGGAAATAACATTGACCTTGATTACATATTCTTCTGTTCTCTCTCTCCCCCCCCCCCCCCCGCAGTCATGAGCTTTAAGAATGATGTAAACTACACATTTAAATAAATAGCTTTTGGTTTAAATGCTTTGCTTTCTTAATGTTTTCAAAGGACTAGATCTGTGCCGCTATCAGATTGTGAAGATGAAATGGTCACCTGCAGCCAACTGGTGTATGACTACCGCCTAGAAAAGCCACAGAAGGTACCTTGCATGTTGATCTAATTTATTGTCTCCTTCCATGGTTGAAATATGGTTATGGGGGCAGCTCCAGAGTATAGCTGGAGAGAAGAATCAAACCACATCTGTCCTCTAGAACAAACACTTTTCATTTTCAAAGGCTGGATCCTGGTGTTCGTTTGAAGGGTGGTTTCTTACTGGCAACGGAATTCAGCCTCCTGAAAACTTTGTTTTTTTCATTAAAACAATGTAGACCTGTTGCACTCTGGATGATGCTAGGCTACAACTCCCATCGTCTCTGATCATTGACCATGCTGGCTGAGGCTGATGGAATTTTGAGTCCAGCAACATCTGAAGCGCAACAAACCCCCTTTCCTGTCATAGTAAAATCACGTGAGGATGGCATCTGTATATGCGGGGGCGGCAGCGGAATGGAGAACATGCTGTTAAAACAGTGACTTCTTGTTTCAGGTTACCAGGCAGAAATCTGCTGCTTGTCCTAATTACTTCCCTGACTTGTATGAAGATATGAAAACATTCATTGATGCATTCCAGGCTGACTTTGGCCAAGACATACAGTTGCACAGCAGCACTTTTCTATGGCTTATCCCTTTCATCCACTCCCTTATGGGCCTCAGGGAGCTGGGGATTGGCTACAGCGTACAGGTTATGAGCCACCTGTGTTTAAAAACGGATGTCTCTGAGAACTCTGCTGAATCTTATGACAAAGTATCTCAGTTCTTTATTTGGGTCCTGGTGATCGTGATTCAACTCCACCTTAAGAAAAAGTGCCTCAGTTCTCTGTGGGTCAGCGCGGAAAAATGGGTGCGGACAGTGGTAGCATGGGCCAAGCTTCCACGTGCAGTGTTCATGGCTGGCATCGAGAGAAGGGCGGCCAGGAGCTGCTTAATAAGCACAGCTACATCACCATCTCTGGAAACAGAGTCTGTGCAGTCTTTCTGCATGAAACTGATTCGTAATATCCTGAAGGAAGGCTTACATGATGTGAAGACTCCTGTTTGTAAGCAGTTCTTTCTTGAACTCAACTTGCTTCTCCGTAACCGCATGAACTTGGAGCTGAGTCCCAAGCAGACTCAAGAATTGCAGAGTACTCTGAAGCATATCATAAGGACCATGTGGATGAAATCAGGACCTTCTTCCCCCATCGTGGAGAGCTTTCCCATTGGTGTAAATGAAAGGCAGGAAGACATGCATCCAGTGAATATGTGCAATGAGCACCCACCTCACTTGTCAGCAGCAAGGAAAGATGAAGTCTGCCAAGAAGGCCAAGTACAAGAGGGCTCCATGTTAGCAAACAGATACATGTATGTTCAAAAAAACATGAGCTGTCACCAGATACTAGGGATAGACATAAAGGTTGAGAACATCTGGTCAGGGGTGGAGAGACCCAGAGCTTCCAGTCCTCTGATGACAAAGAATGATGACAGCAGTGATGCTTTGGAGAAAAATGTTGATCAGAATGACCTTACAAGCCAAAGGAAACCTCTGAGACTTCTGAGCCCCAGGTTCAAGGCGAAGTTGAGACAACTGCTTAATAAGTGTAGCAGCAGCACCATGCTGAAGTCCAAAACAAAGAAGGAGCAGTCAGTTAGAGACCAAAGGAAAAGCCAGGAAGGGCCGAAGAGTGATATTGTTGCAGGTAGCGCTGGCAACACATCAGATCCATTGCTCTGCAAATCGGGGGCAGGCTCAAGCAAGTCTTTCCCTAGTCCGTCAGCCTGTATGAAAAATAAATGCAAGGACGATTTGGTGCATTTTGAAACAGGACAGTCGGATTCTGAAGAAGACAGCAGTGATGACATGAAGGAGAAGATGCCACTTGACATTGTGGTGAGGAATCAGCCGAATGAATTTGAAGCAGCTGTCGCTGTCACTTCAACTAGCACAGCAACAGATTCCCAAATTAACATAGTCTTCAATAAAGGCACCTTCATTGCTTCCACCAAAGAAACACCCGTTGACTCTAGGCAGGAAAGCAGCAAGAAAGTTATGGGCTCTGTTCAATCTCAGTCTTCCAGTGAAGACTACCCTTCTAAGGCAGCAAAGGGACCAATCCATACAATTATTATTTCTGATTCTTCAGAAGAGGATGAAAACCAAGGGAACACTAGTAGAGAGAGCAGAAAAGATACAACATGTGTGCGCCATGAGAAGCAATCCAGTGCACAGGGGCAAGAGCCAATGAATTCCTCACCAACAAATGCGGAACATGAATCACAGTTGTTTGAGTTCGAATCAGAAGCTGAAATTTACTCAGAATGGCAGGACAGCCAAACTAATGAGGAAACGACAGAGGAGGAGAACCTTTTAGTGGAGACAGACAATGGCCACAAAGCCACTGACTTGGAAATAAATTACTGGGGTTATGAGTCGAACCCTCATTGGTTTAATGCCACTGAAGAAGGAAAAGAGGACCCTGTGCAAAACAGTGAAACTAAAACAAAGCCACATACACCGGCTCAGAAGGTCAACATTAGCAGCAGAAATGCAATGTGTTGCTCGACTTCCACAGGGATGGATGCAGGGTGTTCCAGACACATAGATCCATCAGCACTTACTGCTCCTTCAGAGTCAGCATCTGCTGTCAAAGAATCTACTATTCAACCAAAGAAGGCACCACCACAGGCAGAACCAGCAAGATCTACTCCTACTGTGGTCCCACCTGCCAAAGTCCACCATTTTCCACCCCCAACCTCACTGACAGAGAATCTTGGCCTGTCAAAGAAAGTCCGTAGAGCAGCTGAACTATCTCAGCGCACACAGGACAGTCTTGCTGAGTTGCGTCGTCATGGGGAAATTGCTGGCAGGGTAGATGTTGCACAGAAAAGAACATCACAACTAATAAATGCTTCACACCTAACTACTAAAAATAGAAAAATGCTTTCTTGCCAAGAACTTCAATTCTATAGGCAGACAAGGCCTAAAGAGAGAGAGAAGGGTCAGCACACTCAAAGAGGAAACCCAAGTTCCTCAATCCTTGAAGCTACAGCTAGTAAAACCAATCCCTTGACCTCTACCGATTCCTCCTCTAGCTCTTGTGATGAGGATGTGGCTTTGAAAGAGGGAGAGCCACAATTGAATGAGAACATTGAAGATGACAACTTGTTTCTTACACAGTCCGATCCAGTGGACATGGAGCTGTGTTCACAAATAGAAAGTGGCAGTAACCCCACACACATGGAAGTCAGGGTATCTGCAAGCCCACTACAGGATGCTAATGAGATATGCAAGGAAGCAGGTTCTAAAAGAGCAGCTGAAGCAGAGGCTCACGGCGCAAGCTGTTCTGCTGGTGGCCCACAAGACAATGCGTCTGCCAAGACTCTTGCACCCCCTAGGCTCTCCACGATGAAAATGTTCAGTGTTTCTTCCCGGAACGCAAACCTCACCAAGGAGCTCGAGAGCATCCCAAAGCCCCCAGCAGTTCCAAAGAGCAAATCATATTCCTTCATGCCCCCGACCTCAAAGGGGAATGGATTGCAGTCCCAAATCCCCATGCCGAACAGCATTCTCCAACCACAGAATTCGAACAACGTCCCTCAGTTGCTAAATGTGCAAAATAACTCTAATGTGTATACTGGTGGGGTGCTGCCTGCCTCCAGACCTGTTTCCTGGCATGAAATGAATCCACGCTTCACACAAGCAAACAGCGTGAATGCCCAGCAGAGAAGTCCTGCCATATTTAGTAGAGAAATCCTGAAGTGGAACTATGACATGTTTGCACAGTTCAGTCAGTTTGGGCCACCAGCTTACCTCCTCCAGTCTGTTATGACTTCTGTTCCAGCCACTTTTAATAATTACAATGACTACTTCAATACTTTCTTCCCCTTAATGATGCTAAATACCTTTGAAACAGTAAGTAAAGTCTCCCTCAGCTCTTTGTAGTCTGGTGGCCACTTTTAACTGGAGTCTTTTGGCTAGTTTCAGGGAGGCCCACCTGGCTTAAAGAAACACATTTTTAATTGATTTTCAGACCGTTATGTAAGCAGAATAAGTGAACAATAACAACAATAATAATATAATAATAACTTGACATATCTAAAACAAGTCAAGGCAGATAGAAGAACCACCATAAGAAGTAATGACACCCAACTTTAAATCATGACATATTTCTCTGGTGTAAGGAGAGATCATTCCATGTCCATCTTTGAACGGAGTAAAAATGTTCAGGGTCCTCCTTCCCCTTGCAGACCCATAATTTAGGTTTTTTACACCATGGAGAAATATTCAAGCTCTGTAATGTTTTCCATTGTTGGAACTACGGAAATCTAGGCTGCTGCCAGCACCCATGTTTAACGTTCCTTTGAGCGAAAAGTCTTCATCATTTCTGCCCACATATTTATCAAAGAAAGCTGGGCAAAAATTTAAACAGGTATTTCTTGATCCCAGACCAGAATGACTTGCGGGCGTTCCCACCAAAGGTGGAAAATGTCCCTTTGTTCCCACAGTCCTGCCAACTGTTCCATGCTATAGTAGAAGTAATGTGGGATAATTGTGCTGGTGCACAGTGCCACTGGTGTGCTATTTTAAAGTGCATTCTTGGGCATGTGCAAATATAGGTTGGACAGTCTAGAGTTCCATAGCTTTATATTCAGCATTTTCTGTACAAAGAATTAAGTCTTTTTAAGAAGACACACTTGTAAGGAGAATACATACCTTAGTTGGTGGACCCTTCAGGAAGTGCATTGGAGGTGGTTGGGAGCTGCTGCATGCCAGCAGTGGACAGGACCAGAGTTGGCAACAGAATGCCCCATTTTTCTCTTTCCTCTCCTCTTCCCTTCCTACCTCCACTGCAATTCCACTTAGGCTACATCTTCACCATACATTTAAATCAGCATCATACTAATTTTTTTTTATTAAATTATTTTTTATTAATTTTTAGTAACAATCCAATGTAGGCCACATTAATACAATACCAAATCACGCCAAATCACAATACAATCAAAAGAGCCAATTAATCAGTTCCAAATTAAACATTTTTGAATGACTTCCCATGTTCCGGCTATCAGGAGTTGATGTCATTCCTTGGTCCTGCACCAATTCTCTTAATTAGTCCAAGTTCCACAATTCCAATCTTAATCCTTTATTTTAACAGCCACTGATGTGATGACTTTCGATCATATTTAATAAATCCCTCATAAATCTCATTTTACAACAAATTCAGAGGTTTATTCTCCAGGGTACATTCCTGTGCCTCCAGGTTCTTCCATGTAGTATAAACCCTCTCTTCTAGCTCTGCTGAACTCCAGGTGGTTATGTTTGCTACAGTGGTAGAGCCACTTTGCCCAGGGCCTGACTCCACTGGTGGTTGATGCAGGCACCACACCTTTGGAACCAATTCTCTACAGCCTGCCTGCCCCTGACCAACTAGAATTTCTCCCTTATTCTACCCAAGGGTCTTTGCTACACCAGAGTGCCCCAGCTTCTTTAGCTTTGTTAGAGTGTGGTGCTGATAATGCCAAGGTTGCAGGTTTGATCTCCATATGGGACACCTGCATATTCCTACATTTGCAGGGGTTTGGACTAGATGATCCTCAGGATCCCTTCCAGCTCTATGATTCTGTGACACAACTAGCTGCCACCTTGCCCAGCCCCAGTGGTTTCTACCCATTATCTGTATAGTATGTCATCCGTGAGCTCTAGACTCTTCCATTGAGACCAAAAGGCCTTCGTGGTGGTGTTGAGTGGGGACACAACTCCTCAGGGTGGAAGAGCCCAAGAATTAATTTTTCACTTACACAAAGCATTGATGTCTGGATCACCCCTTTGTAAAGTCTAGTGATGGAAGAGCGCTCTTCATAGCTGCTGTTACGCCAAAGCTTGCTTTTTCTTGTAGGTGGCACAAGATTGGATAGAGAACCAGATATGGAAAGACAAAAGGAATTTCCATTTAACTTTGCTGAACTTCAGTCTGGACACAAATGAAGCAGATTTTACAGGTGAGTGAGAATTTCACTGCATATAAACAAACAGGCAGTAAAAATTCGGTTCTGTTTTCAGTAGCGGTTGAAGTAGATAGCAAATGCTTGTGTTAAGGCGAGATTGCTGGGGTAAGCAGACAAGTGCTATTATACTTCTTTCTGCCTGCATAATTTTTGCTTTTTTGCCCACACATGTTGATGGGTGATTTAGACCATTTTCAGTTTTGCACTGATCTGAATTTTAAAAAAAGAAAGGTTTATACCAATAATTTTATTGTTTTATATCTCGTGTATAAAAGAAGTATTAAACCTTGAGGTGGGTGGGTATAAATTTTGGGAAATAAAATAAACCGATATCCCATGCCCATGACCCAAGCAAACTGAACTCCAGGTGCTGTAAAGGATTAAATAAATAAAAAACTAATGCTATTTCATTAAAAAAAACCCCAAAACATAACAGGGATTGAGGAGTGGTATGCCTGTTTTATCTCAACACCTAGATTGCTTTATATGTCTCCAAAACTGTTCTTATCAGGTCATACAAATGAAGAGAGAAAAAAACCTCATACAACTAAATTGACGAAAGATTTATTAGGCTGGGTCACAGGTGTAACTGAAAACACCTGAAATTCAAAGCTGAGCTTCAGCAACTTGTGGTTGACATGTATATTTTTACTGAGGGTTTGGTAACATTAAAGCCATATCCATATGTGGCTAGATGCTTGCATAATTTTATTCTGTGTTCAAATTATTTTTCCAGCTAACCTCTCGGAGAGCAATTTGGGGAGACAGTACCCAAAGCAAGATGACTTTGTGGTCTTAACAGTGTATGAAAAGCAAGCCTTTCATAGCAACCCTCGTGAGGCAGAAAGCCGCCCAGTGTGCCACGTCGGTTGCGTCACTCGGTTTTATTTTAGTAAGTTTTTAAAAACTAACTTGTCAGTGGGGAAAAGAATTACCTTAGCCAACCATTTGTGTCATTAATTCTTTTGATTTGGGATGTAGTGGTTCGAGGCCCTGTGACAGGGTGAGCTCCTGTTGTTCGGTCCCAGCTCCTTCCAACCTAGCAGTTCGAAAGCACACATTGCAAGTAGATAAATAGGTACTGCTCTGGTGGGAAGGTCAACAGTGTTTCTGTGCACTGCTCTGGCTTTGCCAGAAGCGGCTTAGTCATGCTGGTCACATGACACGGAAAAACTGCCGGTGGAAGCGGACAAACGCCGGTTCCCTCGGCTTGTAAAGCAAGATGAGCACCGCAACCCCAGAGTCGTTCGCGACTGGACTTAACTGTCAGGGGTCCCTTTACCTTTACCTTTATATATACTGGAAATGCTCTCAAACTATGGTTTGGGTTCTAAATGATGATGAATGCATGTAGTATTATTTCTGAATTTTATTCCTGTGTATGTGTCTTTTCTTTTTAAAAAATAAACAGAATACAAAGAGCAGGATGTCGTTAATCTGTCTGTCAAGACACAAGGGAATTTGTCCCGTATCGAGAAGAAAGTAATGTGCCTCACCATTTGTTCATTGGCCACCATGCAGCGAATGTTTAGGGCCCTTCTTCTGCTTAACCGAAGCCCTCTAGCCAAAGCCATAATCAGCACAGAATATTCTGACTTCTCTCTCATGGGCTCAAATGTGGACTCTGAGAATTCTGTAAGTGTTTGAATTTGTTTTAAATGGGCTAAAGATATGTCCCAGTCCTGATTTAGGGAAGTATAATATCCTTGCTACCCATTACCAAATTGTATGCCAATGAGCCAGGTTTTAAGCTGAAATTTCCTCAGAGATGGGTAGAGAAGGCCAGAGAGAGGGGAGATGATATCTGTTTATTTCTACTCCAGCAGCCAACTTTCCTTAATGGGTTGGGGAGAGGGAAGAACTGAAGTGACAGTTAAATGGTAATATTAGCAACAAATGGAAGCTCTCTTTCCTTCTGCCATCTCCAAGGAAACCTTTGGAATTATGGTTCACAAAGTGCCGCTTTTTGCATGGTGCCCATAACATGGCTACAAATCAGTAGACCTTGGGAACAGGGAATGGTCTTTTAGATGTCTTAAAGGGGTGAGGAACTTCAGGTCCAGGGGCCAAATTCCACCCTCCAAGCCTCTGTCCGGCCCTTGCAACTCTCCCCAGGCTATGTCCCTCACCAGCCTTGCTTTGCACCTTCCTTGAATGGTTTTGTTTTGTTTTTTGCCTGGCTGTGATGTGTACTTGAGCTCTGATCAAGCCTCTTGCTTACCTGAATTTGGGATGAGATAAAGTGGTGTCAAGAAGCAACTGTACAAAGGTAAAATGTACTATGTTGTTCTGCCCATATTCATCCCTGGCATGTGGCCTTAGAAGGTTGCTCAAGAAGGAATGTTGTCTCCACCCAAGTGTATAATTCTTCCTACTCCTTTATGTCTCCTTTTTATTATGCATTTTGTGCTCTCATTTTGTATTTTTATGTTGTGACCCTCCCTGTGGGCTTCGGATGAAGGACGGTAGACAAATTTAATCACTCATATAAAAATAGTAGCAATGCATGAACTATGGAGGGATGCGGGTGGCGCTGTGGGTTAAACCACAGAGCCTAGGACTTGCAGATCGGGGTGAGCTGTTGTTCGGTCCCAGCTCCTTCCAACCTAGTAGTTCGAAAGCACACATTGCAAGTTGATAAATAGTTACTGCTCCGGCTGCTCTGGTTCACCAGAAGCGGCTTAGTCCCTTTACCTTTACCTTTATGAACTATGGCCTAGCTCAAAGCAGGAGAATTAGCAAGGTTCCTGTCCCAGGAACCCACATGCTCACACTAAGCCATGGTTTGGCATAGCAGCAGTGTAAACCAAGTCACAGAAATCTCAGGGAATAGAAAGGTCTTGTGAATGACATGCCTTTGTCCTCTCTCCTCCTCCACAGTCTTCGTACATGAGAGAATTTAATGAAGATCAAAGGACAGCTATTGAAACAGCTTATGCCCTCGTGACACAGTCTCCTTCGCTGCCCAAAATTTGCTTGATCCATGGGCCACCTGGATCTGGGAAATCTAAGACTATCCTTGGACTCCTTTACTGCATTTTCATCAAGGTGGGTTAGGTCGATAACACCCTGCATGTGCCAGTCCTTGTGAAATGCACGAGAGTAGTTAATAGGCTTAACAACAAATGGCATCCCCAGCTCTCTTATTCTGGTGGCAAATTACAAGACACAATATTTTATATTGCTTTATGTAAAACACTTAGGGTTTTAATTTGAGTTATTGTTGTTAATTAATGGGAAACGTCATAGCTATAATGGTAGTGTATTTGCTCGGCATACAGAAAAGGTCCCATAATTGATCCCTGGCATTTCCAGGTATAGCTAGGAAAGGGTACCTGCCTGAAACCTTGGAGACAACTGATGTCAGTCCATGCACCCTATTGAGGGAGATGGGCCAATATAAGGAAGCTTCCTATGTTCCCATATAAATCTTGTTAAATAAATAAATAGTGGTCCCTCTTATTATATACTGGTTTTAGCCTGGTGCTTTAAAAAAAAAGTAGGGTTGCTTTCTTCTCTTTTTTAATTGGACCTGTTCTTGTCCCTTTACATAACGTCCATTCTGTGTGCGCAAGGAATTGAGCTTTCAGTGAGGCAGCACTTATTCTCTGGAACTCCCTGCCCATTGAAATTAGGCAAGCATATTCCTTGTACTGTTTCTGCTCAAAACCTTTTCATTTAGGCAAGCCTATCCAGACTGTGGTCTAAACAACAGAGCCTAGGGCTTGCCGATCAGAAGGTCGGCGGTTCAAATCCCTGCAACAGGGTGAGCTCCTGTAGCTCGGTCCCTGCTCCTGCCAACCTAGCAGTTCGAAAGCACATCAGAGTGCAAGTAGATAAATAGGTACCGCTTCGGCGGAAAGATAAACGGCGTTTCTGTGTGCTGCTCTGGTTCACCAGAAGCAGCTTAGTCTTGCTGGCCACATGACCCAGAAGCTGTATGCCAGCTCCCTCAGCCAGTAAAGCGAGATGAGCACCGCAACCCCAGAGTCGTCCGCGACTGGACCTAACGGTCAGGGGTCCCTTTACCTTTACCTATACAGACGTATAATTTTATTATGTACATCTGGTTTTGTATTATTTTAAAAGTTTATTTTTATCTCTTATTTTCATCATTTTATATGTCTGATTATTTGCTATTTTTCTGTTTTTTCTTTAACTTTATTAAACCACTTATATTTTTTTTAATTAAGCAGCATATAAATCTTGTTTAATTAAAAAAAATTCAGAAAAGATGAAGGTCTTAAAAATTTCTATGTATTGGGTTGCTCTTAAAGACACAGATGTAAGAGGCGGGACTGGTAAAGAAAAAAATGTATATAGATAACTCTGAATGGTTAAAAACTCATAATTTTCATATGATTTTTCTTCAAAAATAAAATCCAGAGTACACAATTTGTTGAATCCACTGCTAGTTGATAGGCAGTACGTAAAAGAGGACTGGATAAATTTATGGAGAATAAGACTATCAATGGCTTCTAAGCCACAATCAGAGGCATCAATGCTTCTGAATATCAGTTGCTGGAAACCTCAGGAGGGAAGCAGGGGCATAGGAAGGGAGGTGCGGGAGATGCGGTCCACCCTGAGTGTCATTCTGGAGGGGGGTGACAAAATGGCACTGCCTGAAACAGCAGCGTGAGGCTTGCATCCACTGGGTGGACTCTGTGGGCAGCTCACTGTGGCGCCCCTGTGGGCAGATCGCCCCGCCCCCACCACTCCGAATGCTGGAGCAGCTGGCTACGCCCCCAGAGGGATGAGTGCACTTGTGCTCAGATCCTGCTTGTTAGTTTCCCACAAGCATCTGGCTGGCCTCTGTGAGAACAGGATGCTGGACTAGATGGATCATTGGCCTGATCCAGCAGGCTGCTCTTAGTTGTACTTGGAATAGACTCTTTGCAGTTACTGTGCACGATTAACACAGGCCTCATAAATTTAAGGGTCTACTCTATGAGTAAAATTATGTTGGATACAACCATTGCGCTTTAAAAAGGGACCTTGATCTGAAAGGGTGCAAGACTGCCCTACATTATTGCATTTACATTTTTCTCCATCCCCTTTGTGCCCTGAGAGAACTGCAAGGGAGTCACTTATTTGGCTAAATATTAGAGGGCACTTCATAGAGGTAGGAGCTTTTCAAATGAGACTATCTTGGGGATGGGGGTGGCCTTTCTGTTGCAGGAGGTCCTTTACCCACAGCATTTTTTTCAAGGATGTTGAGGTTGCAGGGTAGACCCTTTGTCCAGCAGGGAGTTGGACTAGATGCTGTTTGAAAGACCCTTCAAGGATTGTTATGCATTCCTCTTTTTTATCATTTTTATTAGTTTTCCTTTACAATAATCCAATAATAGCCTCATTATAACAATGCCAAATTATAATACAATTATTAATACTAATCATTTAGATGCCAAATTATATAATTTTGGTCCCCTCCCATGTGCTAGAATTGATGGTTTGATGATTTACTTTATTTCTGCGTTCCAGAATCTTATTAATTTCAGTTACACTCCAGTCAAAATAACAATCCCTTAAACAACAACTGCACTTTTAACTACTTCCATTCATATTGACACATTAAATTATTTGTAAATCTACAGGTGAAGCATTCAAACTGTATCCTTGTTCTTCCTGTGTGGATTGTTATGCAGTCCTAGACTGGACATGACTACTTACAGTGGTACCTTGGGTTACATACGCTTCAGGTTACATACGCTTCAGGTTACAGACTCCGCTAACCCAGAAATAGTACCTTGGGCTATCGTGCTCCGGTGGCATGGCGGCAGCAGGAGGCCCCATTAGCTAAAGTGGTACCTCAGGTTAACAACAGTTTCAGGTTAAGTACGGACCTCCGGAACGAATTAAGTACTTAACCCGAGGTACCACTGTATATGATTCAGTTGTTTCAATTGTGTTACTCTGGGTGTAACTTACAACTTCTCTCCTCCCCCTTTTTTAATCTCCAGAGACCAGGAAAAGAAAATTCTGTGCAAAGCAAAATCAAGAACCGTGTGCTGCTGTGTGCCCCATCCAACGCTGCTGTCGACGACCTGATGAAAAAAATAATTCTTATGTTCAAGGGAAAATGCCAGGACAGTAGCAGTCCTTTGGGTACATTGAGTTCTTGCCCAGTTCTCATCTGTGGAAGTCATGGTTTGGTGGGAGCAATTGGCTTGGTTATAGCTAAATGCTAAGACTTATTCAGGGTTTAAGTCACTTAGGACTGTGCTCCCACCCTTTCAGTGTAGTTAGCAGTAATTACGCTGACTGTAGCATATGTTCTTGCAGAAAAGTCATTCCAAATGGGGCCTGGTGCCATCTCAGTTTATCTTTTAGACTCCAAGCATGGTCTTTCCTGTATATCCTTACGCTTTTTAAAAAGGATATTTAGGGTCCTTTGAGATATTTTTAATGCTGCACTTGTCTACTGAAAGGTTTGCTTCATTTCTTTTTGCTAGTTTTAGTGGTTTTAAAAAATTGTTATTTGTATATATTTTTTTTGGTAAACCATCCTATGGGTGTTTTCAGCAAAAGAACGTTAAGTACCTAAGAAGAGCCTGCAGGATCAGGCCAATGGTCCACATAGCCCTCTTCCAGTTCTCATAGTGACCACCCAAAAACCTAAATGCTGCAACCTTTCCTTGTAGGAGAGTTGCTCTATCCCCTTGATCATTTAGTTGCCCTTTCCTGAACATTTTCCAACTCTTAACTCTTAATGTGCAAGATGCAGAATTCAGGATTTGCTAAGCAGATCAAAATTGTTTGTGAAATGCTTTTCTTTCTTTTTCAAAAAACTAACTGTAATGTAGCAAGGCACTGAGTATCTGTTTTACATCCAGGAAACTGTGGTGACATCAACTTGGTGAGACTGGGACAAGAAAGCTCCATCAGCAGGGACGTCTGGAAGTTTAGTCTAGATGCCCAGGTCGACCATGAAATAAGTGAGTATCTTATAAAGGGGTTTTTTCACGGTCCCCCCCCCCCCCAAATATTTTATTAGAAGCATTTCATTTATAAGAAGAGAGTGAGGAAAGAGAAAGAAAATGAGTGAGAATGAAAAATAGAAAATTCTGTTACATTACCCTACATAAATATCCAGATGTGTATATTCTTCTTATTCTAATACACATATAATTGTCAGTAGTTTATTCTGTGTAAACTTATTCCAAATATTATTGTATATATCCGAAGAAAGTCTGCATCCATAAGCTGTCCAATCATATGTTAAGCCATTGATTAAGGGGAATCGTGTCTCTGTTCTTCCAATTCATCAGTATTAGTCTCTTGGCCACCATTAGGGCATGTAGATTCCATTTTTGCTGTCCTTTTGTCAATTTCCATACAATGGGTATATAGCTCAAGAGCACATTCACCTCTGAAAATCTTAATTTTTTCCATAGGGTCTTTGTTTATATAGTTCAGCACTACCTCCCCAAAACTTAGTAAGTTGGGACACAGTAAAAACATATGTTTCAAGGAAGCACTGTCTATATTACAGCTCCAACAAAGAGCTACATTAGATAGTCCTTTCCTATACAAACATAAGGGAGTCCAGTAGAAAATAATACTTAGAATCTACTGGACTCCCTTATGTTTGTATAAGATCTATTGATGCATCTGATACTGAAGCTATGACATTTTCCTTCTGTCTGGGAAATAGAGAGCATTCCAAATCTTTATTCCAATAATTTCTTAGAGTTTAAGAAATTAAACTTTATCAAACTTATTTGTTGATAGTAAATAACTATAAAAAGTAATCCTGCCTTTTTAGTTTCAAATGAATTATCCAATTGCTCCAAAATCTCTGGTGTGTCATATGTTGTGAAGGCTGCTGGACCAAAGATGTTGTTGCTGCAAGTATTGCCATTGGGCCACCTCTGACAGATAGTATTTTTCTCTTAGAGCATCATACATGTAAAATTTGTCTTCCTCATCTATCAGTTGGTTTTCCCCCATGGTCAATTGTCTCTTGATTAGTTGTTTTAATAGTGAGGTCCAAAAGTTGGCCTCTGTTCTATCTGAAATTGTCTTCCCAGATCATAAGCCCAGAGCAGGGATTAGCTGAGGGGATGAAATCCTGTAACATCATCCTATCCCTCCCATCCTATCCAGGTCTGTAGCTGGAGATTGTTTAATTAAATAAATTTATACGTGCAGGTTCTGCTTAGCAAACACAATGTGTTTCTTGGAAATGGTTTGTTAGGAACTACTTGTTTTCGAAAGCACATCAAAGTGCAAGTAGATAAATAGGTACCGCTCCGGCAGGAAGGTAAACGGCATTTCCATGCGCTGCTCTGGTTCGCCAGAAGCGGCTTAGTCATGCTGGCCACATGACCCGCCGGCTCCCTTGGCCAGTAAAGTAAGCATTGAATTTCAGTGTGTGAGAGAAAGCATCTTGGTAAGTGACCAACATTCTGTTTCAAAAGTGGAATATAAATGACTAAACTAAAAGCACTTGGTTGAATTCCTTAGGCAAAGCAGCCCTTGGCAGACATCAAGATATCTGCAAACGAAAAGAAGATCTGGATCGACAGCTGGACATGATTTGTCGCCAGCGTGCTATAGCAAAAACCCAAAGCGCTGGCCAGGTACTTGTTTGTTAGCATGGGTAATTGGACTAGGATTAGCCTGTCCAAATCAGGCTGTTGAGTAGGCTGGCATTCCGAAACTTGTTTAGACCTGCTTTGCAGTTAAACGTGTCAAGGCATGAGGGAGGGGCCAAAACATGGTGGTGTCGTGTTTCACTTGTTCAAGAATGGGGGGCTCAAGTAACAAGGGGGCTGTGCAGAACAAAATGTTTTTAGTAAGATTTGTTGAGTTAGAGCGTTGGTCCATCTAGCTCAGCATTGTCTGCTCTAACTGGCAGTCACTGTCCAGGGTTTCCGGCAAGGGTCTCTCCCAAACTTACCTTGAGATGCCACTGGGGATTGAACTGGGTCCCTCTGTGTGCAAAGCAGATGCTCTATCTCTGCACAGCAGCCTGTCCCCTAAAATGAAATAAGGTTCCAGTCCTCGTGGTTCTGAATTAAAGCTGACCTAATAGCTGCTCTTCACTGAATCAGACCATTGATCTCTCTAGCATTGTTTACATCAGGGTGGTTTGAGGTTTTTTGCTTCGCTAGAATGTGTCCTTGGAGTTTTGCTTTCCTGGATAGCAAATTGGGAGAGGGGTGTAGAATTGAGTCAGCTGTACAAAGGGAACACCCATTACTGACAAGTGACCCCTGCAAACTTGCTCAGAAAGGGATGCAGCCTGAGGTTGAAAAAGGTTCATCACCCCTGATCTACACTGACAGGCAGCAGCTTTCCAGGGTTTCAGACAATGGATATTCCTCCCTGGAAATGCTATTGAGGACTGAACTGGAGAGCTTCTGCATGCTTAGCAGATACTGCTGCTGAGCTCAGGAAGCTGCCTTATCTTTCATCCATCCAGCTCATTTTCTCAATACTGACAGGCAACAGCTCTCTGGGGTTTCAGACAGTTACCTGCCTAGCCTTACCTGGAGATGCCATTGGAGATTGAATCTGGGACCCTCTGCATCCAAAGCAGATGCTCTGCTGCTGAACTATGGTCTTCCCCATGCTTGGTTGTTTATGCTTTTCAAAAATATATGTTGCTATGGCCGTTGGCTAATGTGAATAAAGTTTATCTTGCTAAAAATAAGAGTGCAACTTTTCCCCTTTCTTTCAGCTGCAATTATTAGACAAGGAGATTTGCAGACTTGGAGAGGAAAGAAAGAGGCTCACTGTTCAACTGAAGAAGGTAACCATTTGTTCTTTAAGGTGCTCTTAAAAACAGCCTCACTGAATGAACTGCTTTGTTTCGTCATGCAAAAAAGTGTTTGTATCTCAAGTTAGCTCCAGCTAGGATATATCTCTCATTACCGCAGATCACTGATGGTGCTGCTGCTCTGTTGCACATCAGTCATGTGCCATAAACTCAGTCCAGCCATAGACTTATATGCATTTGTGGGGGCTCAGAAATCATCGAGTCCAGTGTCTTCCTTTCTGTTCAGCTATTAAGGTGCCAGTCTGAGCCTTGAAAAGCACATCAAATTAAAAGAAGAAGTTACAAGTGTAGCGCTCCCTCCCACTCTTTCAGCTCTACAAGTTGTATGCAACTAAATTTTAATGGGCTCACTATGTTATTAATTGTGTTGGATACAACCTTTTGCACTTTCCAAGGCAGGGGGTAGCTCTCCTCACCACCCTGTGGCACAGAAGGTGGGGCTCAGGGGCTTGGTGGGCATCGGGAGAAGTGGCACTGTTGTACTCTTGAGTGCCACACTGGTGAACACATATGCCTTCATTTGACTCTAAGCAGGTATTGGCTGTGTTCATCATGAGTCATAGGAGCACAGGGAAGCTGTGTTATACTGAGACCATTGGTCTGTCTAGGTCAATACTGTCTGCACTGACTGGCAGTGGCTGTTCAGGATTTCAGGCAGGGGACATCCAAAACCCTAACTGAAGATACTGGCCAATGAAGCTGCCACCTTCTGCATTCAAAATGGGTACCTCTCCACAGAGCTATGGCCCTTCATTTTAGCATCTAAGCCACTTCTTCCTCTAAAAGGAGCTGAATTCATCTTTAACCACACACCAAGCATGGACTTATTGTAAAAACAAATCAGGCAGCTGAAAGAAAACTGGGCTCTGTCTGAAAACTAGGTCTTCTTCAAAATGAAATTCCTGGCTCTTATTTTCCAGGACTGCGGACGATCGCAAGGCGATTTGAAAGCGAACATCATCCTGAAGTCGCACATCATCTGCTGCACACTGAGCACCAGTGGGAGTAGCATGCTGGCATCAGCATTCCGGCGGCAGGGCTGTGACCCTCTGAGCTGTGTCATTGTGGATGAGGTTAGTGGGCATTATGGCAGCAAGGGGGTATTCAGAGGGGAGGATGTCATTGGTACCTTTTAGGCATTGCAGAAACAACCCTTTTCATTTTAGCTGGCTTTGTATTTATTTGATTGTTTATTTCTACCATTGACACCACCTTCTGACACTAAAAGCCCTCAAGGCAGCTTTTTTGTTCAATGTGATTGATTGTTTCTGGAGATATAGCCTGTTTTTTCTTCCTCCTATTTTGAGATGTGTATGAGTGGCTTGCCTGGGGGTTTTTTGTTGGAGGTACTGGTGAGTCAGAGCCTTGCCAGTTTTTCTTCCATGAAATGGGTATTTTGTGGAGCCCATAACAGTTTCTTAGATTTCCAGATAGGCCCCTGAGCTCCAAAAGGTTGGGTATTCCTGTTAGCAAACGAAGGATGTTTCCTTATATTCAATGAGACCATTGACCCATCTTGCCTATCCTGACTGGCTGCAGCTCTCCAGGGTTTCAGGCAAGAGTCTCTCCCAGCCCTACCTGGAGATGCCACTGGGGATTGAACCTGGGACCTTCTGCAAATCATGTGCCTTTTGGAGGGCATCTTGTTGTCTACCCTTAGACAGGCCTCTCTTACCACCTTACACTTTTCTCTGCAGCATAACAGCAGCAGTAAATATACTTTGCCTATAAGGACTGCCACTTGATTCCTCTTTCTCTGACCCTAGGCCTGATCACCACATTTCACAGCCTTCCTTCTGGCAGTAAGGAGTTTTTCCTTTTGCAGCTCAGACCAGTGGTTCCTCCATCCCAGAGAGCAGCAGCACCCCCCCCCCTTTGAACCTTCTGCCAGCGAAGTTTTTCTCAAAGATGCCTAGAGCAGGGGACCTGAGAGTTGCAAAGCTTGTTCTTGGTCCCAGAACCCCGATTAATATCTTTGTAAGGGGAAAGAATTATATTAATAGACGTAAGCTGTCAAGCAAGCCACCCTGCCCCATCTTACAGCTTGGCTGAAGGCAGTCAATCTTGGGCCATGAGCACGCTCTCCTCTGTCACTCCATTTAGCAAAATCTGACACTGTCCCCAGCTCCTGGCAAGAACAACATGCAGAGTCTTAATTTTCTGTGTGTGCTGAGATTTGAAAATGAGTTTTCCTCTTGGCTTGAGTGCTTTGCACATTTTTGAGGGTGGGCATTTTGATTTGATGCCAAGATAAATCCCGCCCCCACTGGCTATCCACCAATCTCAAGTTGAAGAAGCCATTTTTTTAAAAAAACACCTCAACACTTTAAAATTCAGTTGCTGTAATCCAAGAACAAAATAGTCTTGTTTGTATGTTAACATTTAGCTGTGCAGTTGAGCATTATGTGAAAGGGCTCCCATTTGGGGCTGGTTAGAGTTGCAGTTCCGAGACCTTTGATGGGCACTTGCTGGGTTGGGAGGGAAAGCTGAACTAGATCAAAATAACCATACAGGGAAAGCAGAAATACATTGAAATGGGAGGCAGACAAATAAATGTTGGAGGGCTAGGAATTTGGGATGATTATTATTTTTAATGCAAGATCCCCAGGAACCTCCCCTCTATCTGAAGACCCTGGCTTTCCCTCTCCTCCTGAAAACTGGCTCCTGGGGGTTGAAGTGGATGAGCTGCAGGTGTGGGGCTGGGGGTGGGAAGGGGGAGCAGGATTTGATGCAAGATGGCTCCTGCAGCAAGATCCTAGGATCCATTCCTGTGGCTTTTCTGTCATTGCCTGGAATATACCTCTCTTCCTGTCACACCATTCACACAGGTGTGTTTTTCTTCTTAAAAGGCTGCACAGTCTTGTGAGATGGAAAGTCTCATCCCGCTCACTCATGGCTGCAAAAAACTGGTCCTGGTTGGAGACCCAAAGCAGCTTCCTCCCACAGTTAGATCTATGGTGAGTACGGCACAAATTAAGGTGTTTTCTCTATCCCAGGAAAGATGAAGTTGTGCAGCCGGGAGCTGGCATTCTGTTTATCTCATGACCCTGTTACTGGCATGAATAAAGTAGACCACCTATCAGCTCCTTAATGGCATATGAGCTGTTTCCAGTGACGATGACTGAATTACTTTGCCTGATCAAATGAATCACACAGTTTTGCAGGCTTTTCTGAAATCAGCCCATGTGGCTCCCATTTTGGTAGACAACAGAGCTTTTGGTGAAAGATTTATCTACCCAAGCACGCTGGGATACATTCCAGTGGCAGGTGAGGCAGAGGCAAAAGTGGGTAGGGCCAGTGTTTTAAAATGCATTTTAAAAATGTATATTAAGAAATATTCCCATAGCAGGAGCCTTTGAGAGACTTTTGCTGCTCAAGCACCACTAATTCTCTTAGTTCTGATGCACTGGGGAGAACGTCAGAAGAGGGGAGATGTTCCTGCACTCTTTTTCTCCTGCCATCTTCCCCACATTCCAGTATATAAAAAGTAGGGTTATTTCATGGGACTGTTAATTTCCCAAGCCTTTTATGTAGCTCAAGAGGGCTCATTCATTCGTAATCTCTACTTCAAACATCTCTTCCCTGCCATGAACCTACCCCTGCCTCATTCCCTCCCCCTCCCAATTTGTGAAATGGGCATAATATTACTGATTTCCCTTTATAGGATGGTGGTAAGGGTTATCACAAGGTAATGTACATGGGACACTTTGAGCCCTCTAAGGTAAAGGTAAAGGTACCCCTGCCCGTACGGGCCAGTCGTGTCCGACTCTAGGGTTGTGCGCCCATCTCACTTAAGAGGCCGGGGGCCAGCACTGTCCGGAGACACTTCCGGGTCACGTGGCCAGCGTGACGAAGCTGCTCTGGTGAGCCAGCACCAGCGCAGCACACGGAAACGCCGTTTACCTTCCCGCTATAAAGCGGTACCTATTTATCTACTTGCACTTAGGGTGCTTTCGAACTGCTAGGTGGGCAGGAGCTGGGACCGAAAGATGGGAGCTCACCCCGCCGCGGGGATTCAAACCACCGACCATATGATCGGCAAGTCCTAGGCACTGAGGTTTTACCCACAGCGCCACCCACGTCCCTTGAGCCCTCTAAATCACTGTAAATGTTAAACTGTAAACTAATACTGATCTCCAAGCCCTCATGTTTATGTAGCCAAAATGTGGTAGCTATGCACAAAAAAATGCAGCTTGCAGCAGCCATGCAGAAAATGCAACAGCCATGCACAAGACGGAGCTATCAGTGGACTTGGTTTGGCCTCTCAGTTTGCAGAAGTACAAAAATATGGCTGGGGGGACCTAATGTTGTTTCTTCCAAAAACATCCCAGTGAGAACTGAGTGTGCCCATGAAATATTGGCTTACTCTTGGAGAGGGAAAAGACAAAAAACCCAGAGGGTGTGGAGTTAGCTGTATACCCTGAGCAATTTTACATGGCAACCTCTTGTTCTTTAGTTGCTGTCTGCACCTGACCCACCCACTGAAAGTCTCATTCCTCCTCCTCTCTCTTGCTTCTTTCCCACATTGACAGAAAGCTGAGGAATACGGCTACGGGCAGTCTCTGATGGAGCGGCTGTGCAGACAGCTGGATGCGCAGCTCCAGAATAAAGTCATTGACAGGCTTCCAGTCCTGCGCTTGACCACTCAGTACAGGATGCACCCCGATATCTGCCTCTTCCCTTCTAACTACGTCTACAACCGTGCCTTGAAAACTGACATGTGCGTAGTCATCTTTTTGTTATTGATTATCTCACCTCAAGTCAACAGACATTGAAGGAGAAGAAGTAGACGAATGAATGTGGATGAATGAACCTGAATGTGGACAAAGGTTCTACTTTATCCTGGATTTTTCAGAACCCCCAAGTCCAGTGGTGGGTCGGCTGTGCTCTCCAGATGTTGCTGGAGTCCAGCAGCCCCAGCCAGGAGGTCCAGTGGTCAGGGATGGGGGGACTTGTAGTCTGGCAACACCTGGACATCATATCCGGGCTGTGTGCGTGTGTGTGTTTTAGAGGGGGGGGGGGAATACACTTGCTCATGCACTACAGGTGAGTACTCAGGTGAGTGAAAATTCTGCACATGATCATAGGCATCCATCCTGACTCCTTCTGGCAACCTGATTTGATACTTAAAAAATAATAATCTTTCTTTCTAACCATTTCTGAAATGTTACTCTTGAATTATGTGCTCTCTGATACTTGACTGGATTTGTATAGTGGCAAGTAGCTATATTTATTCCAAGCTGCTGCTGCTGCTGCTGCTGCTGCTGCTGCGCTTTTTAAAAATAAATAAATAAAATAAAATAAAATTCTGTGCCCTTACACTTCAAATTCTGTCAGGAAATGCTGGTTTAAGTGACATGCATGAATTGTGCATATGACTCGCTCATTGTTTTTGTAATTTATCTTACTTTGCACAATTTCTTAGCTGGGTTTTCTGTTGCTCCTGGGAAAGTCAAAAGCACTCCAGAAAACTTGTTCTGACTTCATTCTTGCTCCTGGGGGCTTTGGCAGGCATTGCCTTTGTGCTTTCAGGCATTAAGGCTCGAAACAACTTATTTTTACTGAATGGAAGTTAAAATTATCAAAAAGTTGGATTTCACACCCAGTATCATGTTCTGCAGAATCTCAGCATGCCAACAGCACTGAAAACAGCTTTCATGCCCTGTTGTCTCTGCAGAACTGGGTGATTCGTTGGAATCTGTGACACCACATTTAGGATTAAGTGTACCCCAAAGAAAATCATATGAGGCACAGTTGCTTAAACTTTTGTTTTCAAGCAATCCAGACTATGTGGCAAAGGGGGTGATGCTTTTCAAAGGGCAGGGAGACAGGATACTGTAGAAACAGGGAATGAGAGTCTTGGGGAAGAACCAGGATGCTAAGTTCTCAAACCCTAACTGCTGAAAGAACTTCTCAGAGTCCCATAGACTTTCTGAACCTTCACCAGGGAAAATCTGTATAAGCCTCTGCATTTTTTCACCCTTCCATGGCTAATCTCTGCCTGTGCTTGTCATACTTTTGGAATGTTTCCCTGTCTCCCTGACATGCAGGGCCGTAGCTAGGGGGTGTCAAGGTGGGCCCCCGCCAGGGGCATAGGCGATGGGGGAGGGACGCAAAATTGGCTTAAAAATATGCCTATAAATAAATATAAATATTGATTATTGCCTCATAAGAAATGGTTTTAAATAGAAGGTGAATTGAATGGGGGGGCGGTTGGAGGAGAGGCAGAAAGAAGAGCTAATTTGTCTGTGACTAGTTCTGCCAGGGGCACAAGATCACCTGGCTACGGCTCTGCTGACATGCTAGTTTTCTCCAGGTGGGGAATACCGTGTGAATGGACAGTGTCTCCTCCAGGAGTAAAGAATTTAGCCAATTGACTTTCAACACTGTTTTTTAAAAGCTATTACATGGTGACTATTTTCATGGCGTTACAGGAGGACAGAAGAGAACCGATTCTCTAAGGATTGGCCCTTCCTACCGTACCTCCTCTTTGATGTTTTGGATGCCCATGAGATACGGGAGAGCGAGTAAGATACTCATTTATTTGCTTGTTAAATGTGTAGTCTGCTTTTTTCACGGCAGCTAGCAGCAGTGAAATAAAAAAGCAAAATACAAAACAAACAAATTCAAGTAAAAACCAATACAAATTAAACATTATTGATTTGTTTTAATTTATTATATTTGTTAGCTGCTTTTTACACAAACAAGTCTCAAACCAACTTAACAGATTAAAAAACAAAGAAGACTAAAAACCTTCAAAAAAACAAAATGCATAATTTTATAAACTTCTACTGCATTGCCATTTCTCTAAAGTAAGAAGCCCCAAAGGCTGCAACCTTTCCTCATAGGGAGAGTTGTTGCATCCCCTTCATCGTTTAGGTTGCCCTTTGCTGAGCCTGGCTCAAGGACCCCTTAGTTCAGCATCCTGTCCTCAAAGGGGCCAAACAGATGTCCCACTGGAAAGCCTGCAGCAGTCTTAATCTGATCTTTCCCACTGTCCGCTACAGCAAGAGCAGGTGGCAGTTTGGGCAGCCATGTCCTCCTTCACTGCTGACAAAGAGTTTTGAGAGCTACCTTTTTTTCAGAGTTGGGGAGAACCAATAAGTTTGAAGTCAACTTTTAGGTCACCTAGCCAGAACCATGAGGGGGCAGGGTATGTCCCCCAAACCCCCCTTCAAGAGAAACGAACAGCCTGTGCTGACATTTAACCTGAGGCACTCATCCATCTACAAGGCCCTTCCGCTCATCCTTTTCTTCTTCCCCCCCTTCTTTTTACTACTTTCTTGTTCAGTTCCTTCGTCAATCTCCAGGAAGTGAAACTGGTCGTAGAATTAATGACGTTAATTACAGAAACGAAGAAAAGCATCAACTATCGTAACATTGGGATCATCACCCCATACAGTGCTCAGAAAAGAAGGATCCTGCTCGAGTTGGAGAAACAATTTGGAAGAGAAGAAAAGGGGTAAAAGCTTTGCAAGCCTTGAGTGGTCAGGGAATTATGGGAATCTGAGTCCCACAAGCAGGAGATGGAAGAATTCCTCTATGGAGAAAAGGCATTCCCTCAGGGGAAAGGGAGGATGCTTCTCAAATCAGAGCTGGGAAACCTGTGTCCCTCTCGATGCTTCTGGACTCCCAACAGCCCCAGTCAGGATGGCCTGTGGGGGGGGGGAGATACTGTCCAGCACCACCTGGAGGGCCAGGGTTTCCCCATCCCTGTGGTGTACAAAAGTGCAGTAGTCTGTCCATAATCTCCCTGCTGGATGAAGCCAAGGGTCCAGTTTATTTATTCATTGTGTTTATATCCCACCTTTTCCTCCAAGGAGCTCAAGGTGCTGTACATGTTGTCCCTCTCCTCTTTTAAGTCCCACAACCGCCCTGTGAGGCAGGCTGGGCTGAGACCCACTTTCGTGGCTGAGCAGGGATCTGAAGCCTGGTCTCCCAGCTCCTAGTCCAACACTCCAGCCACTACACCTCACTGCCTCCAGATGCTTCTAGGAAACCCACAAGCTGGGCACCTTGTCTTCAGAGGTGGACTGCCTCTGCATGTGGAGATTGCGCACTCCTTGCAGCCGCAGACAAGTCTCTCCTCCACTCACCATCTCCCCTGCTCTCTGGAACACCTGACCAGTGACCTTCACTCCTTCATCTCTACCACCCTCGGTGGCCGGAAGGCCTCCTGTTCCTTTGAACAACTCCCCTGATACTTCCTTGCTGACCCTTTGTGTCTGGAACTCCCTCTCCAAGAACACTTGCAGTGCGCCATGACCCTTCCCTATCTTCCTTCAAAAGTGATGTCTCTGGTGAGGCCTTTCATTTGAGGCCTTCCCTGCTGCTGAAGAACACTTGGGCAGCCATTCCTTGCTGGACTTGCCTGCACTTACTTATTTCATAAAATAAAAACTTCCCTCCCTCTGTTTCCCTGTTGTTAAAATGTACATTGTAGGCTCCCTGGGGCAGGGATCTCTCAACTTAGATGATAGTAAAGCTAGGGCTGCCATACATCTGGATTTTACCAGATGTTACCAGGATTTCAAAGGCGGAATTGACATCTGGGGGGATTTCTGGAAGGTGGCCTTTTGTCCCGGGTCTTTTTGAAATACGGCAACCCTAGAAAGTGTATGTAAACAAAAATATTTTCCCCTCCTAAAAACTCATTTCTTTATGCAGCAGCTGTGTGTGAAATATAGGATATGTTCTCATTTTAGAAGTGGAACAAGTGATGTGCCGCAGCCCATTCAGTGACTCTGGTAATCTTCCCTCCGCCCCTCCCTCTTTTTCCACACACACAGACAATAAGTGCAGAGTTTTCTTCTAATGTCATAAGAGTGTGGCTTGTTTCCTTCTTAGTTTCACCTCTGCTTTTGAGAGGCAGTACTAGTAAAAAGAAATGTGTTGAATGGCTCTGTACATTCCTTCCTTTTTCAGCGTTGCAGAAGTCGACACTGTGGATGGGTTCCAGGGCCGTGAGAAGGACTGCATCATTGTCAGCTGTGTCAGAGCGCAAAGCACGCAAGGGTCAATAGGGTAAGGCTTTGCTGTTGTTTTGTGATGTGTCAACTGGGGTGCCTCTGCTGGAAATTCTAGGGCTCGGGTGCAATCCTTGGGGTGGTCAAGTGTGTGGGCCATTGTCCACAAGTCACAGTTGTCTGTTAGAGCCCCCGTTGGTCTCTGGCCGCATTCTTGCAGCCACCTGCGATGCCCATAAGGGAATTCAGGAGAGGAGAGGTTTGTGGTCCCACAATAGTCTTTGCAGGGGGTGAGGGCAGGCCTAGGCCATGTGAGCTTCGTCACTGCAGCTCTCTTACTGCAATGAACTTCCCATTCCTGACGCTGACAAAATGGCTTCTCTGAGGGAGCTTCCGCTGTGTCTCACTGGGGGAGAGGAGAAATGGAGCACCAAACCCCTCTCCTTCCTGGCAGGCAAGGGGTTTGGTGCTCTCAGATGTGACCCGGCAGAATTGTTGGCCCCACGGACGGCTGATGGGGTGAAATCAGGCAAACAGGGCTGCATTTCTTTTGGTTTTCCTTTATAGGTTTGGGTTTTTCCTGTTTTTTTAAGAAGGAGAAAAAGGTCACAGCTGCGCTAATGGTGCCTTTCTGTTTTGCAAGTCACCTTTGGAATGAATAAAATATTCAGGCACAGTTTTGAAATATTAACGAGAGTTTTCACATGAATCACAACAAATAATATTAATCCGCCAATGGTTTGTGCTGCAGGGGGGTGTGTGTGTGTGGCCAAGGTCTAAAGCTGGTTCCCACCACCAGCCCACTTCCTTTCCACCTGGGGGGTGGTGGTGGTGGTGGAAGGGCACTCTGTGCTTGGAAGCCACATGGTGGGGGGGGGGGTGTGTAGCTGAAATTGCCAAAGCAGATCATGGACTGACTTCTACGATTTATGCCCCAAGCTTCTCACTTTGCTCTCAAATGATGTCCAATAAAGGAGGCACCCAAGGAACAATTAAATTAAATGATAATTAAAGCTATCGATAAACAACCATTTTGAGTGTTTTAAATTATAATCTTAAAAGGTATTTCATAAAGAACCTATGAGGGAGGCAGAGAGAAGCTAAAATATTGCAAAGCAAGGGAAAAAACCATGTATAAATGAACATCACTAATAAATATTCACCACTAACGAAATTGATCAAAATCAGGGCCTCCAATAAAAAATGTAAAGCAGAAACATGGCAGCAGGGGGTTGTCTCTACTCAGAGGAGGCCCACAGAAATTATACATAGACATGGAAACCTTGGTAGGAATGCCTGCAACCTTTTAGTAGTGCACTTACAAATGGATTTCTAATGCCCTTGAAACTTCAACTGGGATTTAGTGAACCCCACGGGGGTCAGCTAGGAGGACACGGGGGGCACTGCCCATCCTGAGCCAGCTTCACCTGTGGCTTGTTTTGCCCCCTCCAGGTTCCTGAAGAGTCTGCAGCGGCTGAATGTCACCCTCACCCGAGCCAAGTACAGCCTCTTCATCCTGGGACACCTGAAGACGCTCATGGTACGTGGAAGAAGGCGTAAAGTCTCTCTCTGGAGATATACGTCAGCTCTCCTTGTAGAGAAAAGCGGGACTTGGAAGGCCAGTGGTGGTGCCCTGGCAGTGCGGGGGGCTTGGCCCAAGGCCCCCCCCTCCCATCGCCTCCCAAAGCCATAAATCAAGCCTACTTCATAGGGTTGTTTGGAGGAGCAGGGTGCCAACAGGCCCAGTACGCTGTGTCTATAGGTGGTGCCCTCTGCCTGCCCCTGAAAAGGGGGCACAGATTTGCTGCTCTGGCTGTGGCAGGTGAGGATTGCAGTTCAAAGCTTCGGGAGGGATCCAGGCTGGCCAGGAGTGTTGTAGACAATTCAATCTTTTGAATCTGCGGGGTTGGGGAAAATGTTGGGCCACATTTATTCATTCATTTATTGAATTTAGGTCCAGCCCTCAAGAGCCCAGGGTGGTAAACGTATTAGACACAAAACAATGGTTTAAAGAGCCTTCTAAGAAGAGCTACAGCTCTAAACCTCTTTGGAAAAGGCATTCTCTCATCCCGTATCCAGTGTCCTTCAGCCACCGAAGGCACCTGTGTAAACAAACAGGTTTCCAAACTCCTCCTGAAAGGCAACAATGAGGGAGACAGGCGCAGCTCCCCAGGGGAGGGGGCCACCACAAAGAGGGAGCTACCACTGAGAAGGTCCTGTTGGGGGGGTCAGTGCCATCTCAATTTTGTCCCTGCTTGTGGGCGCCCAGAGGAACCTGAAACTCGGGTTTCATAGATTGTAAAACTCACGTTACTCTAGCTCTTTCACCAGTTGATCTTAGACTGGCAGTATGGTATTCCAGAGCTAAGGAAGCTGTGGGCTGCTGGACTACAACTCCCATCACTCCTGACCATTGAACACTGTGGTTTTTCATGCAAGGCCAAGCATGGCATTTCTGGGAGGTGTTTGTGAGATGCTGTAAGGGCCGGGGATCCTGCAGCCCTGCAGATGTGCGATGCACAGCAGGGTGGTGAGAGATGGAGTTCAGCAACTTCTGCAGGGCCACAAAGGTTCCCCACTCCTTCCTCTGTGCTAGTATGCCAGCTGTGTGCAGGGGAGCGTTGGTTCTAAGCATAGAAAGGGATGCCGTCCTCTGCCATGCTGGTTGCCTCTGTCCCATCAGACTCCTGTCCTGCCAGTTGTCTCCCAGGGAGGCGCTTGGGCTGGGAGTGAGCCCAGTCGGGGGATAAAGCAGCTGGCATGGGGGACTCCCCTCTTTCCATCCTGGCACTTTCCTGCATGAGGTCACAATTACTCCCATATTGGGCGCAAAGTCTTCATATGGTCCTTTTCCCCAGCCTTGTACCATAACGACTTTGCCACTAGAGGGCCTCCAATCCAGGTTTGTCCATTGGAAGGCCTGGCAATGATGGTTTGCTCCTGTAAAGTTCAGAGTTGTGAACGGATTCCTGTTAAACACTCGTTTCCCTGCTGCTGCTGCTGCTTGTTTTGTAACTGCAGTGAGGAGGGAAGGATCCTTATAGCCCGAGTACGGGCATATTGGAGGGATCCTCTGTTGTGTGTTCACAATCCACTGTTTACCAGTGGGTGCAATCCAGAGGAAGTTTGTCCTCCTTTCTCCTGACACCCATTATTAGTGGTCTCTAGTGTTTTAGATTAATTCAGCCAGCCTTAGAGGAAGGGTGAAGAACACTTTTCAGGCCAAGGCCCCCATTTCCCCCAAGCTGAAAGCTGTTCAGAGGTGCACTCCAAAAGCTCAAGACCGACACAGTCAGACTCCCACTTTCCTGCAGCGCAGCCAAGAAGCTAGAATGGTCTCCTTAGCAGCAGGCAGTGGGGTTGAGAAGAAGTTAAAGGTTGGCAGGCCAGTTGGGAACACTAGGGGGCAGATTAATTCCACCACTGCCAGGTTCCCCTCCCTGCCTGAGAAGGAAAGAGAACTGGGATCAAGTTACAACAGTTTCTAGTTTGAGGCATCAGATTAATTTCCCCCAGCTTATAGACCACCACTACCCCCAAATCATAAGAATTTGTTTTGTAAAAAAGAAAATTTCCTTTTCTAGGAAAATAAAGATTGGAACGCATTGATTCAGGATGCTCAGAAAAGAGGCTGCATCATCAAGACCACCTCCAAAACCATGTACAACAGTATTCCTTGCTATGCAACTGGTGCCAAGATGATCCTGAAGCCCATGTCAGTCCAGCAGAGACTGCCGAGAGCCACAATTGGGCAGGTGACCACGGTGGCCACATCGGATGAAGCTCCTGCACAACATCCCCAGCCATCATCTTCTGGTGCTCCTGCTCCTGCTCCTGCTCCAGGAAGCAATAGAGAATCTCCTGTACAAGCCCAGCCGAGTCCGGTGGTACCCAGATTTGGGCAGGTGACCATGGCGGCCCTGATGAATGAAGTCCCTGTACAACATCCCCAGCCATCATCTTCTGGTGCTCCTGCTCCAAGTGGGGCACCTCTGATGACAGCATCTGGGCACTCCAGTTCCTCAAACCCACAGGCTACATCTCAGAATAGGCCAAGAGATCCGCGGCTGGCCAAGAGGGCAGAGGAAGGAGTCAGAAGGAGCCCCACTGAGAGCCATAGCCCCACAGATCCCAAGCGACAGAAGACAACAGAGTAGCCCTACCTGTATAAGCAAGAACTCTTATTGTGGCTTCACCATGTACAGCCTTCTCCTGTATGATCAGCTTTCTGGTTGGTTCCCTGTTCCCTGTAAGATAATGTATTTTTTTTTGTTTAATATATTTTTAATAAACTATTTTCTTTGATACCAATACAATATATTGTCTCTCTTGTTTTCAAGTCACAAAACCATTCAAACAAATCAGTTGTATCCGGAGTGAGACATTACTGTTATTGGCAATTTGGGATTGAGGGAAAAGAGGAAGTGAGAAGAGAGGAGGAGGAAAGGGGGAGAACTTTTTTTTTGAGAATCATAAAATTGTGGAGTTTATGTCCTTCTACGTAGAATTGTAGAGCAGCCAGATCAGTACTAGCGACCCACTGGAAGAACATAAATGGACTGTCACATAATAAATGGCTAGATAAGAGTACAGCAGGTAGTCCTATCTGAAAAACTAAATCACCATACCGAACTCATGAGATGCACTGCAAAAAAAATATTTCTTTTGTTATGTCATTCATTTATAGAATTCATTAATAGTCAGCAAAGTTTGTTCCCCCCTACAATTCACACAATGTCTTGAAGAGGACTTATTCTTAATATTGTAGGAAATGACTGACTGGAAGTATAGGAAGTGACAAGTTATTTTAAATGTTATATAATTTACATCTAAGATAAAACTTTAAGCAATGAGGTGGGGGTAGAGGCTTCACTGAGCAACCCTCAGATTCAGCGTTTGCATTTACCTGCCATGTTCCAAGGCAAAATGTCGCTATGGGGATTAGGAGGAGGCCCCACCTGAGCACAGCATCCTCTCCAGATTTGGCAGAAGCAGCTGTGGAAATCCTGGACAATCCTGGCCTCTGGGGAATCTCTGAGGAAAACGACAGGGGGCGGGGAATGTTTGTGTCATCTGTTGAAGATTCTGCAGAAGCTCTGTGCAGTACCGGGCTCATCACTACAATCAGATTCGTTAATATCCAGCAATAACCTACATTTGTATTAATGATTCTGGAACATAGGTGTCTGCCTTATACTGAGTCAGGCCTTGGTCCATCAAGCTCAGTACTGTCTACCCTGGCAGGCAGCAGCTCACCAGGGTTTCAGGCAATGGGTCTCTCTCGGCCCTACCTGGAGATGCTGGGGCTTTTAGCATGCAAGGCAGATGCTATGCAGCTGATCCACAGAACTTGCTATGGCTCTGACATAAGAAACATGAGGAAAGTGCAGTGATGCCCTTGCTGCCTCATTTCAGTAATCAGGATATTTTCCTCAATCACCTAGAGCAGGCACGTCCAACAGATACATCCTGATCAGTGGACGTCTGTGGTAGATCACTGGTAGATCACTGGCTCCCCCCAAAGAAGCTCAACAACTCTGGCTTCCCTAAAAAAAAGCTCAACATTTTTGCCCTGCACCCCCCCCAAAACAGGGCTTTCCTCCTTCCTGAAAAAAAAAGCTCAACTTTGACCTGAACCCCCAAAAAGGGGGATAGATCACTGCCAGTTTATAACACTGTGAGTAGATCGCTGTCTTTTGGGAGTTGGACACCCCTGGCCTAGAGCCTGAGATGGCCCTGGAATATAAAAAACCCCACTTTGCTAGGCCAAGAAAGGGAGAATGCACCTAGATGCTCTCTCACCTACCTGGGTTTTAAAAATGGCAAGAGGCAGTAACCACTAACCTCTCTCATGTTTCCAGTCTCAAGAGGAGTAGAGAAATAGAAGAGATGAGGGGTTTTTTGGTGTGCCTGGCTACACAGCCAGTAGCCAGAAGAAACTAGTCCCATTAGCCCAAACAGCCTCAAATCTGCACTCATCATTCCCCCATCTGCCCACTTGGCAGTTTAATCTTTGTTGCAGCTGCAAGGGTTATTTGTTGAGAGTGGGGATGTTTGGCTGGACATGCATAATAGTGTTTTGTTTTTCAAAATTTCACATACAATCCACCATAAAATGAAGCACAACACAATAAAACATAATTTGAACATTGGTGGAGTAGCACCTTAGAGACCAACTAAGTTTGTCCTGGGTATAAGCTTTCGTGTAAATGCACAGTTCTTCAGATATCTGAAGTGTCCATGCACATGAAAGCTTACACCTAGAACAAACTTAGCTGGTCTCTAAAGTGCGTGCTACTGGACGATTTTTTTCATTTTTTTTCAACTGCATCACACCAACATGGCTACCTACCTGAATCTTGAACACTGGTGGGTGTGTATGTTTTGCAAGTACATACCTAAGGAATAAATAAGCCAGTGCCTTCATCTGCCCATTTAGCGCAAACCCCTATTGGACCATGATATACTGCTCCTTTTTCCTTATGGGGTACCCAAGAGCCCATATAGAGTCCTCTTTTAGGTTCTCTATCGGTAGGAGAAAATAACAGAGGCAAACCAGAGAATATTGAGAAGCAAAGCAGCTAGTAAGCCTGATTTTTATTAAACTGTTGCAACAGGGTGCTCCCCCCACACGCAGGAGAGAGGAAGAGGACCGAGATCAATAGTGTACAAACTGCTATACAGTTGTACCTTGGGTTAAGAACGTACCGTAGTTTTCGCTCCATAAGACGCACCTGACCATAAGACGCACCTAGTTTTTAGAGGGGGGAATGCAAGAAAAAAATCTTTAAAGGGAGCGCTGAGCAGAGACTGTATGCATCCCAGGCTCTGCTCAGCGCTCCCTTTCACGAGCCACGTGGAGCGTGTGTGTGGTGCTTGCAGGCTTTTCCCTGAGGAGGGAGAAGGGCAGTCCATCACTGACAGGTTGCCCTTCTCCCTCCTCGGGGAAAAGCCCCCAAGAGCCACACACACGCTCCACGCGGCTCTTTAAAGGGAGCACGGCTCTTGCTGGCTTTTGCGAGAGGTGGGGGAAGGGACAGAGCGCGGCTAAGCCAGAAGCTAGAAGAGCGGGAGGGAGTGCTGCGCAGCGATCCCTCTCACTGTTCTGGCTTCTGGGATAGCTGCGCAGCCTGCATTCACTCCATAAGAAGCATACACATTTCCCCTTACTTTTTAGGAGGGAAAAAGTGCGTCTTATAGAGCGAAAAATCTGGTAATTCATTCTGGAGGTCCATTCTTAACCTGAAACCGTTCTTAATCTGAGGTACCACTTTAGCTAATGGGGCCTGCCACTGCTGCCGCGCGATTTTGTTGATGGGTTTACCTGGAGAGCCTGACTATTCTTTTTGTAATGATAACTACTTAATCCTGAATCCAGGTCACAGGCTCCTATTCATACACAAACACACCCTTAAGACATTATTTGTGAACAAATGAGACAATAGGGAGGCTTCTGAATTTCCTTCCACCTTGTAGAGAAATATTTGAGGTGACTGAAAGAGTCAAAATGGCTTTAGGAGTTTTTTGTGTGGATTTCAGACATGTGGTTCATATATTTATATATGTGTTTGCTTGGTACATTTATGGACATCTATTATATATAAGACCTTAAGATTCTTATAACAACCAGGTCTTCAAATGCCACCCAGAAACAGCCATTCTATCAGGCTACCTCAGCAGGAATGATGGGAAGCAGGGCCCTTCCCTCAAGCACCTCCTATGGCCAAAATGTTTCCCTAACTTATAAGAACGGCTCTCTGAGAATTGGTTCCTTTGGGAGGAATGTTTCCTCTTTCCTCTCCATCCATCTTGCCTTGTGTGCTGTGTATTTTACACTGCAACCCTGTGCGTAGGGACTGGTTTCAATCCATTGTATGTAAGATGGGCTGAAGAGTTGGTTAAAAATGCACCTCAAAGTAACTGATTCATAAGCAGAGTGTTATAGGAATTCTGAGCAAACACACATACATAAACTACATGTCTAAAATAGTACAGGAGAGCAATCCTGAAACCATTTTTACTCTCCCCAAAGGCCCTCAAATATTTCTCTGCAGCAGGAGGATGGGAGAAACTTTCAAATTGTCTTTTCATTTGCAAATCCTCCCTGCAGATTCAGCCTGGCAAGTTTCTGCTAAGCTGAGCAGACTAGCAATAAGGTGTAAATTTGTAAAAAGGAGATTCAGGAACTAAAGTATTTACTATTGCAGTAGTGAGTCCCGCAGGCTTAGGTTGGAAGTTCAAACAAGACTACAGTCAAGAAACTGAAGCAAACCAGTGGCCAGGAGGCCCAATCTTTTTTGTTGCAGCAAGACTCCAAACGACAACACAGGAGAAGCAGAGAGAATCAATTTTTACATCCATATTTCAAAGTTTCCCACAATACATCTCAGGATGCATCATCAAGACATCATAGATATGTCACAGAAAAGGTGTGGTCTCAGGTAGAACCTGAGATCCAGGCATGCCTGTCACTCAAATATAGTATTTCATACTTACATACATACTTTGTACTCACAGTACAAAGGAAAGTATTTATAGTTTCCAAGTCCCTGAGTCAAGTCAAATACACCCCTTTGTCTTGACTGGGCTTTGATATAAGAAAAAAAACCTGCTCCTTTTCCCTTATGGGGTACCCAAGAGCCCATATAAAGTCCTTTTGTAGGTTCTCTATCGGTAGGATAAAATAACAGAGACCAACCAGAGAATATTGAGAAGCAAAGCAGCTAGTAAGCCTGATCTTTATTGATCTGTTGCAACAGGGTACTCCCCTCACACGCAGGAGAGAGGAAGAGGACCCTGAGCCATGCGTGCAAGTCCTTATATAGACATTTTAAATTGCCTGCCCTGGAGTCCAAGACCACCCCCAGAAACATCATACATACACCACAGAAGGGGTGTATCCCAAGACCACCCCCAAAACATCATACGTACATCAGAGAAGGGGCAGGTGAACTACAACAGAAATCTGAGTGTGTTGTTTATCTCCTGTCTGGCAAGTTACCTAATTGCATTATCTGAATTTTGGCCACTCTTTTGTTATTATAACTACTTAATTCCTGAATCTAGGTCACAGGCTCACACCCTGTTCATATCTTGAATGTGCCCTTAAGATGGGATTGGTGAGGACAGGATTTGTGAGGAAAGAGAAAATGGGGAGGTTTCCCACTTTGACCTTGCAGAGAACTATTTGAGGTCAATTTGTTCAGGACCTAATCTGCGGGTTTTCAGACATGTGGTTTATATATACAGTTCTGAACATTTTTTCATATCTATATGACCTTAAAATTCTTATAACAGCTTCATCCCACTATGGGGTGGGTAGGCATTATGATTGAGATGGTTATCTATCTGACACTCTTGGGGCAGGATATCACTGGCCATGACTCCTTGGGAAGGCCCTGCAGATGTGACTGTATACCTCGGGGATTATGGTGGGCTCACTCACCCCTTCCCTTATACCTCACTTCCCTGGGTCCTAAATGCCACTGGAACTGAGAAGATTGATACAATGAGTGATTTATTATGATTTTCTAAAGTTTTCCCATTGAGCCAGCGCATAAATACATTTATCTGTGAATCGCTACATTTGGTATTGACACTTTGCCTTGTACTCCTTTGTTGGAGACCTGGGACTCAGCGGGGAGTCAGAGACTCCTGAGCTGAGCCTCCCTTGCCATTGCAATGTCTTCGCAGATATGTTGCTGTTATTTTCTCTTGACACCAGAGGATTTCGTTTGACAGGTGAAAGTTAATGAATGCTAGAATGATGTTGGATAGAAACTAAGTGAACTTTAGCTGAAAGGTTACAAGGAATATGAAAAAATGGATTATTAATATGTAAAAATCCAAAATTACAATACTTTATGATTAATGACTAGGATACATAAAGAGGGGAGGGATTTGCTGAACGAAATAATTGAACTGGAATACAAAAAAGGGAGGTGTGAGGAGGTCCTGGAACTAAGCAAATGAAGGTTAAGTAATGGAAGGAATGAATTGTTTTTAAATATTTTTACTTTGTACTTTCTTTTTTTGTGTGTGTTTTGTAATATCTTGAAAACTTCAATAAATATCTTATATAAAAAAAGAAAAAAAAGAAAGAAAGGCTGGGAAATGTCCGTGAGTGAATAGTTTGGTAATGTGCAGCAGAGGCTCTTCTCATGGTGTGTGTGTGGGGGGGCGTCTTTCAGTCCCCTTCCAATTTCCTGGTAACACCATCTCAAAGGAATGGCCAGGCTACCCAAAAAATGCAATCAGTAAGGCATTATCAGGTATCCTGGCAGACAGGAGAGAAGCAACACTCTCAAATTTCTGTGGAAGACTGCCTCCTCCTGTGATGTATGTATGCTTTTTGGGGTGGTTGTGGACTACAGGGTGGGCAATTTTCAAAGTCTTTATAGGAGTTTGCACACCTTTGTTGTAGGTCTCTCTTGCCTCCTTGCAAGGAGAGGGAACTCTGCTGCAACAAATAAATAAGGATCTGCCTTGATTTCAGTGCGTCCTGCCTCCATCCACTCATCTCTGACCAATCATGGACCTTGGGGAGTTGGGCAGCAAAAGCCAACCCACCTATTTTTCTATAACAACAGAAACAGCTCTTACTGTCCGTTTTCTTGATAAAAAAGAAAAAGCGACCAATTAATAAATAAAGCAAACGAATTCTGAAGTAGACCCCGTCTGAGTTTGGTGGTAAATATATTGCAGGAGAGGGACGCGGGTGGCGCTGTGGGTTAAACCACAGAGCCTAGGACTTGCCGATCAGAAGGTCGGCTGTTCGAATCCCCGCGACGGGGTGAGCTCCCGTTGTTCGGTCCCTGCTCCTGCCAACCTACCAGTTCGAAAGCGCGTCAAAGTGCAAGTAGATAAATAGGAACCACTCCAGCGGGAAGGTAAACGGCGTTTCCGTGCGCTGCTCTGGTTCGCCAGAAGCAGCTTAGTCATGCTGGTGACATGACCTGGAAGCTGTACGCCGGCTCCCTCGGCCAATAAAGCAAGATGAGCGCCGCAACCCTGGGTCAGGGGTCCCTTTTTGTTGTTGTTGTTGTTTAGTTGTTTAGTCATGTCCGACTCATCGTGACCCCATGGACCAGAGCACGCCAGGCACTCCTGTCTTCCACTGCCTCCCGCAGTTTAGTCTGGTAGCTTCAAGAACACTGTCCCACCATCTCATCCTCTGTCGTCCCTTTCTCCTTGTGCCCTCAATCTTTCCCAACATCAGGGTCTTTTCCAAGGAGTCTTCTCTTCTCATGAGGTGGCCAAAGTATTGGAGCCTCAGCTTCACGATCTGTCCTTCCAATGAGCACTCAGGGCTGATTTCCTTAAGAATGGATAGGTTTGATCGTCTTGCAGTCCATGGGACTCTCAAGAGTCTCCTCCAGCACCATAATTCAAAAGCATCAATTCGTCGGCGATCAGCCTTCTTTATGGTCCAGCTATTGCAAGCGTGGGGACCCTTTGGTCCTCCAGATGCTGTTGAACTACAACTCCTATGATCACCTGTCCCTGCTTGCTGGCCGCTGTAGTTCAATCAGCTGCCAGAAGGCTGAAGGTTCCCCCGTCCCTTCCTCGATTACAGCCTCTGTTTACCGTTACCCAAGCATCCCGCATTAATATCCCGCTCAGCAACCCCTGTTATTCCACGCCGCTCCCACTAGAGGGTGCTGTCCCGCATCCCTTCCTTTCTGTTCCGTCCCTTTCCGCAGGAACCAACTCGACAGAGCTTGCGTTTCCCACCGGCACCTTCCTGGGAGCGGACCCACTTCCGGTTGGCGTCAGGCTTGGAAACTCGTTGCTTCTTCGGCAGGAGGCGTGTTGCAGGAGCCGGAGCGCGTCGTTACCACGTGCTGAGCCCCGCGAGCTTCAGAGCCGGAGCCCGAGCGCTGGGTAAGTGAAGGGTGGAAGCACCGTGGAGTTAAGTGATCTTTGTGCACGCTGCCTTACCTGAAAGATCATCATCATAATTATCATTATTATGAGTCATCTGGGAGAACTGAAGTTGTAAGAGGCAGGACGATTTGGGCAGGGAGGGGCTGTTCCTTTAAAAACTAGTACGTACTATATATACGCACTACTGTATTTATAGTGTATACAGTATATATATATGTAGGACGCCCCCTAAGTGATGCTGGTTGGCTCCTCAATATCCTAAATGCTCTGGTCTTCAGCTGTTGGGTCGGGACCCACTAGGTGGCTTTCAACCTGATCCAAGGTGGGATACCTCTTCTAATGCATGCATTTCATGTGCAAAAGCAGCTCCCATGTGCAATCTTTTCAGTGCTGTGCCACAGAATCTATTATTAATTGAATTTGTTAGTCACTTTATTTGGGACGGGGTGAGCTCCTGTTGCTCGGTCCCAGCTCCTGCCCACCTAGCAGTTCGAAAGCCCGTCAAAGTGCAAGTAGAAAGATAGGTACCGTTCCAGCGGAAAGGTAAACGGCATTTCTGTGCGCTGCTCTCGTTCGCCAGAAGCGGCTTAGTCATGCTGGCCACATGACCTGGAAGCTGTACGCCTGCTCCCTCGGCCAATAAAGAGAGATGAGCTCCGCAACCCCAGAGTCGTCCATGACTGGACCTAATGGTCAGGGATCCAACCTTTACCTTTATCTGGCCCAGGGCAGCCAAAAGAAACTTACAACCAACCAGGATCTAGCAGAACTATTGAGAAATGCTCTCTCCCCCCTGCCCCTGCCCCTGCCGCCAAGTGAACTAGGTGTACAGTTTTGCAGATTACAGGGAGTACAGCTTGGAGGCAGTAACACTTCTGAATAGCAATTGCTGGAACCGCAGGATGAGAGGGTGCTCCTGCTTGTGGGCTTTCCATTAGGGCGTATGGCTGGTCACTGTGAGACTAGATCCCCTTCCCTATGTTTTTAGTGGTTCATGTTTTTATCTGTAAGCCACCTTGAGTCCCATCAGAGAAAAGGACAGGGTATAAACAAACAAACAAACAAATAATATAGGTGGGCATTCGGCTTGATCTAGCAGGACTCTTATATTCATATTCCAGATGCCAAGTTTCATATACAGTGGAACCTTGGTCCACGAACGCCTCTGCTCTTCTCAAATGCCAAAAACCTGCAAGTAAATGCTTCTGTTTTCAAATGTTTTTCAGAACCCAAATGTGCGATGTGTCATATGAGCATATCATTTGACATTTGTAGAGGGTTGGGTCTGCTTTGTCTCCTTTTGCTTCCAAAAATTGGTTTGAGGGAATCCAAGCAGGACGGTTAGGGTTATGGCCTCAGAGTACTGGAATTTGTAGCCTATGAAGACAAATCTTAGCCTTTCCCCACAGGCTTTTCAGAGAAAAATGTAATTTAAAAATCCGTTTAAAAATTCTTAGACTTCTTAGGTACGTATAGCCTAAGAAATATTTTAGCAATGTTTCACTCCCAGTTGACATACAGTGGTACCTCGGGTTATGGAAGTAATACGTTTTGGGGGTCCATTCTCAACCCGAAATTTATGCAACTAGAGGCGTGCGCGGCGGTAGACTGCTTCTGCGCATGCCGCTGAGACGTTCTGGTACTTCCAGGTTTGCTTCGGCTGTAAACTGGAGATTCCGTAACCTGGAGGTTACGCAACATGAGGTACCACTGTACATCACTGTCTTATTGCTCTGGCAGTCCTTTTTAAAGACAGATCTTACATTGTTTTGAAATGTGTAATTGATGAGCAAAGGGGTATCAGGTTTTTTGGTTTTTTAGTGATTATATGACCACGTAGAGTGCCTTTTGGACCATGGGGGGGAAATGAATTAACTAAATACATAAGATTATGTTGTTATTATTGTGGAGTGCCTAAATTTGTACTACATGGGTTATAAAGTTCGCCTTTTTGTTTCAGAAATGGTTGTGGTGAGAGGTCAGTGATTGTCATGTCAGGATGGCAAAAATTAGAACCAAAGAATCAAAAGCCCCAGCAGGCAACTCCACAAGTATATCAGAAAATTTAAAAAAACAACACAGGAAGGAGAAGAAGAAAACATTGTTTTGGAAAAAGAAAATCAAAGGGGCAAGGAAGAAAGCACAAAAGGATTCCAAAGCCATGGCAGATATGCCTCCGAAAAATCCTCAGGAAGTTTCGTGCAACTGGAAGGCCTTGCAGGAGGTATGACTGGACAATGGTTCTCTGTTTTCTATCTGTGAGCCTTTATCTTCTAGAGCAGGATGGTCCAATATGCAGCCACATGCGGCCCCAGAGGCTATTTTTGGTGGTCTTTCAGCTCCCCATCCTCTACCTCAGCTGGAGCAGCGCAGACATGGTGGCAAATGTATGTGCTGTTTCTCTTCCTCCTCCTGCTGCTGCTGCAGGTGCTCTGTGTGGTGAACACAGGCCACCACCTGGACCTGCTTGGAGCGTGGCTGCGTCCCCAGAGAAGTGGGGGGTGGGGTGTGTGTTTGTGTATCTTGTCTCTGTATTTCAGTGTGTGGAATACTGTGTTTCAGTATGGAATACTTTGCTTTCTTTTTTTGCAATACAGAGAAGTTCAAGCTTTCGAATGCACCAGTTGGTGGGGAAAGGAAAAAAATTTTGGTGCAGAGAAGTGTGGGGTGGGTGTCTGTGAACAAGCATTTTTGGACATGAACGTCATAAAGTCCAAAACTTGAAACAACTTAGTAGAGTTGCCTGCGGATGCCAACAACCAACCTCAAGGCAGACATCAATCCGAATTGTGATGAATTCTATACCCCAGACATCCATTTGATGTTTGCATTGTTAACAAACGTGCATGCATATGTTTGTGCATTAGGTAAAGGTACCCCTGACCGTTAGGTCCAGTCACGGACGACTCAGGGGTTGCGTGCTCATCTCGCTCTATAGTCCAAGGGAGCCAGTGTACAGCTTCTGGGTTATGTGGCCAGCATGACTAAGCCACTTCTGGCGAACCAGAGCAGCGCACGGAAATTCCTTTTACCTTCCCACTGGAGCGGTACCTATTTATCTACTTGCATGTTGACGTGCTTTCGAACTGCTAGATGGGCAGGAGCTGGGATCGAACAACGGGAGCTCACCCCATTGCAGGGATTCGAACTGCCGACCTTCCAATTGGCAATCCCTAGGCTCTGTGGTTTAGACCACAGCGCCACCCGCATCCCCTTTGTGCATTAGATTTGTTTAATAAATAAATATCTTAAATCCGCTAATTGCATATTTAATTAAATATATTAAATAATATTGACTATATTGCAAGCACATTAATTTACATTACGGAAATTTAATTCATTGTGCAGCCCCCAGATTCTGTGTTGAAGTATGCTTGCGGCCCATTTGGTGTTAGACGTTGCACCACCCTGTTCCAGAGGATATGACAAGAGTTGCGTGTCTTGGTTGTGAAAGTCCTGTGTTAAACCCTCACTTGGTCTTCTGTAGTTATTGTTAGCCTTCCTGGTGGAGATTACAATGTGGTTGTTGAGGGGTGTGAGAGTGTTATGGGGACCATGGATTACAAAATTTTTGCAGATATTTTGGCTAAGAGATTTAAAAAAGTGTTGATGGAAGAGATTCACAAAGACCAAGCGGGCTTTCTCCCAAGAAGACATTTGTCTGACAATCTGAGGAATATAATTGATATTTTGGAAAAACTAGAAGTGAACATAAACACTAAAGCAGTTTTGATATTTGTAGACGCGGAGAAAGCCTTTGACAACATTTCTTGGAATTTTATGAAGAAGAATCTACAGGGTATGGGGGTAGGCCAAGGTTTTGAGAATGGTATAAGTGCAATTTATTCAGAACAAAAGGCTAAAATAATTGTAAATAATGTTGTGACGGAAGAACTTAAAATTGAAAAAGGGGCACGACAAGGTTGCCCAATTTCCCCACTTCTTTTTATTTCGGTCCTGGAGGTTTTGCTGAATATGATTAGAAGGGACCAGTTGGTTAAAGGTATACAGGTTGGAACTAAACAGTACAAATTGAGAGCATTCGCAGATGACTTAGTATTGACGTTACAGGAGCCAGAATCTAGTACTAAAAGGGTTTTAGAACTGATTCAAGAATTTGGTCAAGTGGCAGGATTTAAATTGAACAAGTCAAAAACTAAGGTTTTAGAGAAAAATTTAACACCGATTGAAAGAGAGAGGTTTCAGAATGAGACAGGTTTAACAGTGGTTAAGAAAGTTAAATACCTGGGGATTAACATGACAGCAAAAAATGGGAACTTATTTAAAGATAACTATGAAAAATGTTGGGCTGAAGTGAAAAAAGATTTAGAAATTTGGTCAAATTTGAAGCTTTCACTGCTGGGCTGTATTGCTGCGATAAAAATGAATTTATTGCCTAGAATGTTGTTTTTGTTTCAAACTTTGCAAATTGTGGACAAAATGGATTGTTTCAAGAGGTGGCAGAAAGATATTTCTAAATTTGTCTGGCAGGGCAAGAAGCCCAGAATAAAATTTAAAATACTAACGGATGCAAAGGAAAGAGGTGGATTTGCCCTGCCAGACCTCAAACTTTACTATGAATCAGCAGCTTTTTGCTGGTTGAAAGAATGGCTACTTCTTGAAAACACTGACACTAGAAGGTTTTAACAGTGTATTTGGATGGCATGCATATCTATGGTATGATAAGGTCAAAGCACATAAAGCATTCAAAAACCACATTGTCAGGAAAGCGCTGTTTAATGTTTGGATAAGATACAAGGATTTATTAGAAAACAAAACCCCAAGGTGGCTGTCACCAATGGAAGCGAAAGCCTTGAAAAGGTCAATATGGAGGTCAAATGGCCCAAATACGGGGAAATGTTGGAACAAGATGGAGATAGACTGACAGTGCCGCGTTTTGAAAAATTAAAAACAAAGTGCGAGACTGGCTTCATTATTTTCAGATAATGGAGGCATTTAAATTGGACAAGAAAATTGGCTTCCAGGTGGAAAGATCAAAATTAGAAACTGAACTGTTAGAACCCAAAACTAAGAATTTGTCAAGAATGTATAACTTGTTGCTGAAATGGAACACTCAGGATGAAACGGTAAAATCGGCTATGATTAAATGGGCACAAGACGTTGGACATAACATTATGTTTGCTGACTGGGAACAGTTGTGGACCACAGGTATGAAATTTACGGCATGTAATGCCTTAAGAGAGAATATTATGAAAATGATATACAGGTGGTACATAACCCCAGTCAAGCTTGCAAAAATCTATCATTTGCCCGATAACAAATGTTGGAAATGTAAAGAAACTGAAGGTACATTTTTTCACCTTTGGTGGACGTGCCCAAAGATTAAGGCTTTCTGGGAAATGATATATAATGAATTTAAAAAGGTATTTAAATATACCTTCCCCAAGAAACCAGAGGCCTTCCTCCTGGGCATAGTCGGCCAAATGGTGTTAAAAAAGGATAGAACTTTCTTTATGTATGCAACAACAGCAGCAAGAACACTCATCGCAAAGTATTGGAAGACACAAGAACTTCCCACGCTGGAGGAATGGCAGATGAAACTGATGGACTATATGGAACTGGCGGAAATGACTGGCAGAATCCGTGACCAGGGAGAAGAGTCGGTGGAGGAAGATTGGAAGAAATTCAAAGATTATCTACAGAAACACTGCAAAATTAAAGAATGTTAAGTGATGTTGAATTGAAAATAAGTGGTTTCCAGCTGTACAGGATAAAGTTATAGATAGACTAAGATTAAAGATTAGGATTAAAGAAGTTTAAGGAAATGGAAATTTGGTACTTAAGAGGTAAAATTTTAATGCTATATTACATTAAGATTAAAGATTAGGATTAAAGAAGTTTAAGGAAATGGAAATTTGGTACTTAAGAGGTAAAATTTTAATGTTATATTACATTAAGATTAAAGATTGGGATTAAAAAAGTGGAAAAGAAATTGCAGGACAAACAATTTGGACTGGAATACAAAAGAGGGAGGTATGAGGAAGTCCAGAAAATAAGTAAATTCAAAAACGGAAATGAAAAGGTGATATTGTTTTTAATTGCTCTGTTTCTTTTTTTGTTTTTTGTTCTCTGTGTTTTTCTTCTTTTTTTGGATTATGTATTGTGTATTTGTGTATTTCTTTTTTATGTTTTTCTCTCTAACTTTTTATTGAAACCTTAATAAAAATCATTTAAAAAAAAAACCAAAGAGTGTTATGGGGACCAGATAGGAATCTGCTTGGGCTGGAGTCTCTGTTTGCCGACACCAAATTGGAATTGCACTGATTTGCGTTTCTTGGTTTGTTTTTCAGCTTCTGAAACCAAAGGCTGCCATTCTGGATTCCGCTCTTACTGCCCCCAGCACACATTCCAAGGGCAAAAACAAGGCCATAGAGGGAGGAGCTGCCCTCAAAATGCCAAAGGTAAACGGAAGTGAGAGGATGCTGGCATCCAAGCCTCCAGAAAAGGCCAAGAAGAATCAGGCTGAACATTTTGCTCATCCAGTTTCTGCAAGCTCTGAAAAGCCTGTACATGGAAAGAACTCGCACCAGGCCCAGGAGGATGGAAAAGGGCCCAAGGGAGGCCCTAGAAGGGGCAATGTTGAGAGGAACTATGGGGACATTAAAGAGAAAAGAAGGAAAGCAGAAGAAGAAGTGGAACCAAAGCCAGCAGAGTAAGTCTTTTTCAGCCTTGTGCTTAATGATTTTTAGGCAGAGCTGGCAAAAGAGCTCAGGTTTCTCAGCACCAGCTGCAGATGTATAGGCCCCTAGTTCCTTCATGCAGCACACAGTTAAATTGTGGAACTCCCTTCCACAGGAGGCAGTGATGGCCACCAACTTAATGACATTAAGAGAGGATTAGCCTTCTCCTTCTCCATGAATTTGTCTATCAGTGGCTGCTAGTCAGGATGGCTATGCTCTTGTCTCCACATTTGGAGGCAGTAATGCTTCCAAATACAGGTTGCTGGAAATCACAGAAGGGGAGAGATGCCCTTGTGCTCAGTTCCTGTTTGCAGGAAGTCCCGCAGGCTTCTGGTTAGCCACTGTGGGAACAGGATCCTGAGCTAGATGAGCCATTGGTCTTCTTATCTTCCTGTGTAGGAGCTTGGCAACAGGCAGAACCAAAATAATTTCACTTGTAGCCACTTGTGAAACTACCTGCTGTGTATTTCAGGTGGAGGTTGGGTGTGTGTTTAAATTTGCAGATCAGTTGGGTAGCAACTCTTTAAGACAGAGCAGTCCCACTGAGATCAACATCTGATTTGCAGCGTTGAAAATTTTATGGGCATGTTCATCAAACATGTTTACATAGAAACTGTGCTGCACGGACCGTTTCTATTACCAGTCACACTTTTTACAGGCACTATGGACACCCCATTAAGATATGATGCATTCCCTGCCCTCGTTTTCCATACCACAAATAATTTTATACACTTCTATCATGTTGCTTCTTACTTGCCTCATCTCTAAATTTAAAAAGCCCCAAATGTTGTAACCTATCCCTATAAGGAAGTTGTCTTATTAAATCTGAGTTACTTGAAGAAGATGCATCACGTTTATAGCTTACACTTAGGGAGGTATACAAAGGATTATGCCATTCTTATTCTCACAACAACCTTATAAGGTGGGCAAGGCTAAGTGATAAAGAGTGGCCCAAATGAGCTCCTTGGCTACATGGAGACATGAAATCACCCATCTCCATTGCAGCTGTTTGACTCTTCTGCCTGGTTAATACTTTGTGCCTTTTTTGGTCACCTGTCTTTTGCTTTCCCTTCTAGTATCTGGTTTGATGATGTTGATCCTGATGATATCGAGGCAGCCATGGGTCCAGAAGCAGCAAAAATTGCCCGGAAAAATCTGGGCATCCCAGAAGTCAGACCCCAGCAGTTAGCAGAAGTAACACTGGTTAAAGAAAAGGCTTTTGAAGGGTAAATGTTTCTCAGTAAAGCTAATACTTAATAGCACATGGCTTTGAACTGTTGCAGCAATATTAATTGAATATTAAACTGCCTTTGAATTGATGGATAAATAGATTCATTAACTACATCTTCATTTTATTAAAAGAAAATTCAACAGAGGAGCAGTATGAGACATTAAGAGCTTATAGTTTAATGGGGGAAATTCTGATTCTCACTGTTAAAAGAAAAAAAACCAACATCTTCAATATTTTCTGCTTTGTTCCTGTTAACAGTTAATATGCTGGAACTAAAATAGCCTGGGAGTGAAAATGCACGCGCACAGAAACACCAGCATGCTCTTAACACACAGCACCACCATTTGAAAATTTGTCCTTGTCAATTTGTTGAAGAAGCACCTTACAAATTCTTTCAGTATCCCATTATTACAAACCTGGCCACTAGTAAAAGAGGATTTATTAAGAGGTTTAAGTTAGTATTGCTTCCCATGAAAAGATTGGCAAAGCAAATATGGCAAATAACACATAGGAAAATTGACTAACAAAATAAGATTTCCACAAGGTTTGAAGCATAAAGACTCTTGCAACTCTCTCTTCAGCTTTATCATGCATACGGCTTAAAATGAAAACAGAGGGAACACCCACCCCCATAAAACATTTTGGTAAAACATAAACCGTGTATTGCCTTCTATACAAATGGTTGTCTGGTACAGGAATTTACTACATTATCTGGATATTATTTTAGATGTAATGTCTTCTGTGTAGCGTGGGATATTTAATGTGTGTACTATGTTGTTATATGTTGTAACCTAATTTTTTGAAGATGCACCCACTAAATTAATTTACTCCCCCCAATTAAAGCTTTCGTTAATCAATTTTCCAGTCAGACAGATTTAACACTGCAGCTGCTTAACTCTGCAGCCTGTTTTATGTTGGGAATAAGCTCTCTCCAGTTAGGGCCAAGTTCTGGGCAAAGAGCTCTTTAAATCCTTTCCCCAGAAACATTGACGTCCTGTGGAGGCAGCTGGTGAGCAGCTGGTTAATATAATAATAAGGCTCTCTCCTTTTCGGCAGCCTAACCAAAGCTGTGGCCATGGACTGTGAAATGGTGGGCGTGGGACCCACAGGCAAAGACAGCATTGTGGCCCGTGTGTCCATTGTGAACCTCTTTGGCAAGTGTGTTTACGACAAGTATGTCAAGGCAATGGAAAAAGTGACAGACTACAGGACGGCCGTCAGTGGGATTCGGCCTGAAAACCTAACGACAGGTTGGTGCTCTGTGGGTGTACTGATTTCATATTATGACTGTAAGGAGCTGTATTTTGTTGAGTCAGGCCATATCTGTACTATACATTTAAAGAACCATTCTATGACAGTCATGGCTCGCCCCCCCCCCAAAAAAATATCTTGGGAAGTGCAGTTTGTGCAAGCCACTGACAATTGTTAGGAGAGTCCCTGTTCCCCTCCCAGAATTGCAATTCCCAGAGTTCCCTGGGAAGAGGGATTGTTTAAACCACTTTGGGAATTGTAGTTCTGCGAGGGAATCAGAATAAGAGAATTGTAGAGTTGGAAGGGACCATGAAATGCCTGTTATTTTCAAAAAGGCCCAGATTGTCCCCCTCACTAGCAATTGTTGTTGCTGTTGATGATGGGTTCTGATCAGATTTCATTCTGGTGTAAACTCTGATCCATTGCTCCATATTTATTAATATTGAAGATGATGATGATGTAAACCAGGGGTCAGCAAACTTTTTCAGCAGGGGGCTGGTCCACTGTCCCTCAGACCTTGTGGGGGCACTGGACTATATTTTGGACTATATTTTGGAGGAAAAAATGAACAAATTCCTATGCTCCACAAATAACCCAGAGATGCATTTTAAGTAAAAAGACACATCCTCATGTAAAAACATGCTGATTCCCGTACCATCCATGGGCCAGATTTAGAAGGCGATTAGGCCGGATCCGGCCCCTGGGCCTTAGTTTGTCTACCCATGATGTAAACAATCTTTATACTTCACTCAGTCATAGTTATGGTTAGTTATGGGTTTTTCTTCTGATTGATTTGTACATCATGCTGACTTTACAGCTATGTTCTCAAAAATTAATATGCATATATTAAAAGAAAAAAAGGCCCTTGTGTGGTGTGTTTCTGTGGACTCCTGTTGTGCTTTTGCTGAGAACATTTTTCTCTGTGTTTCTTTGGTTGTTCAGGTGAGGATTTTAAAATCGTTCAGGAAGAAGTGGCCAGCATCCTAAAAGGAAGGATCCTTGTTGGTCATGCTCTTCACAATGACTTAAAGGTACAGAGCCCTTAACTTTATTATTTTTCTGTATTGAATTTTTTATATATCTATTTCTATGCTGCCCTTCATCAGAAGGTCACAGGGCAGTTTACAATAAAAAAAATTACAAAAAAATATATAGCATAGTAAAAAACAAAAATAATCCCTCCTGCACAATATTTTATATCCCACCTTTTTCTCCCAAAAGCTCAAGGTGGTGTTACGTGGTTTTCCTCATTTAATCCCTACAACAACCCTGTGAAGTAGGTTAGGCTGAGAGAGGCAGCAACTAGCCCAAGATCACAGCCATGAGCTTCATGGCCGCCTGGGGATTTGAACCCTGGTATCCCAGGTCATAGTCTGACATGCTACCACTGCACCACAGTGGCTCATTGTCTTTCAACCCTTGCCTTTCATTGTTGGTATTCAGAGACTTGCAACCAGTCTGGTTTTTCATCTGCCTCTCCCACCCCGAACTCAACCAGAGAGGCCACGCTTCCTCTCCTCTTGAGGTCTCCCACTCTGAGATGTCCTATCCTGGGCTGTGATTGTTCTCTTGTCAGCTGAAATTTGAATAGCAATTTGCAAGCCCAGTTGCTTCTCACTCAGGTTACCTGTTCAGGTTTCAACTGTGCGTGCTACTCTGATGTCTCGATTACACCGTGAGCAATGTTCACAGTGGAAACCTTTTGACTGTTTTCAGATCTTGTTCCTTGACCACCCCAAGAAGAGAATCCGGGATACACAAAGATACAAGCCTTTCAAACAAGAGGTCCAGGTAGGAACTGAGAGACATCCCCCTCTCCCATCTCAAATCAACAGACTCTACATTGGGGTTGGGAACCTCCGCCCAATGGGCTGGTCTTGGCCCAATAGGGGGTTTCACCTGTAAATCCTGATGAGTGGGGGAGGAGGGAGGGCTCAACCTTGCTGAGTGCTGCTTCCTGTCAAAAGCAGGCTTTCAGTGTGGGGGGTGAGATAAAGATCTGGCCCACTGGGCCAAAAAAGGTTCCCCTCTCCTTTAAATTGAAAAGTATGGAGGCTAGAAGAAGAAGAAGAGTTTGGATTTGATATCCCGCCTTTCACTCCCTTTAAGGAGTCTCAAAGCGGCTAACATTCTCCTTTCCCTTCCTCCCCCACAACAAACACTCTGTGAGGTGAGTGGGGCTGAGAGACTTCAAAGAAGTGTGACTAGCCCAAGGTCACCCAGCAGCTGCATGTGGAGGAGCGGAGACGCGAACCCGGTTCACCAGATTACGAGACTACCGCTCTTAACCACTACACCACACTGGCTACTAGAACTTGGGGCCGTTGATCATTCCACTGCCATTTTCCTTCTGGACAAGTTTCATTGGTCTGGCAGCTCTACTTATGCAAATCTTCTGGTCCAAGTGTCGGCTGTTACGTCACTTTTATATTGGAATATATAATTGGTGGTATTATTATTATTATTGCAATTTTGAATGATTTGATTGGATTTGTCATTAATTGGAGGATTCTATTGAAAATGAATAAAAATTATTTACAAAAGAGAGAGAGAGAGAGAATCAGGACTTGGAAGATAAACCACTAATTGGATTTTTCTTAGGGGCAGCATGTGGTTATAGCCACATTCAGGATGGACTTGAAAGGTGCAAATTAGAACGCTTGGTACAAAAGATTATAGCATATTGGACTTATGGGAAAAATTGACTTATTACCGTACCTTTCCGTCTATAAGATGCCCCCATGGATAAGACGCCCCCTATTTTGGGGGACTCAAATTTCAGAAAAAGGGGGAAAGATGGCTCTGCTTTTTTGCGGAGGATTGCCCAAGGTTTTACAGCTGGGGGGAGGGATTGCCAAAAATCGCTCATACGCAGCATCCATGCTGACCATTGCCGGCAGCTGTCAATCGCCCACTTGCCACAGCGACAGCCAATCGCAAACAGACTCTTCCTCAGCAAAAAATCTCTTACCCGACTGAGAAAAGCTGTCCGCTGGCAATTGTACGCGTCCCAGAACAGCAGCCGCCAATTGCGGCAGCGACTGCCAATCCACAGCAGTGTTTGCTGCAGAAACCAATCACCAACCCAATTAGAGAAGCAGCAGCCAATCCAAAGCAGCCCTTCTAGCAGCCAACAGTTGTCACTGACAAGCTCCTGCTCACAGCTGCAGCCAATCACCCATCCACCCCATTCACTATCCATGTATAAGACGAGGCACGTTTTTAAACAAAATTTAGAGTAAAAAAACCTTGTCTTATACATGGAAAAGTATGGTAATTAACAAATGGACAGAATTAAAGATAGGCAAGAGGAAAAAAGCACAAATATACTTTGTGGGAGAAGGGTGGAGCTTTGTTTCATTTACAAATGCCAGATGTGGATTCCTGCATTTCAGGGTAGCAAGTAAAAAGGCATTGTCCAGCTGTGTGCTTTTTAGGTTTTATTTAACAGACATAAGGGAGATTTGTGCATCATCCATTAATGCAAATGGTCAAGACCAAAGCAGATTGACTTTTGTGGCAATCTTGGATCCCTTGAGCTTTCTCAACAGTTAAAACTCAGGATTTGTTAGTGTCGGCCAAATTGTTGGTGGCCTCACAGCAACACAAAGAAATCAAGCACAGTACCTCCTCTTCAAACCATGATTTCTCCTTTCATATAGAGTGGGAGGCCATCTTTGAAGCTGCTCTGTGAGAAACTGCTGAATGTGAAGGTGCAAGCTTTGGAACACAGTTCAGTAGGTATTCTTTCATTAGGTTCTGGTTGCAAGTGACATATTATTCCGGGCTCAGAAAGGAAATAATAGGGAAATGTATTCTATTTTACTGGGGAGCTTGCTCTTGTTTAACCCTGGGCTATCTCCTAATTGGTTATATTTCCTTTTCTAAGAAATTACAACTTTTAATAAATTCTTACTGGTACACTGGCCATCACTTCTTAACACTGCTAACTTCCCCCGCCCTATATCTAACCCACTTTACATAAGCTTTACCGAAATGAACATCTTATGTTTCTAGCTTATTTTTTTGCTAAAATGCGAAAACTGATCATGTTACTTTTTTTCTTCCTTAGTAATGTCAAAGAGACATTACGGTACAGTTCCAGGCATGTATACTCAGCAGTAAACACCCATGTCCACTCAGATGTAAGGCTGATTGGGTTCAATATATCTTACACCCAGGAAATTGCATATAGGATTGCAACTTAAGTGTCCCAACAGTTTTCTATGCCATTTCCATAAATGATGTGCTTGAATCTTAAAATAAAGATGAGTTCACACATGTCCTTGTCACGTATCGACTGATAATTTGCATATATAACACAGCCATCAAAAAACAAATGTCTCAGAGAGAGCTTTTATATGATCTCAAAGACTATGCTTTTTAATGGGGAGGACCATAGCTCAGTGGTAGAGCATCTCATCTGAATGTAGAAGGGCCCAGGTATAATCCCATGCAGGACTAAGAAAATGTTCTTTGTCTGAAACCCTGGAGAGCCACTGCCTGTTAGCTGAGACAATACTGAGCTAGATGGGCCAATGGTCTGACTCAGTATAAGGCGGCTTCTTATGTTCCTATTAAGTTTTTATATCTCTGTCCCACCTTCCTTTTTCAAATGAAAACCAAAGTAGTTAATGCAAGCCTTATGAAATGCTTTTTGTCCTCCTCATGTGATGTGGCTGTTTGCTGGTAGAATGTGCAATGTACCAGCTTTCCAAATCAGGGGAAGGGTTATAATTTTGTCATTTAAGCTGCCCATTGTTGTTTGTAGAAATGTGAGAGTAATTGGGGAACAACCAGGAGTTACATCATTCCTGCAGTCAGGTCACTTGGCAAGATTTCATCCTGTTGATTCCATCACTTGACACAAAGTCAACTAATTCATTGTATCCTAAACTTGTTGCTCATTTCTCTCTCTCTCTCTCTCTCTCTCTCTCTCTCTCTCTCTCTCAGATTCAGGATGCCCAAGCAGCCATGAGGCTGTACATGATGGCGAGGAAGCAGTGGGAAGCCTCGCTCAAAGAAAAATCAAAGACCAAGAAATAATAAATCTGAGTATCTCTGGATATGTCCTGCTTGCTGTACTGCCCAGCACTGACTTGAGTAAAAATATCAGTTGTCCTACTGGCCTTTCCCCTTGGACCCTTTTGTTTGCCCTTGGTCAGCTACCATACAAAAAATACTCCCAAGTTATTCATTTATGAAACTCTTCTATTTGCTTCTGCAACTGACAGCTTCCTGGAGCCTCTCTCTCATAAGCTTGGGACACAGTGAAATACAATTATTTCCTTAACTGTAGAAGAAGAAGAAGAAGAAGAGTTTAGACTTGATATCCCACCTTTCACTCCCTTTAAGGAGTCTCAAAGCGGCTAACAATCTCCTTTCCCTTCCTCCCCCACAACAAACACTCTGTGAGGTGAGTGGGGCTGAGAGACTTCAAAGAAGTGTGACTAGCCCAAGGTCACCCAGCAGCTGCATGTGGAGGAGCAGGGAATTGAACCCGGTTCGCCAGATGACAAGTCCACCTCTCTTAACCATTACACTACAGTGGCTCTGGTTGCCTTCAAATTTGCTATTTGATATACCATTCAAGGATAGCACAAGCCCAATAACCAAACTAGTGCTTCACCTGCCACTCCAAGGAAGTCTATGATTTCTCTCCATAAATGCTCTGAAAAGAAAGAAACAGCTGCCTCTACCCATAACCCCACTTTTGCACATTGAGCTGACTGTACTATCATATTGAAAATATATGAACATTTCGCCAACTCTGCATACCATTGAGCTCCTGTTGAGATAAATCAGGTTCCTGCTTTCAAATAGGCTGTTGAAATTAGACAACTTGTTTCCCCCTAAAGTGAAACATGAGCCAGCCAAAATGTTGATATGGCTTATGTACCAGCAGATGGGAACCAGCAGGGCCCAGGGCTTTGTTGCTGGACAATGAATGAATCGTTTGAAAGGTGAACAGCTGTAGCAAGTACACCTCTGGCATCAGTTTGGTGAACATACAAAGCTGTCAGAAGTTAAGAGAGGAGCTCGGAGCCATTGGCCTGAGTGCCAGAGGAAATCCACATAAACTTCAAAATCTATGCAAACTTGTATATTTGTAAGCTGGAAGCATAATAAGCCATGAAAACAGAGGCACTTCGTGATTCTGGTGACAACTGCTTGTAAACACTGATAATCAGTTGGCTTACAATTCCTTTCAGGTCACCAGCTGCTTTCTCTCACTAGCATCCAGAGAACTAGTTCTGCAGGCAGAAAGGGGAGCTTTAGGCATGATTTCTCACTCTTCAAATAGCACAGTGTATGGCAAGCTGCTTTTGAAAGGGGGAAGTTTCAAGAGCAAGTAAAAATAAAGTATATGGAGCAGCAAAAATCCCCAAAATTCATTGGATTAGTTAAATATCTGCATCTGAAGCTGAATACCTCGGCAACACCACAGACAGGGACAAAGTAGATGCCTTGATTGGATTTCCTAATTTTTAAAATAGCATTGACTACCAAACTGAAGGACCACATATTCTCATCTGGTATTCATATTTATTGACTGTTTTGTAAAACAAAAGTGTATAGAAGGTTTAAGATTTCCCTGAAATATGGCAGGTTCCTTGAATGCTGTTGCTGACTTACAAATAGTGCAAAGAAGCAATCTTCTAGAGCAGACTTGTCTCATTTCAGGCAAGGAGCCCTGCAGGTAGGGGTAAAAGATACATGCTTTAAAGAATACTTCTGAAGATTCAGAGCTTTCAAAATAAAGAGCTGATGTTTGTGTTTTGTTATCATTTACCTTTTTTCTGCAGTTTAGAGAGTGCCTTTTCTGCTAGAGCAACTATTTCCTGGTTGGGGAAATAAGCAAGTGTCAGATGCCAGTTTTTGTTTTGTTTTTAAAACTTCTTTTCATTAAGGTAGCTCCTTTTTTATGCCAATCCTCCTATGACTCTTTCAGATGTATGCTATGTCCCTTTAAAGCTTGACAATTAAAACTAATGAATGCAAAATTGAAGTACTGAGTCAAAGGCCACATTCGTACCCTGCATTTAAAGCACAATGCTGCCACTTTAAATAGTCATGGCTTCCCCCAAAGAATCCTGGCAAATGCAGTTAGTTAAGGGTGCTGCAAGTTGTTAGAAGTCCCCTTTTCCTCTCTCAGAGTGGTTCAACAGTCAGTCCCTCTGAAAGGGCAATAGGAATATCCTAACAACTCTCAGCAAACTTAACCAGCTACAGTCGCCAGGATTCTTTGGGAGAAGCCATGGCTGTTTAAAGTGGCATTGTAATGCTTTAAATACAGGGTGTTTTTAAATACATATTGTTTTTTAAACAAGATGCCAGGGGCGTCCTACCCATAGAGGCTAGTGGTGCAGGGTGCCAAGTTCTGGAGGGCACCAGGGAAGAGGTGGAGGCTGGACACGGCGCCTCCTGGTATCAGCTCGCTGCCCTCACCTGACTCCGCCATGCTGCGCCAAAGCTGTGCCCGGAACCTCCATCTGCTGTAGCCACCGTGGCACAAAGCGTCCAGCTGAGCTGGGAGGTGCCGCGTCCAGCCTCCGCCTCTTCCCCATTGGGGGAGCCGTCCTCCAGCCACTGCCTGCCTCCTCCAGCCCCGCCGGCAGCGCCGTCCTCCCTAAAAAACGGGGAGGGGGGCGCCGGAGGGAGCTTTGCACCACGGTGCCAGATAGGCTTAAGACAGCCCTGCAAAATGCCCTCGGTGGTACCCTGTTTGTTTGTTCCTGACACACTCTAATTCCTTCACTTGTTTTCTCCTGGACCCAATCCATGCAGCCATTAAGTGATGTAGCATAAGGCAAGATGCTGCTGTGTCTCCTTTCTTTTCTCTTGCTACTTGACATACTTAGAGAGGGCAAGTGAAGAACTCCCTGGGCTTACTACTGTTTTGTTACATTTCTACACAGCTCTTTGACCATTTAGGGATGGAGCCATGCTTCAGTGGTGTTTATTGATTTAATGTTTTTATCTCCCAACTTTCTCCCAAGTTGGGATTTAAGGTAGCTTCCAACCTTTAAATCACCATTATAAAATGCAAAGTTAATAAAAACAAACTACTTAAAAACCATAGGTAAAATACATCAAAACATGTGTAGAAGCAGCAATTAAATTAGGTTTGCCCAGACAGCAGCCCAGCAATCAGCATCGTCTATGCCTGTGTTTCCAAAGGTCTGTTTGAATAGAAATTCTTTAACTTGCTAGTGGAGGGATAAAAAAAGGGAGCCACTCTAACCTCTTGGGAGGGAATTCCACAATGTGTGAATCTCATGTCACCACTAGCCATGCTCCTGATGTTGATGAGACCAAGAGAAGGTGCTCACCTGAGGATCTTAGCACCTAGGCAGGTTCATAAGGGGAGTTAATATCTGTCAGGTACTGGGCCAAAGCCATATAAGTAGACCACCTTGCTTTGAATGCAGAGGGCCCCAGGTTCAATCCCGGCATTTCCAGGTGGGACTAAGAGAGAGCTTCCTGCCTGAAACCTGAAGAGCCACTGCCAAATCAGTGTGGACAATACAGAGTTTAGATGAATACCAATGGTATTAACTGTAGCTTCTTGTGTTTCCTAAGTACCCCAGGGCAGTTTTCAAAAACAAGCAAAATACACCATTCAGTAGGCTTTGCAGCTAAAAAGGTAGGCCCTCCTGAAGGGATGTGAGCCTTAGGTGCACAACAAGACCAAGCCCTGGAGCCAGTCCTATAAGATGCTGACTTTAAACAGCTGAGGAACAGAAGGCAACTTCCAATCTTTTTAGTTTATTATTTTTAGCCCAGTGGCTTTATTGTAGGCCAGATGCTATCATTTGTATTATCGCTTCTAGGTAGCTATAGAAAAGACAGGGCTTCTTACTGAAGTGTCAAGGTTGTCCACTAATCTCTAGCATCCTTGCTTACCAGACTAGATGTAAACCGGTTCTTCATTTCAGTCAGCATCTCAGTAATGTGCTGGGAAACCATCTCCAAAACTATTTCCTCTGCATTTCAAAGAAAGGGAAGAATCAACCCTTGTTATGGAGTGAGCATTACTAATTCATTTCCCTGCCTTCTGTCTGACCTTCCTCAACAATGGTGGCATCCTATGATATCAGATGTGTAGTGGATAAAGGGCCATAGCTAAGTGATAGAGAATCTGCTTTGCATGCAGAACATCCCAAATTCAGTCCTTACTGGCATCTCCCGGTAGGACTGGGAGAAACTGCTGTCTGAAGTCATAGAGTGCTTCTGACAGTCAGTGTGGACAATACAGAACTATATAGACCCCAGTAGCCTGACTGGAAGCTGCAACAATTGCGCTAGCGGAAGCTTGTTATGCAGCAAATTGTGTAAGCAGGCTGCTGTAGCCTTGTGCAATCTATTGCCCAACAATGTTCCACTGGCACAAAACATTTTGCCTGTGGAACACATATACCACTAACTGGGTTGTATCCAATGCTAGTCCTGCTCAGAGTAGGCCCATGGAAAGTAATAAACATGAATGACTTGGGTCCATTGATTTCAGAAAGTCTACTCACTAAGTAAAACTTAGTTGAATACAACCCAGAGACTTTTAACTGGTTGCTACATTTGATACAACCCTTAGTGTTTTAGATTTCTAGTGCACTCCATCCCTCAAGGCTTGGAGTAAAAATTCCTTCTGATTGGGTTTGCTTGTGAGGGAGGTTGGTAATTCATTAACCATTTCCACTTGCTCAAGGCTACCTTGAAAGTCCTTGTTTAAACATGGATTGGAACCCAAGGCCCAGATCCTTCTCCCCACCCCCTATTGGTTTGCAGAGCACACAGGCTGGGATTCCAAAGAAGACAGACTTGCCATATTTAAACATCTCATTAATCAAGATGCAAATGTTTTCCACAACTTCAGGATCCTCACGGTGGAGCTCATAGCAGTCTTTGAGCAGGACAATCCCGTTGCCCTTCTCATCGGTTACTATGAACCGGAAACCACACAACTCTGGAAAAAGGGAGACAGTTTGTTAATCAGAAGGTTCCTGACCACCAGTCTTCCTCTGCAAACAATCTGTTGCCCACCTGCAATGTGGTGAAAGCTGAACCACTCTGACTTGTGAGTGCTCAGGCACAACTTTGCCATGCTCTGCGTCTATTAGCACTGGCTTGTGTTCCTCTGGGTGCCTTAAGAAATAGTTACTGGTAGCATCTCATGGCTTGGCAATGATTGTGTGGGACCACATTATTTTCATTAATTGGTTGTTTTAAAATTACACCCCTCCATAGCAATAAATAAATATCTAGGTATATATTAAAAATACAGCATAAACACAGCCAGCAATCTGATGTGTAAAATATAATTTAACCTAGACCAACCCAAAAAGTTTGGATGCCTGCAAAAGTTTGGGATTGTTTATCTTCATGTAATCAATAAAACTAACCAGTCATCTGTAAATGAGCCTTTGCACCTCTGTCTTTTACATAGTTGTATGTTCTTTGTCAGCATCTCAGGACAGAATGCCAAACCCCTTTAAGCCATCTCCAAATCTTTCCAAAACATCTACTGGCAACAACAACTAGTCTGTCAGCCCTATCCACATCTCACTCAGAAAGTCCTGTATGGTTCAATTGCATTATTCTGAATCATTGCACTGGTGCAGCGACTTGCACAGCAGCTCGTAGGATTCCACAGTTAATGTGCCAAGTAGTGCTGGCCACAAATGTTGCCCAACCCATTATATAGGCTATTACCAGATGTCCTCAAGAGGCTTGCCAATGCCAGACAGGCGTTCTTTGCCAGCACTGGCCTTTCAGGATGTTTCCGGAGAGCCTCCAGGATAAGCAAGGAATAGGGTTCGTAATTAACTTCATCTATGCAACCTGGCGAGGAAAGGGGGGAGGAATCCGGTTAAGCAAATGCCATTTTGATGACTTCCCACCCCTAACTTTGCTCCAAAGATGGGTGAAGAACTGTTAGGGTTTGTTGTTCCTGGTCTACATGAAATAATCAGAGAATGGGAATGTGCAATATGGCTTTTCTCTTTAAATTTTAAAGCTTCTAGCAGCAGGAGACAATTCTTTCTCGACTGATCATCTGCTGACAAATATTTAAGCAATCATTGTGGAATTACTCCACATTGGAGACTCTTCTGGAGTGTGCTTTAGAACGCACAGATCAGTTTTGCATGGGTGTGTGTGTGTCTAGGGAGGCCTTTTTTGGGTCTAGCTAATTAGCACTACCTTGGAGATGGGCACTGGGGGAAGATCAATCATGCGGAGCAAGTTGCCCACCATTGCCAATCTTGGTTGAGAAGCGAGCTTGTAAGCTGTACTTTGAAATAATACCCACCGTCCCCAGATGGGGGAAGTTAAGCTCCTCTGTCCCACTACTATGGATGAAGCAGATCTTGAAAGCTCACCATGGAGAGAAAGAGCCCAGAAAGCGCAGCATGCCGCCTCAGCCACTTCCACATCCTCAAGGTGCATGTGAAGGATTATAGAGACAACCTCAATAGCATACTTCAGGGGGCTTTCAGCCACATTGGTTGCTGCATCAACAGAAGAAGGCAATACCGTATGAGGTAGCAAATAGATGACTGGCTTTTACAGCCTGCTCCTTCCCTAAAGCTCTTGGATGGGCAACGGTAAAATGAAGCGAATACGTAAGCTTGGGGCTGCTAAAGATCTGTGTGCACTGAGGGAAGGCAGAACCAAGGGAACCCAGGCCAAGGGAGCACACATGCCATCAGCTCTCAGCTGGCGTGAATGGATACCATCGGTCTTCGTTATCTATAATGTTTAGTGTTTAAACTCGCCACTTAATACTGAGCCAGGTTCAATGTTCTTGTATTAATTTACAAAGACCTGAACAAATTGGGGACTTCCGGAGGTGGAGCCAACGGTAATGGCTACTTCTCTCTAATTTGGAGAGAACTAGCTCTACGGAATTTGGGTCCTGTCGCTACGGCGCAGCGGGGACCCCCAAATAAATCACAGGCGGGTGAAGCCTGTGAACGTGGGACTCAGCGGGCACCGTTTGCGCCCCCCCAATTGCTAAAGGAGCTCGGCAATGGGCTCCGGAGCGGAGCGGGGGTGGCGTGGTGCTGTGAGCAAATTGCTTCTTCCGTGGAGTGAAGCCGCGAAGCTGTTACCGGAGAGCTCTGCCTTTTTCCCTGGGATAATTGGCACTGAAAACAACTACCCGTGAGTAGGAGTAAATTGGATTTAAAGGGAAAAAAAAGTTAATTTGGCACGAGCGGGGAAGGTACAACCAGGAAGTCTACCTCCCCTGAATTGTAAATAGATCAAAGCAAAGAGGCTTCAAAGCAGAAACTCGGAAAGTCACTTAAATGTGCTAAATTCCAACATCTTGAAAGTGGTTCCCCCTCCGGATTGCAGGAGAGGAGGGGGAAAAGACTGAGCTGAATTTCCTGCAGTAAAGAAGGGGAGAGGAAGGAAGAATTTACAATTTAAGATTCGGAACGGACTGCCTTAAGATAGAGGTCTATAGTGAAAGTTTATTTCTGACAGCCAACTCTGCAAAAGTGATATAGTGTTTCCGAACCTCTTTTGGCTTGAAAGTAACTGTTTAGGTGTATTGAGACTGTGGACTCTGAAAGTAAATTGGGGGATTTATAAAGACTATTTTTGTTTCTAAAAAGTTACAAGTTCTGGCTGTTACTGTGTCCCCCTAGAGGAGACTGGACATTGTTACAACAATAGTTACAAAGAGGAAAATTCCACTCTATGTCAAAACAATTGGCTGAATGTGGGAGTGACCTTGAATGTCTATGAGACTGTGATGGCAGATGATAAGAAGGTGGAACCGCAGGAAAAAATTACTAGGTCTGGCAGACATTATCGGATAGATACTGCGTTGCCGCGAAGGGGCTCAACATCTGGAGCATCCGGAGCATCAGGGGCCCCACTCCCACAGTCTAAATCAAAAGTTATGACGTCAGAAGAAGTTTTGGCACAGGCACTGGCAAAAATTAATGAATCTTTGGAAAGCCTAAGTAAACAGGTAACTGAGACAAATAGACAAGTAGCTGAAACAAATAGGCAAGTAGCTGAGACAAATAGACAAGTTGTGGAAGCATCAAATAAAATTGATTTAAATACTGCAAGTATTAATACCTTGGGACAGAAGGTGAATGCCAACACAGAGACTATCGAAAAATTACTACAGGAATCTGCCTTGATTCGACAAACTGCACAGGAAGCAAAAGATATTGCAATTGCTACTCAAGAGAAAATTCCACCTGTATACAAGAAATTGGAGGACCATGATGTGACATTTTCTATGTTCGAATTAAAAGATAGACAGAGAAATCTGAGAATTAGGGCTGTTCCAGAGCGGGAGAAAGATAATTTGGCTGACTTTCTTACACAGGAATTTACAGATTTTTGGCAATTGGACCCGGGAAGGAAGAATTTAAGATAGTGAATGCATTTAGGCTCGGAAGAAGACAAGGCAAGGGCAAGGTGAGAGACTGTTTGATTACCTTTCGAACAAAAGAAGAGAGAGATAAAATTCTGAATTTGCACTATCAAAAAACTTTGGAAATTGATGACTCAAGATTAGTGATTTTTAAGGACATCCCAAAGCATTTGCTGGACTTAAGGTCCAATTACGGAGACCTAGTGATCTTATTGAAAAGAAACAGAATTCTTTTCAGGTGGGAATTTCCGCAAGGCCTGTCCTTCAAATATAAAGGGAGAAAGATAAAAATAAAATCAACTGAGGAAAAAGACAGATTCTTGAAAGATCACGAGGAAGATCTACTGAAAGAAGGGGAATCTGAAGAAGAACCAAAAGGCATACTAGACATATCAAATTTATCTTTTGGACTGCACGGTCCAGAAAAGTGATACTACCCACAGAACAAGAAGTGGCACTTGGGGCAGTTGGAGGTAAAGTGAAGTAGCCCCCACCATGGCTCTGCAACTATTAAGCTGGAATTGTAACGGTTTGAATTCTCCTCGAAAAGAAAAAGTGTGTTTCATTTATTAAAAAAGAACAATGGACTTGATTTGTCTACAAGAGACACATATAACAAGGGCACATAGGAAGTTATTGATTAATAAAAGATTAGGACAGGAGTTTGTCTCATCTGACAAAGTCAAAAAAAGAGGAGTTGTGATTTATGTAAAGGAGAGACTCTTACCGAAACTTATTTTTAAAGATGATCAAGGAAGATTTTTGGCAATTGAAATTCAACTACAAGGAGAGAAATTCTTAATCGTGGGAATTTATGCACCGAACGAGGGAAATCTGAATTCTATAAAAAGTTGCATGAGACTCTACTGGATCATTTGGACTATAATTTGATTTTGATGGGGGACATGAATGGAGTAGTATCTACAAATATGGACAAGGCTCAAAGACAGGTAGTCACCAAGGATGGTAGACTACCGAAAACATTTTTTGAGATGACAGACAATATGGACTTAGTGGACATCTGGAGGGTAAAGAACCCCCTGGGAAGAGAAGGAACTTTTTTTCTGAAGCCAAGATGACATGGACTAGAATTGACCAAATATGGATAACTAGAGGAATGGCACCAAAGATAAAGAAGGTAGAAATCTGCCCAAAAACTTGTTCCGACCATAATGCTGTAAGGATGGAGATGAAACAAACAACAACCGGATCCTTTAGATGGAGGATGAATGACACCTTATTTAGAGATGAAGAAGTTTACAAAAAGGCCCAAAAGACTTTGAGAGATTATTTTGAAATAAATATGAATACCGATGTAGAAAAAGAGTAATCTGGGACGCAAGCAAAGCTGTGATGAGAGGGTTTTTGATACAACAGAATGCAATAAAGAAGAGAAGTCAAAATGAAAAGAAAGATAAAATCTTGGAAAAAATAAAAGAAGGAGAGAAGAAATTGAGAGCAAAACCAAAGTCCCAGGAGATTTTGAGAGAAATAAAATTATATCAAGTACAATATATGGAAATGATGAATCAGGAAATAGAATGGAAAATCAAACAAATGAGACAAAAACATTTTAATCAGCTAATAAATGTGGAAAACTGTTGGCCTGGCAAATGAAAAAAAGACAAAAATTAAATACTATTATAAATTTAGAAGTGGAAGGAAAGAGTATACATAATCCAAATGAGATTAGAAATTGCTTCCAGAAGTATTTTAAACAATTATACACACAAGGGCCACAGAAGGAAATGGACATAGACCAATTTTTGAAGACAAATGGCCTACAAAAAATCTCTCAAGAAAGTAAATTAATGCTGAACTATAAAATATCTGAACAGGAAGTAGAAGGTGCCATACAAAATATGCAATTGGGCAAATCTCCAGGACCGGATGGGCTGACTTCCAGATACTATAGATCTTTGAAAGAGTGGTTACTGCAACCTTTGAAGGAAGTCTGCAATGAAATATTGGAGGGGAAAAGGGCACCAGAATCGTGGAAAGAGGCGTATATCACACTTATACCGAAAACAGAGACTGAAAAGACTCAGCTTAAGAACTATCGCCCTATATCGTTACTTAATGTGGATTACAAAATTTTTGCAGACATTTTGGCCAAGAGATTGAAAAAAATATTGCTGATAGAGATTCATAAAGACCAAGCGGGCTTTCTCCCGGGAAGACATCTGTCTGATAATTTGAGGAATATAATTGATATTTTGGAAAAATTAGAAGTGAATATAAACACTAAAGCAGTATTGATATTTGTTGACGCGGAGAAAGCTTTTGATAATATCTCTTGGAGTTTTATGAAGAAGAATCTGCATGGGATGGGGGTAGGCCAAGGTTTTGAAAATGGTATAGGTGCAATATACTCTGAACAAAAGGCTAAATTAATTGTAAATAATGTGGTTACGGAAGAATTTAAGATAGAAAAGGGACACGACAGAGGTGCCCAATTTCCCCACTGCTTTTATAGCGGTCCTGGAGGTTTTGCTAAATATGATTAGAAAGGACCGGTTGGTTAAGGGCATACAGGTCGGAGCTAAACAGTACAAATTGAGAGCATTTGCAGATGACCTAGTATTGACGTTACAGGAGCCAGAATCTAGTACTAAAAGAGTTTTAGAATTAATTCAGGAATTTGGTCAGGTGGCAGGTTTTAAATTGAACAAGTTAAAAACTAAGGTTTTAGAGAAAAACTTAACACCGATTGAAAGAGAGAGGTTTCAGAATGAGACAGGATTGAATGTGGTAAAGAAAGTGAAATACTTGGGGATTAATATGACAGCCAAAAACGGGAATTTATTTAAAGATAATTACGAAAAATGTTGGATGGAAGTGAAAAAAGATTTAGAAATTTGGTCAAATTTGAAACTCTCATTGCTGGGCCGTATTGCTGTGATAAAGATGAATGTATTGCCTAGAATGTTGTTTTTGTTTCAGACATTACAAATTGTAGATAAGATGGACTGTTTCAAGAAGTGGCAGAGAGATATTTCTAGATTTGTCTGGCAGGGCAAGAAGCCCAGAATAAAATTTAAGATATTAACTGACGCCAAGGAAAGAGGTGGATTTGCCCTGCCAGACCTTAAACTTTATTATGAATCAGCAGCTTTTGCTGGCTGAAAGAATGGCTACTTCTTGAAAACACAGACATTTTGGATTTAGAAGGTTTTAACAATGTATTTGGATGGCATGCATATTTATGGTATGATAAGGTCAAAGCACACAAAGCATTCAAAAATCATATTGTTAGGAAAGCATTGTTTAATGTCTGGATAAGATACAAAGACTTATTGGAAAATAAAACCCCAAGGTGGCTGTCACCAATGGAAGCAAAAGCTCTGAAAAGGCTCAATATGGAGGCCAAATGGCCGACATATTGGGAAATTTTGGAGCAAGAAGGAGATAAATTGAGATTGCAGAGTTTTGAAAAATTAAAAAATAAAGTGAGAGATTGGCTCCACTACTATCAGATAATGGAGGCATATAATTTGGATAAGAAAATAGGCTTCCAAGAGGAAAAGTCAAAATTAGAAACAGAATTGTTAGAACCCAAAACTAAAAATTTGTCAAGAATGTATAACTTGCTGTTGAAATGGAATACTCAGGATGAAACGGTGAAATCTGCTATGATTAAATGGGCACAAGATGTTGGCCATAATATTATGTTTGCTGACTGGGAACAGTTATGGACCACAGGTATGAAGTTTACGGCATGTAATGCCTTAAGAGAGAATATTATGAAAATGATATACAGGTGGTACATGACCCCAGTCAAGCTTGCAAAAATTTATCATTTGCCCGATAATAAATGTTGGAAATGTAAAGAAACTGAAGGTACATTCTTTCACCTTTGGTGGACGTGCCCAAAGATTAAGGCTTTCTGGGAAATGATATATAATGAACTGAAAAAGGTATTTAAATATACCTTTCTGAAGAAACCAGAGGCCTTTCTCTTGGGCATTGTCGGCCAACTGGTGCCAAAGAAGGACAGAACCTTTTTCATGTATGCTACAACAGCAGCAAGAATACTTATCGCAAAGTATTGGAAGACACAAGATCTACCCACTTTGGAAGAATGGCAGATGAAGGTGATTGACTACATGGAACTGGCGGAAATGACTGGCAGAATCCGAGACCAGGGAGAAGAGTCGGTGAAAGAAGACTGGAAGAAATTTAAGGACTATTTACAGAAATATTGCAAAATTAAGGAACTTTAGAAGGATGTTGGATAGAAACTAAGAGGTTTTTAGCTGTAATGCTTTAAGAGACATGGAAAAAAGGTTAACAATTGGGTAAAAGATTAATGGTAAGGATTTGCTGAACCAACAAATTGAATTGGAATACAAAGAAGGGAGGTATGAGGAGGTCCGGGGAAATAAGAGTAAGGAAGATAGGTTATGGAACATTATTGTGTTTTTAACTGTTTTATTTTGTATGTTTTTTTTCTTTTCTTATTTTTTACTGTTTTTGTTATATCTTAAAACTTTATACTTTTTCTTTATTCTGTACTTTCATGTATCTTTAATAAATATCATTAAAAAAAAAAAACAAAGACCTGAACAAATTAGGCCTACGGTACCTCAGGGGTCACCTGAACCCTTCCATCTCAGCTTGATCAATGAAATGATCTGCAGGGGCATCAATGATTGCCAAATGAGCCTCAACAACTAGGGGGACAACAAGAAACCAAGCCTATAGTGTCATTGAGCCAATCCTGTAGAATGTTGTTGTTTAGTCGTGTCCGACTCTTCGTGACCCCATGGACCAGAGCACGCCAGGCACTCCTGTCTTCCACCGCCTCCCGCAGTTTGGTCAGGCTCATGTTTGAAGCTTCGAGAACACTGTCCAACCATCTCGTCCTCTGTCGTCCCCTTCTCCTTGTGCCCTCCATCTTTCCCAACATCAGGGTCTTTTCCAGGGAGTCTTCTCTTCTCATGAGGTGGCCAAAGTATCCTGTAGAATAGTCTCTGACAATAAAGATTCAGCAGGCGCCTTCTGTTTCAATTCTTAAATACCCGCTGACAATGTTTGTAGTACACCAGGCCTAGGCAGGCAATTAAGAATATATCCTTTTACAATGGTTAACTGATGTCTGTTCTTAACTTTTTATGGTTCTTATTGTATAGTTTTATAATTTTATTGCTGTAATGCACTTTTTTATGACACGGTGGCATACAAATATTTGTATAAATAAAAATATATAAACCCAATAAATAAATAATAAGCAAAATATGTTTAAACACTTGCACGCTATCTTTCCATATTGACTTGAAAACCCAATGCAATTTAGCCAATGGATTACAATGGGCAGATGAAAAACAGAGCAGGTTTTTTTTATTACGGGGGGGGGGGGAAGCCTTGAAAATGAAAGAGTCAGGTGTAACAAAGGCCCAAGAAAAGCCCTTTAAGCAGATCTGCTCCCTTGCTTCTGCTTTTACTCAGGGCACACAAGTTATGACCACCAACAGTTTCTGCCAGAGAGATCTGAGCAAGTCAACAAATTTAGGAAGCATTTTTCCCAACTGCAGAAGCCAACACGTGTTGCACATACACATACCTACCATGTACTACCAGACTCCAAATAACCCCACAGCAAGCAAGGCAGATCTCTTTGTCCTGGGCAAAGTTACCCAGAATGGTCAGGATGTCTGTGAAGACACCAACTTTCCTCAGGGTCTGAGCTGCAACTTCTGAGAAGCAAAGGGGAAAGCATTTTAATGGACAGTGGCTGTAACTGCACGATAACATAAGGCTTTCCGCCTTTTCCTGTTCTATCTACTGGTACTTCAGCAGTTCCCAAACCTTTCTTTATCCCCATAGAACACTTGAAAATTGTGCAGGGGCTTAGTGGATTACTTAATGAATTTCTGTCTATAGTGGCCACTATAATGCTGCTGTACATGCTAGATGCTGTATGGTGTTTATTACTTCCTTTAATTTATTATCTATTGCCTTTAATTGTGTACCATAAAATTCAAATTGCAATACAATAAAACACAGTGCTAAGAAATAAAAATGGCAATTAAAATGCAATTAAAAATCAACACGAATACTGAATGTGATGGATGTGCCCTCTTCTGCCTTCAACCACAAATCCACAAGCATATGGAGGACTATCTGAATGAACAGCAGATCGTTGGCCATAGCTTCAGAGTGCCTGACCTAGTTATATTTTTTAATTGCTAACACCCAAAAACTTTACACACACACCTTTTTTTCTGAGACTGGAATTTGAATAGAGGAAGGTTCAAGGCCAAGTAATATCTCTATCCATTGACTCAGTTCCATGGAAGCGAAAATGCCAGTTAATGTATATTTTTTTAAAAAAATTAAATTTCTATACCGCTGTTCATCTGAGGATCATAGGGCAGTTTACAATATAAAACACAAAAATACATAATATATTAACAAACAAAACCAATAACCTTCCCTGGTTTAGATGGCCACATTTTAAAAAACCTGGGGGGGGGGGGGAGGAATGTTTTTGCCTGGCATCTAAAGTTATATAACAAAGGCACCAGATGAGCCTCCCAGTGGAGAGCATTCCACAAATGATGAGCTATCACAGAAAAAGCCTGTTTTCATGTTGCCTCCCTCCATAGGACCAATCAGACTGCTGCATTTTGGATCCTATTCAACTCAGTACATAACAATACCTCTTGTAGGGGCACACAAAGGGGCACATGAAGAAGCACCATAGATGATAATCACAGGTTCTGGGTCAGTTCATATGGGGAGAGGTGGTCCTTGAGATAATTGCAATTCTAAGTCATTTGAGGCTTTATAGGTGAAGCCAATGCTGTAAATTGGATCTGGAAACTGAATAGCAGACAGGGCAGGTAGGTCAGGATTGGCTCAAACTGTCTTGCCCTGGTGAGCAAGCTGGCTGCTGAATTCTGCACCAGCTAAACTTTCTGAACCGTCTTCAGAGGCAGCCGTACATACAACACATTGCCGTAATCTAACCTAAAGGTTACCAGACACAGGCAACAGAAGTTAAGCTATCCTTGTCTAGACTGGGGCACAGCTGGGTCACCTGCCAAAGCTAATGGAGGGAATTCTGCACCACCGAGACCACCTGAGCCTCATCCAACAGATTCAGAAGTACTCCCAAGCTGTGTACCAGTTCATTCAGAGGCAATGTAACCTGATCAAGAGCAGGCAACCTCTCATCCATCTGATCTAGCGAACCATCCACTAACTATGCCTCAGTCTTATCTGGATTGAGAGTCAGCTTGTTGGCTCTCAGCCAGTCCATTACCCAGGCAAGTGAAGAGTTATTTGGCCTGCGGTCCAGATGCAGCCCTCCAAACATTTTTATTTGGCCCCTGGGGTTCTCCCCAGGCCACACCCCTTATCAGCCCTGCTTTGCACCCTCCCTCCCTGAGTGTTTTTGTCTGGCTGGAATGTGCCCTTGGAACTCTGATAATGCTTCTAGCATGCTTGGATGAAAGCTGGAGAAACGTGTGTGTGTGTGTGTGTGTGTGTGTGTGTAGAAATGCTGCCCCTGTTCACAGCATCTGCCACCAGTATATGGCCCCCAGAAGGGAAAGCAGCCCTCAGGCTAAAAAAAGGTTCCTCACTCTAGACATATCGTGTGTGCAGCTGAGATTTCCAGCTAAGGGCCTGTTCATACTTCCATTTGTCATGTGCCTAGAAAGCACAGGTCAGAGCAGTGTTCCGCTTGTCCCATGCTTTCTAGGCATGGGTCCAAGTGGTTTTCCATTTGCCCCACCACTTTCACCAGGAAAACCCACTCTTTACTGCTGAATCAGAGCAAACATCAATCTACAGAAAAGCCAACTGATTGATGTTTGCTCCAATTCAGCAGTAAAGAGTGGGTTTTACCAGTAGAAAGTGGTGAGAAAAGCAGAAGCATGTGCAAGCCCTAAGCATCTGTTGCTGTTTACACAGGGGTGTGGAGTACTTTAAAATGCCCTTTGCATCTTTCTTGGCTCAAGTGAGAGTCTAGTTAGAGAACTCTCAAGCCACTAGCTGTTCATCCCTAAAACAAAAAAAGCTGCCTTCTCACTTACCATCAAGGCAGACTTTGAGGGAGCAGCTCAGGTCCCCTGAGAAAGAGGGTCCCCAAACATAGCAGGGCTGGCTGTGTCTACATTTTGTAATGAGTGAAATAACACATTACTATCCCGGGGTTTGTCAGCAAACACCAATCATGTACACACCATATATTTAAAGCACAGGACTTCCCAAAAAGGATCCTGGGAAGTATAACTCTTTACAAAATCACAGAATTGTAGAGTTGGAAGGGACCACAAGGATCATTTAGTTCAAACCCCTGCATTGCAGGAATATTTTGCCCAACATGGGTGCTAGAAATTATAGCTCCATGAGGGGCAAACTAAAATTCCCAGGATTCCTTGGGGGGAAGCCATGACTTTTAAAGTCCTGTAAATGTGCTTTAAATATATAGTGTGAGTGCAACCATTATTCCATTACTTACCAGGCTCCAGGTCCAAGCTCACCACTGCTTTCTGGAGTAAAGGCAGAGTTACAGTGCTAAACAGGATACCGCTTTGAACTAAGGCAGCATCTGGTCTATTGTACCCACCATTAGTCGACATCATCATGAACAATGTGCAAATCATCCAGATCAACTCTTTGTTGTTGAAATGAATTCTCATGGAGGCTAACAGGCAATCAAGTATGTTTTCGGAGGCTAGAAATTCAATATTCAGGTTCTGCCTCATGGCTGCCAAAAGCAGAACATAAAGCAAGGAGGCATTAGATGCTTTAGATGCTCATTCCAGCATCTTATCACAAAGGTGCCAATAAAAAAGTGATGGTGACTGGTGCCTATTAGGACAGGGTGTAAGGCAGGGAGGCCAACAATAGGGGGAGCCACGGCCAATGACAAGCAGAGTCAACTCATTCCATCTGCCTCCATGCTGAATTTGGTAATTTCTTATAAACCACTTAGAGGTTTTACTATAATCAAGCAGTCTATATGTTTTGTTAAATAAATAAAAGGGCAACACTCAGACTTTGAAGGAACTTGCTGGCAGACAGGGCCACCCCCTGGGACATATCAGAAGAAAGGCAGGTGGGGTCTAGCTGAAGGCAGATTGAAGTTGGTGATGCAGTGCTCCATTTGTCACAGTGGGCCAGCCTCCACTGCAAAGAGAACATCTCTTGTTACATAGACACAAGACTGGATTCAGGAACAGTCTCTGGCCTGGTTCACACATAATACTAAACAATAGCCAATGTTAACCATAGTGAAAGCTGAGGTATCTGGCAGATGAGCACTTAAACTTGGTTTATTACATTGCCTGTGCCCCTCCCGCTTTTAAAGAGACACAAATCAGAAGAGCCACTTTGTAGCTTTGGGGCAAGTCAACATCTAACAGTTAAAAAAAGAGGTCAAAGAACATGGTAAGAAGTAGATTAAAGCAAGTTCAACTTAGGTGAAAGAAGATGATAAGAACAGCAAGACACTCTGCCAATAATTTGAGACCTCCGAGTATAGGGTAGTATATAAATTCAATAAATAAATAAATTTCATAAAATTGGTATGGAACTCAAACATTGCTCATCACCCTTACCTTTGCTAGTGATTTCAATCAGCAGAGAATATCCAGCTAACTGTACCTCAGGAGAATCAATGTGATTCTTCATTGCAGAGGTAACAAGCTCCGTTAATCCAAAGAAGACTTTTAGACTGGCTGTGGGGAAGAAACAGAAGCTATCATTATTATTATTTTAATCTGTTACTGCTCTTCCCTTATAGTTTTAAATTTTTTAATTTTCTTTGCATGGATGCTGGGAAATGCAGATATATGGATGTGGACAGAGGATGATGGCCTACAGCACTTCTTCTTTAGGGGTTGCCACTTTGCCGTGTGATCTGGGAGAAGTGACTATCAGCGTGGCTGCAGAACTTACAAGGTATCGCATAGCAGCTGCATAAGGCTGGCAAAGCTGCTTTCTGCAGGAACTGACCGTACGATTGAGTTACCCCGCGGGAAACATAGATGCACAGCCAATCCAGCCAAGTATAACCAGAATGGTGACTTCAAATCTGTTTTCTGCATAGATTGGCTGTACAATGAAGTTCTTGATCACACAGCCAATCCAGCCGCATCTTTCCTGCCCCCCATGTAACATATGGCCTCAGGTATGGGGCAAGTGGGCGTGGTTTGGGAGGGAAGTGGCCAAAAGTCAAAAGTTCCCCACCTCTAATATAGCTGATCTCCTTAATCACTCATGGTTTCTCCCAATCCTTGAAATGTTGCTGGAAATGCAGTAAATCTCAACCCCACTGGTAGGAGCTATGGAACATGCAACTAGCACGATGCCCCACTCTTATGACCAAGATAAGCCTTTCCCATCCAGTTTGGCTCTGAACAACACCCCCCTCCAAACAGAAGTAACATGCCCAGGGCTTTTTTTCAGCTGGAACTCACCGGAACGAGATGAGGGAGGTGTTCGTGGTGAGTTCCAGCACCTTTTTCTACAAAAATAGCATTGTTTATGCCTATATTACAAGTATAGCAGGGGCAGGCAGGAGAAACCTCCACATTTGCACTCTCTTTGGGGGGATTTCCCACTCTGACTCATGCTCCTTATAGAACCCCATGCATCAGTTTATAAGTATCCAATGAGAGACAGCAGCACAGTCAAAGCATACCCTTTCCTTCTTTCAAGAGGACAGTTAGACGCTCAATGCACTTTTCTTGAGCTTCCTCTATGTCCTGGTAAGACAGCATGAATTCTGCAGGAGACAAAATAGTAGCACCTTTCTGTGAAATCCTTCACACACACACACACACACACACACACACACACACAGATGGGGGGGGGAATACACAGAATTGTATTCTGTGCTAATCCTACTCAGAGGAGAATCACTGAAATTAATGGACCTAAGTTAGCTGTATGACTGGTAGCACTAGCATTGGATACAGTTTATAGTTCTTCAAATACCCTAGTAAATGCCTATAAATGTGCATAGGTTAATGTTTTCTGATAATAGCAGCATATAATACCCGTGGCTTGTCCAATATTAATCCTACTCAAAGTAGATCCATTAAAATTAATGCCACAATGAATTTTGTTGTTGTTGTTTAGTCGTTTAGTCGTGTCCGACTCTTCGTGACCCCATGGACCAGAGCACGCCAGGCACTCCTGTCTTCCACTGCCTCCCGCAGTTTGGTCAGACTCATGCTGGTAGCTTCGAGAACACTGTCCAACCATCTCGTCCTTTGTCGTGAATTTAGGGTTATTCATTTCATGGGTCCAACTCTGAGTAGAACACAGTTGGAAGCAACTATATGTCCACTGCCTTCCCACACACTTTACTGGGAATACGTGCCCCTAGTTTCGGTGTGTCTACTCTCTGAGTATGACTAACACTGGATACAAACCCACTGCATTTAAGGGCATGAAACATCAACTGCAAATCCCTGGATTAAGCCTTAGTTTAGCCACGCCCTTACGAGACAGCTTGTGAGTACCTCAAATGCAGAACATTTTCTGTCACCAACCCATCTGCCTAAAACAAAAGGATTATATGGGGTTTTAATGGTTTCAGATCAGATTATCTGCATGTTTCTGTAATTGGGTGTAAAGGAGAAGGGGTTCAAGGCATCAATAAAACAGGGACTTTGTTTGGAAGTGGGGATACATCTGAATCACTTTGAGAGTCAAATGCAGCCCACAAACAACCCCTCATATATTACATTCTTTCATATTCCCAAGAAAGCTACAAGCCTCTGTTTCAGAGCTGCTTTTCCAGCATTACCTAGAATAGTTGGGATCCCACCATTGAGTATTAAGTCCAGTAATCCTGGAGGCAGAGTCTTCTTCACCTTTACTAAGGGTGACCCAGCAAGAATCAGGCATTCTCTGATAAATGCATTGTCAGTCAGCTCCCTAAAGTAGCAAGAGAAGTAGAGTGGAGTGGGGAATAAATTAGTTTAGTTTAAAATACGTACATTGTGTTGAGGGTCCAATTTGGGCTGAAAGGTGAGTTAGAAATGTAAAATAAGCAAAATAAAGGGGAAGGAATATTTAATTGTTAAAGCGGGGCATTCATTTTGAGGGATCCTGATTTCTCTTTGAGATTGGGGGCATAAACCATTAAGTTTAGCCAACGACCCTCTCTTTCAGTGAACAATGACAGTAACTTCCATAGTTACATCCATACCACACATTTAAAGTCCATTTAAAGCCCATGGCTTTCCCAAATAATCCTGAGAACTGTAGTTTGTTAAGAGTAAAGGGCATTGTAGTGGGAGGGGTAAACTACAATTCCAAGGATTCTTTGGGGGGGGGAGCTGTGACTACTAAAGTGGCATAAATGTCCTTTAAATGCATTGTGTGGGTTATTGGGTGGAGCAAGGGAGAAAACAAACCCAGGACTGACCCTGATGTGGGCCTCATTGTTGGCTCAATTGTCAGCATCCTTAGCAAAAGAGAAGACAAAGGTGTATCCATCTGCTTCATAGTTATCAGGGCTTCTTCCAGGTGACTGCTATTCTCCTTAATGTTACGCAGCAATGAAACTGGATCTTTCACCTAAAAAGAAACTCATGCAAATACACAAAAGGAGCACCTAATAAAATCTGCATATGTTTTCTCTTTACAGACTCATTGTAGCAGAGCTGCTTACGGTGTAGCTGCTGTTCTGAGCATCTTTGGGAGGAACAGTGGGACAAAAATGTAACCAATAACAATATGTGTGAGTACTGGTTGGTGCCCATTGGGACTGGTAGGGCAGAAGGCACTCACACTTATATTATTAGTGGAGCCAGAGCCAATGACACGAGTCCTAGAATGGCAGAACTGAGACTTGAGGAGGCTGCTGGCAGCCAGAGCTGTCCTTTGGATTGGTTGTAAGTAGGAAGGCAGGTAGAAGGGGGTTGGCTGAAGGTAGTGAGGAGGTAGGGCAGTGCTCCACTTGCCTTAATAGACCAGCCTTCATCCGCAGACCCCCTAACTCTTCATACACCAAAGGAGGGATATCTAAAGTGAGCATGGGTTGTTCATAATTCAAATGATGGAAGTGACCTTGCCAACTGGCAAAGCCTTTGAACAATTTTATTGTTTCTAAAGGTTCTGCTTTCTTTCACTTCTGGTTTATCACTAAAGTACAGAAAGAAATAGGTCCACAGGAGGGTTACACTTCCTGTAAAGACATACCCTAAGTGGTGTCCAAACTTTTTTCAAAGAGAGCCAGATTTGTTGAGCTTTTTTTATGATTTTACCCCTAAGTTGTTGAGCTTTCTTTAGGATTTTACCCCAGGAAATAAACTGCCACAGGGGCCTGATTAAACTGAATGGCGGGCCAGATTAGGCCCCCCAAACGGACTTTGGACAGGCCTGCCCTAAGAGCACCTTAATTTGCTTGCAGCACTACAGCTGCCAGAGCTACTTAGCAGGAAGCTATGCCACTGGCACCAGAAAGGCATCATCCAGCCCATGCTAAGCACTTTTAAGTAAAATTTGCTTCAAGGTGAGAAGGAAACAAGGGCCTTAGTTTCTCCCACGATAATCAAAAGTAGTTAACTTTCGCTTATCAGAACTGAAGTTTGTAGTAAAATGTCCAATGGTTTCCCCTTTCCCACACCCAAGATGAGTAACCACCATGCTGAGGTGCTCAATACAATATTGTGAAGGCTTGAGTGATAAGAAGAATCGGCGCTGTCAGGATAGTGGCCCATCTAGCCCAGGATCCTCTTCTCTCAGTGGCCAACCAGATGCTCCCATGGGAGGCCTACAAGCCAGACATGAGTGTAACACTCTTCCTTCCTGTGGTTTCCAGCAACTGGTATTCAGAAGCAGCGGGATAGCTAGCCACTTAGGTGCCCAGGGCAGCACGTGTGCCTTCCATCCGGGGGTGAGGCGAGCCACTGATGACGGCAAGGTGAGCCAGGGCAGGGTGCACTGCGCGGGGCCTTGCCACTGCCTCCCCCTCAGCTGTAGGGGGCAGATGCAAGCCCCACACTGCCATTTTCAGGCAGAGCAGAGCCTGCAAGGCACCCGAGTCACTGTGTCACTCCCAGGAGAGATGTGTGGCTCAGGAGCGCTGCAGGCCCTGCAGTAAGTGCCACTCCCCCGTTCAGAAGCATACTGCCTGACAGTGCCATACATACATACATACATATATATTGTTACACACCACCCCAATATCTGCTGAGTGATAGCAAAATTCCAAGGGTTCCAGAAACTCATCCAGGATCATGTGTCTGTTGGAAGTTCAGACATGGCAGAGGCAGTAGAGTTTTAAGATATGTGAGTGTTTTACGCATATATGTAACCTTTAGCTTTCAGTGGAGGGGTGCACAGCAAGAGCATCCCAAGATGCAGTGCTGGCTTATCCTTATGGCAGCATCATCAACATCTTTTTTGCTCTGCAGCTTATCTTGGTCTCCAGGGCACGTACAAGCATACTTTCTTCTCTGCTTCCTGATACTATCTCCCCTAATTCTGCTGTTTCCAAAAGTAATCCCCCTTTATTCATTTGTATTCTAATATTCAGTTCTTTTGATGCTTTGACCTCATCAACACTTGTTGATTGACTAGGATTAAGGTAAAAGGTAAAGGTAAAGGACTCCTGGATGGTTTAAGTTTGGTCAAAGGCAACTATGGGGTTGCAACGCTTATCTCGCTTTCAGGCTGAGGCATTTGTCCACAGACAGCTTTCCAGGTCATGTGGCCAACATGACTAAATTGCTTCTGGCACAACGTGACACCTTGATGGAAACCAAAGCACATGGAAACGCCATTTATCTTCCCTGTGCACCGATACCTATTTATCTACTTGCACTGGTGTGCTTTTGAACTGCTAGGTTGTCAGGAGCTGGGACAGAGCAACGGGAGCTCACCCCGTCGTAGGGATTTGAACTGCTGACCTTCTGGATCAGCAAGCCCAAGAGGCTCAGTGGTTTAGACTACAGCACCACCTGAGTCCCTATACTAGGATTAATGGCTAGTACACACTTACAATGCTTACCTAGGTTAATTGAATTTTCACATGCTAATTGATGATGCTCATATGTAGGTCCACACACATATTCCAATACACATGGATCTTGATTGCATTCTCAAGGCCTTATATTTATGTGTTTATACATAAATGCTAATTAAGCACCTCAAACCTGTTACATTAACCCCTTCTAATAAACACTGAGATAGTCTTATAACACATCCCAGTTATAACATACAAGTTATAATTAAATCCTAATATTTACAAAATCTAATTATTTAGCAGAATAGATCTATTATCATATACATAACAGAGGGGGGTACAACCGATATCTATATCTATCGTAGGCATCTCCAATGTTGGAGGCAGCATGCTTCTGGATACCAGTTGGAGATACCTTTATATATATACTGTTGGTAGGTTTCTGAATATCAGTCACTGAAAACCGCATGCTGTGTGTATTTAATGTAACCATCTCTCAAAAGAGCCAACTCTGAACACCGTCACAGTACTGTTAAAGGGGAAATGTACCGTACTTTCACACAGGAGATCATGTCGAGAAGAATACAGCCAAGAGACCAGATGTCAGATTTGTCACTGAAAGAAAATTTGAGTGCCTCTGGAGCCATCCAGGATTTGAAAGGAGGATCTGTGGGAAGAAAAGCCAGGGGTGTGATTTATTTGTTTATTTTTATCCCTTGCAACTTTTCCTTTGTAACCAAGAGTAACATCTCTTTGGAGGTGGAACAATATTCCATCAGAAGGCAACAACTGAATACATATTTTTGTTTTGTAAATGTTTTCTAGCTAGTTGGGGGGGGGGGGAGGTCTGTGCTTTATGTGCTAATGTTAATTTTGTTCAATTTTTAAACCTATCTTCAATCGCTGCTTTGTACCATTTTTGTGATATGTTTGTAAATCGCCTTGAGATGTTTATAAAAGGCAATTCATACATTTAATAAACTGAAGAGCCAGTGTGGCATGGTGGTTAGAGTGCCAGACTAGAAGCTGATAGATAAATCCCCACTCGGCCATAAAGCTTCCCAGCTGACCCTGGGCCAGTCACTGCCTCTCAGCCTAATCTACCTTCCAGGGTTGTTGTGGGGATTAAATGAGGAGGGGGAGAACCATGTACCCCTCGCTGAGTTCCTTAGACAAAAAGATGGCCTATAAATGTAATGAAATAAATAAAGATAGTGGTTTTCAAGCTTTCCACATTCAGAGAACCATTTCTACACCTTAACTGTAAAAGAACCCGCAAAACATTCTAAGGATACCGTTCAGTTTGCAAGGGGCACTGCGGAGGTCTGTCAGTTTGTTTCTGGGCCTTATTTAAGGTGCCCGTGGTAGTGGTTAAAGCCCTGAATGACTTAGGCCCCAAATATTTGGAAGACTACTTCCTTCCCTATAGTCCCTCCTGGGCAGTGCTTCCTCCCCTTAAAAAAATGTTTAGGGGTACTCTCATTTTCCTACTCATATTGAAATACTGCCCCTCAATGAGGCCAAACTTAAGATTCACAAAATGTTTTGGGGTATGCGTCCCCCTGCATCCCCCCAGAAAAAAAGCATTGCTCCTGGGTACTAAGATCAGTAAAGCGGGGCCCCTCTTGGTAGTCCTCATAAATGTGGGGTGGTGTTGGCCTAGGAGAACAGTCCCCTAGGTTGTGTAACTCCCTCCCCACAGATTAATTTGCCATGCTCATTATAAAGCTTTCAGGGAATGGTGAACACGATCCTCTGTACTCTGACCTTTTGACAGCTAACGTGTATTTTCAGGATCCACCCTATTCCTGTGACTGCAATATGTTTTAATGGTCTTTAATGCTGAACTTTAAATTGTTAAAACCTTGCTTGTGAAGGGACAGGTAATAATAATAATGTCACTGTAACTTAAAGGTAAAGGTAAAGGGGCCCCTGACCATTAGGTCCAGTCGTGACCGATTCTGGGGTTGCGGCGCTCATCTCGCTTTCTCGGCCGAGGGAGCCAGCGTACAGCTTCTGGGTCATGTGGCCAGCATGACTAAGCCTCTTCTGGCGAACCAGAGCAGCGCACGGAAACGCCGTTTACATTCCCGCCGGAGCGGTACCTATTTATCTACTTGCACTTTGACGTGCTTTCGAACTGCTAGGTTGGCAGGAGAAGGGACCGAGCAACGGGAGCTCACCCCGTCGCGGGGATTCAAACCGCCAACCTTCTGATCGGCAAGCCCTAGGCTCAGTGGTTTAACCCACAGCGCCACCCGCATCCCGTCACTGTAACTTAGGGTTGCCATATTTTGAAGGGCAAAAAAGAGGACATATCAGCTGACTTTTAACTATGGATCCCTATGACAACTCTCATTTTACATACCCATGATAAGGAGAAGGTGTCCTGGAAAAAGAGGACATATGGCAACCCAATGTGTTGCTTCACACAAGGTGACAGAACAGCTTAAAACAGGGATAGGGAGTGTGGCCCTCTATATATGTTGTTGGAACTTCCATCAAGTCTCGGAGTCGACCCATTTAAATTACCGTATTTTTCGCCCTATAGGACGCACTGTCCCATAAGGCGCACCTAGTTTTTTGGGGGGGAAACAAACGGAAAAAAAATTATTTCCCCCCCAGCCCCCAGAACAGGCAACTCTCCGCAAGCCGCGGGAGCCCAGCGCCGGGCTCCCACGCCTTGCGGAGAGCTGCGCCAAGCCTGGGGGCGCTGAGCTCAGCGCGCGCAGGCTTCAGCGTGCAGGCAACTCTCCGCAAGCCGCGGGAGCCCAGCTCAGCACGCCGGGGCTTCGGGATAAGAGGCAGCTCTGCGCAAGCCGGGGGAGGGCTCCCGCGGCTTGCGCAGAGCTACCCGAAGCCCCGACGGGACTGCTCAGCGCGCCGGGGCTTTGGGATAAGAGGCAGCTCTGCGCAAGCCGCGGGAGCCCTCCCCCGGCTTGCGCAGAGCTACCCGAAGCCCCGGTGCGACTGCTCAGCACGCCGAGGCTTTGGGATAAGAGGCAGCTCTGCGCAAGCTGGGGGAGCCCGGGGGGAACTCCCGCGGGCTCCCAAGGCTTGCAGATAGCTTCCTGAAGCCTGGAGAGGGAGAGGGGTCAGTGCGCACTGACCCCTCTCGCTCTCCAGGCTTCAGCAAAAGCCTGCATTCGCCCCATAGGACGCACACACATTTCCCCTTCATTTTTGGAGGGGAAAAAGTGCATCCTATAGGGCAAAAATACGGTAATAAGTTGGTCAGTTCAGTTAATTTCAATGACTCTCCTCTGAACAGGATTAAAACTGGATACAACCCATTGTAACGTACTGGATGTGAATATGTTCTGACAATATGAGCACATGTCTATTGCACTGAGACTCACTAACCATCTACACCATACATTTAATGTACATTTAAAGCATATGGCTTCCCCCAAAGAATTTGGGGAAATTCTAATTTAGGTGCTGGGAATTGCAGTTCTGTGAACTGGAATTCCCAAGGTTCATTGGGGGAAGTATTGCACTTTAAATGTATGGTGCAGCCCACTCCACATACATGTCAAACTACCATTACTAAACTACATATACTTTAACGTTCTTCTAGATGCTAACCATGCCATGTCATAAGGAAATATTTCCCCCTTGACCTTGTATTTTCAAAACCCCCACAATCTTTCTGAAGAACAAGGCTGCTGAAAAGATAACAACACATTGCTACCTTCTTCCACTCTAATCTTCCATTTCATCTCATCATTCATGAGGGTTTCCGTGCTGAAATCACCAAGCACGAAAGATGACTTGTCATCTAAAAGGATGTTGGATGGTTTGAGGTTTCTGAAACACATCAGAGTTGTTTTTACAGCATGTTGAAACAAAGTTGCAGCCATGTTAAGAGTTTGTTTGTTAAAAGACCTTAGGTTTTGCACTACAAACTACTGCAGATAAATAACAAAGCAATATTTTGAAAAACTGACACCTCACCTGTGAAAAATGGTTTGTTTGTGGATGTAAACTAAAGCATCCACCATCTGCCCCAGAAACATTTTAATCACCTATGGAAAGAAATATATGAAATGATGAGGACATAATATACAGGAGAAACGTTTGCTGTTATGCCATGTTAAAGTCTTGAGAAATTCTCTCCCTCCTGTTGGTCCTTGACAAAGAAAGGGTGGACAATGGGAATAATGCTGTTCCTTCCGTAGCAACATTTGCCCACCTCCTGTTTTCTGATTGTGCTATCATGCCTTAGGTAAAGGGACCCCTGACCATTAGGTCCAGTCATGGCTGACTCTGGGGTTGCGGCGCTCATTTATTGGCTGAGGGAGCCAGCGTACAGCTTCTGGGTCATGTGGCCAGCATGACTAAGCCGCTTCTGGCGAACCAGAGCAGCGCACGGAAACGCCGTTTACCTTCCCACTGGAGCGGTACCTATTTATCTACTTGCACTCTGATGTGCTTTCGAACTGCTAGGTTGGCAGGAGCAGGGACCAAGCAATGGGAGTTCACCCCGTCGCAGGGATTCAAACCACCGACCTTCTGATCAGCAAGCCCTAGGCTCTGTGGTTTAACCCACAGTGCCACCTGCGTCCCGCTATCATGCCTTACCTCAACATAAATTTTTGCCATGAGACATGCCAAGAGTAGGCTGAGCCTGCGAGTGACAACACCCAGAACCAGGTCCCAGAAGTGGACATTCTCTCAACAGTTCCTGTGGTTAATGCCCACAAGGAGTTTGTGTACTTAACAACCCAGGCAGAAATAATCAGTAGCTGTAAAAACTATGCAGGCAAACTATATATTCAGTATAACCAGTCTTAGGCATGTGCCTGGGACTGGAGCAAACAAAGGAAATGCCTACCCTCGTGGCTGGTCCAAGGAAGAGAGATAGGAACAGAAGTACTATATGCTCCTTCCTCTTCAGGAGGAGAAAATGACACCACATGGAGCCTTCTCTACCAATTGCTTTTCTATGGCCTGAGTATCTGCCTACTAGCTACAAAGCTCTGTGGACTTAGCCCCTTCTAATGCTAACCAGCAAGAATATGCACTTGTTAGGTTTGGCTGCTAACCTCCCCCAATTATTACTATTTGTATTATACATATTTATTAAATAAAAACATTCTTTTCTACCTTCTTTTTAATTTTCTCAGGTTTTTGCCTCTTGGCCTTGATCAGAGATGAAAGATCCCCTTGATCTGAATAACGCATCACCAGACAAAGAAAGAGGGAGGAAATCTGCATGCAACAGGATGAAGATGAAAATCACTGTGCCCCTTTAGTCAAGGGGTTTCAAAGTTTATCACAGTAAGGCTTCCTACACCAGTTACAGCCCAGTGTGGGGAAGGGGGATGCTAACAACACATTCCAGTGGTGCCTCGGGTTACATATGCTTCAGGTTACATACGCTTCAGGTTACATACGCTTCATGTAACAGACTCCGCTAACCCAGAAATAGTACCTCGGGTTAAGAACTTTGCTTCAGGATGAGAACAGAAATCAGGCTCTGGCAGCGTGGCAGAAGCAGGAGGCCCCATTAGCTAAAGTGGTGCTTCAGGTTAAGAACAGTTTCAGCTTAAGAATGGACCTCTGGAACGAATTAAGTACTTAACCCGAGGTACCACTGTACAGGCTTTACCATGTGAAACTAATAACCCAATCTTGCATATAGGGTCAGGCAAGAAATCCCAGGACTTGCACTCTACCTAGGTGTGTGTGGTCCGGCCTCTTCATGTGATAATTTGGCAGAGCTTCTCCCTAATGTGACACTTTTTTTGTAAGTTCAAGTAATTTGACAAAATAAATAAATGGGGATGCATTCAAATATTTTTCTCCCCCCCATCCTCTCCTCCCCAACCTAAGGTGGTACAATCCAGTAACAGGGAAATCACAGATCTACCCACTATGGGGAATATGAACCTGGGTCTCTATGGTATGGATCATTGTTATTTAAAGTCATCCACTGGACTACACTGATAAGAGATTCAGAAGCAACACATCCCTGGATCACCAGTTTAGAGCTGCTGCAATTTACCTGGGAGCAAGTCTCATTGAATTAGGAAACTTTCCAGTAAGCATATATACCATAGTAGCCTTAGGAAATTGTCACCTGGTCGTCCCAGATGATGAAAAATTCTTTGTAGCTGCAGATGTTCTGATGATTCAGCTTCAGCAGTTCCATGGCCTTCCAGAAAAATGATGAGAAAGGTTCTATAGTAAACTATTACAATTTAAGATAAACTGGTGCGGTCCCTAGTTTGCCAAATTTCTCCTCTTGATTCAGTCATTCTGCTGGATGCTATACAACTGATTTCAGCAGACCATGCTCCCATGAAACTGTGCTTAGTATCACACCTTAACTTCTTTTTTAGGGGAGGAAGGGATTAGGAGTCCAACCACCTTCCAAGCTAAGATAGATCTAAGGTTTGTAACAATCGTCACCTAGATTTAGAGAGGGATCCTAGCTCTGCAACAGATTTCCAGTTACTTTGCCATGGGATTCCACCCTTTCCACATCTGGAAAATGCAATTCTAAAATTACAGGAGAGTAACTAATCATATAGGCAGCACAGGGCGGGGAGGAAAGCACTTGCTCCTCAACTTGCCCCCCCCCCCATTTCTAAACTATTGTTAACATATGCTGCAATTTTTCTTTCTTGCCAGCCTAGAAATATCCTTAGTCTATTCTGTGCCATCCCCAGAATTTTGTGTGTGTGTGTCGCCACTGACTAATCAGGGATGTAATTATAAGTTTAAGCCTGCAGATGGGGCTGGTGCAGGGGCTTGGTGTTTCTAATTTTTGTCAAGTGGCTAGATGCTTTAGGCACTTAATAATAAAAACTAATAATATCAGAAGCAGCTTTGAGAAACCTGAGGCCATGAGTGTTAAAAAAGCCAGTTCCATAGCTCTATGGTCTGAAGTTGGCTTGTTTTGAAATCAACCCCTGTTCCTGATTCACAGGTAATAGCCCAGCTTCTTTGAAAGTAGAGGTGTAAGAAGAAAAGCTGTTTCCATTCCAACCTATATTTCTCACAATCAGCACTGCTTCCATTTCGCTTCCACCAAATATGACATTATTCATCACACTGTCCCCTACTTAATGCAACTTGCATAACTTACATTCATTTCAATGTAAAGGACATATCAGAAGAATGGTAAGATAACCTTTATTAATTGTATATTGTTAGTAAACTTTAAAAAAACCCAACCACTATGATGTGTACAAGTACCAGTCATTAATTTGCATAACTGGTTTCCATTCTTGACCACAGACAACACACAAACGGCAGCAATTTAGTCATGTCTATCAATTTTGGGGGGGCCACTAGGGGCGCATCGGAAGATGGCTGACAATAACATCTCTCCGACCCACACGAGGTAATTAAGAGGCTGTGGTGGGAGTAAACAGCCTCCCGGCTCCCCCAAGCGTGTGGGGGGACCGCCCTTGCCTGCTGTGCCCTACACCACCCCTGAATTTGAGGGGGTGGGGGCCCTAGGCAGAAAGCCCTTATGTGGATTTCGGCGCTCCTGGACGCTGTCTCTGGTTCGCGCCCCTAGCTGCAGCAACTTCAAAAGAAACAATTAGGAGGAAGCTAATGCACATATTTCAATGATGAATGGGGAGTAAAGACTGCTAACCGAAGAGATCTCTGAGAAACAAGACGGGTCGGAGGAACAGGAATAAATCATGAGAAGACACACCAAGGCTCGGTATGTTCGGCAACGGGACTGGATGGGGGAGGGGAAAAAACTTTCCTTTCTTTTCTCTATGTGATTAACCAAGAATCCCCCCCCACAAGTTACAAGTCAGAAATGCCGTTTAAACGACTTAAGCTGAGGATTTAAGACTGTGTGGAGATAATTTTCTAACCAAAGCATGTTTTAAGGAGACTGTGGAATGTATAAGAGCTTTGGAATGACGCAGTAAAAAATACCGTCGCCATTTTGGCAAGCTCTGTCGAAAGACTTATTTCTGAGAGGAGGAGTAGATTTGTTTTCATATTGTGAGTGGCCTCCTCAGAGGGACTAAAGAAGGCGACAGTTTTACGAGACTGATGATGGAAAGAGAGCTTTTATTTACGAAAGTGATGATATATGGAAACCATCTTGACATGATGATTGGAAGAACGGAAAATTCACACAGGATTACAACTGGTGTTTACCTGCTTAAGGAGATTATCAGAAGAGATCATAAAGAAAAAAAGAAAAATATACGAACAAGATGAGATGTGAGAACAGCAAGAGAGGACTGGTTAGAATTATGAACATTATTTGGACAGATTTGTGGATATTAATGCAGCAGCAAGAAGATGATTGGAATCCCCTTCGGAAATTGAAATATGGGTCCCCCCAACAAAAAATTTAAAATTCGGCTTTGTAATTCGGAATTTATGTGATGTGATTTGATTTGATTGGTCGGTTAATAAAAATTATTTTTTTAAAAAAGTCATGTCTATCAATTTCAATGGGTCTACTCTGAGTAGGACTAACCATTGATAAATCCCTTGTGGTTTCCTACATGAAGTCCAGAAGGGTAGCTTAGTGTGTTGTTGTGGAACCAATAGTAATATGCTGTTCTAAAGACAAATAAATGTATTGTGCCATATGCTTTCATAGTTTAGGAATGGGCCATAGATCAGTGGTAGAGCATCAGTTTTGCATGCAGAAGATTCCCAGGTTCAATCCCCAGGTCAAGCTGGCAACGTACCCTGCCTGAAACCCTGGAGAATCACTGCCATTCAGCATAGACAATGTTGAGCTAGATGGTTGGTTGGTCTGACACTATACCACAGATAGGCAAGATCCTACTTCCAGTGGCGTAGGAATGGGGGTGCGGTGGGTGCAGGTCACCCTGGGTGTCATCATTGAGGGGGGTGACAAAATGGCAAAAATATACGTTTTTGAAAAAACAACTCCCACACCCACCGCATGCCCCTTCCTACGCCACTGCAGAAACACTCTCCCCTTGAGTGATTTCCAGAAACCAGAAGCATTGCTGCCTCCAACTTTGCAGGCAGAGCACAGCATTTATGGCTAGTAGCCTTCAACAGCCCTCTCCTCCATGAATCTGTCTAATCTGGAGGAGTAGCTAGGTAATGAGGGGGGCACTGGGCATCACACTGTGGGCCTGCAGTGTGCCTGAGCCAAGCGTCTCTCCTGAGGGGGAGGTGGTGGGTGAACTGCCTGCAAGCTCCGCGCTTTTTCGAGCAGCGCGGGGCTTGCGTCTGCCCACCACCTCAGCCGCCCTACGGCTGAGGAGGAGGCTGCGGAGAGGCTTCATGCAGTGCACCCTGTCTTGGCTCACCCCGCCCCCCATGGGCAGCTTGCCCCGTCCCCACGGGCAGCTCACTCCACCCCCGGTTGCAGGGCACGCGTGCCACCCGGAGCACCCGAGCGGCTAGCTACTCTGCTGTCTACTTCACCCCATGTGTGAAATAAAAAAGGATGATTAAGAGAAAGCTACCTCTTGGAGAGCATCATTTGCTTGTTTTTCATCAATGCATTCAACCTGCACAAAACACCAAACAACAAAGAAGTTGTTAAAAGTAGAACAACTTATTATCCACTCCAAACACTTAAGACACATTCAATACACTTTTAACACACATTTAAAGCACATGGTTTCCCCTAAGGAATCCTGTGGAACGTAGTTTCACTCTCACAGAGCCGTAATACCCAGCAGTCCTAACAAACTACAATATAAAGCAGTTTTCTATCTTGCATTCCTGTCTTCGGACGTGGGTGGTGCTAGGGTCCAAACCACTGAGAAGTAAACAGGTCATACATTTCTGAATAAATATAAAAAATAAATATTATACAGTACACACCCACATATAAGCAGGTTCCCAGGCTAAACCCTGCTGAATGCTTGTTTGTATTAAGTCCTGGCGATTGCACAACAGATAAAATGGGCTGGTGAGAATATGTAAGTCCTTTTACTCTACTAATGTTCTGATTGTTAATAAAATAATACATTTTGTAACAGAAGCCAAGTGGCTCTTGATGAATATGCGGCCAATATGGTGTAATGGTTAGAGTGTCAGACTCGGACTTAGGAAACCAGAATTCCCCTACTTGACCATGAAGCTCACTGGGTATGACTTTGAGCCAGCCCTGCCTCTCAGCCTAACCTACCTCACAGGGTTGTTGTGTTAAATAAAGAGGGGGATAGAACCATATATGCCACCATGAAGTCCTGGGAGAAATAGGTGGGATATAAATACAGTGGTACCTCGGGTTACATACGCTTCAGGTTACAGACTCCACTAACCCAGAAATAGGGCTTCAGGTTAAGAACTTTGCTTCAGGATGAGAACAGAAATCATGTTCCGGCGGCATGGGGGCAGCAGAAGGTCCCATTAGCTAAAGTGGTGCTTCAGGTTAAGAACAGTTTCAGGTTAAGAACGGACCTCCGGAACGAATTAAGTACTTAACCTGAGGTACCACTGTAATAGAATCATAGAGTTGGAAGAGACCCCTCTAGTCTCATCTAGTCCAACTCTCTGCAATGTAGGATTCACAGCTAAAGAATCCCTGACAGATGACCATCTCTTTAAAAACCTTCAATGAAGGACAGCCCACCACCTTCCAAGGTAGTCCATTCCACTGTCAAACAGCTCTTACTGTCAGAAAATTCTTCCTAATATTTAGTTGCAATCTCCTTTCTTGTCTGTGAAGACACTGACATGGGTTCTATCCTCCAGAGCAGCAGAAAACAAGTTTGGTCCATCCTCCATGTGACAGCCCCTTAGATATTTGATGATGGCTATCCTTCCCACTTCCAGTCTTCTTTTATCCAGGCTAAACATGCCCAACTCCCTTCACTTTTCCTCCCAAAGCTTGGTTTCCAGACACTCAATCATCTTGGTGACCCTTCTCTCCACACCTTCCAAGTTGTCAATATCCTCCTTAAACTGTGTTGCCCAGAACTGGACACTGTACTCCAGGTGGGGGCTGACCAAAGCAAAATAGAGTGATGCTATAACTTCCCTTGATCTGGACACTCTACTGTACTTCAGTTGATGCAACCTAGGATTGCATTAGCGGTTTTTGCTGCTGCGTCACACAATTGACTCGTGTTAAGCTTGTGGTCAACTAAGACCTTTAGATCCACGTGTACTCCTATCAAGCCACGTGTCCCCCATCCTTGCAATCAATCAAATCAGATAAAATCAAATCACTGGAGACACATCTTGTCATAAAGACCCTTGCTCCCCCCTTACCTTTTTCATAATATACTTCTTTCTGCTGCCATCTTTTTCTTTCTCCACTTTTGATTCCACTATCAGCATTGTCCCAAGGGCCCCATGAGGTAGCATATTCAGAATCTGTAAGGAATAGTAGATGTATGTAAGGCAAGTGGTTGAAGGACAGTGGGACCACCTTAAAGGGACCATACTTCCTCAAGACAAGACAGATTCATTTCAGTTATGCACATAATGCTTGTTACTCAGATCACAATATACTGTAAAGAAATAAATTGATCATTTTAATCAGATCCACAGTGTACACACAAAATGTTTTTAGCAGTTCTCACAAAGGGGACAGTAAAAGTGCCTGTCTGATGTCAATAGGCACTGGCAGGGAGTTCCAAATTGATCCATCACAATATAGTGGGAACAAAGAGAAGGAATTTTCAAGCAGATCCACACTGTACATCTAGAGCCCATTCAACACACATTTAAAGCTGACAGTCTCCTTTAAAAAATACATGGGAACTTAGTTAAAGAACTTCTAGCTCTATGAGCTCCTGGGATTCTTTGGGGGAAGTTATGAACTTCAGATGTGCATTAAATGTGCTTTAAATATATGCAGTTTACTCCTTCACAGAACTACAATTCCCAGCACCTTTAACAAACTACAGTTCCAATTATTCTTTGGAGAACATTTAAAATTCAGAATCAAAAACAGTTGAAACATTCCCTGTTTGCATCTCTCACTGATTCTCTTTCCTCCGGGACTCAAGACCCACATGGAGGCAACACTCCCCCACACCTTTACAACCATTCTAGTGGGAATAGTAAAATAAAAAGTCTACAAATGACAATGATAATAGCAGCATTGTTCCATCCATCCCTTCCTTGACAACCTAGCTTGCCCTCAGACACCCCTCCCTAGGTCTGAGATGCCTTCTCACACAAATTGCCCATATGTTAACCCCCACCCCTACCCCCAATTCCTACCACTCCCCTGCAATGAAATAAATATACATAGAGGATGGGCAGTCATTTTGATCTTCCAGATGTGATTGTACTACAACTCCCAGATGTCAGCGTGGTCCAGTAGTCAGGGGATAAAGAGAATTGTAGCCTTAACAGCATGTGGAGAGGCTATAGAAATGCTCCTTTTACCCTCCAGATGTTGTTGAACCACAACTCCCAGCAGCCTCGTGAGCCAGCATGGACAAGCCATCAGGGGATGACGGGAATTGTAGTCTGGGGGGAGATACAGTATAGATTTTTTTTCCAATCCTGCCCCCTCCGTCACTTCAAATGCATGTATGGGGAGGGGGAGGAGTCAAACTTCCGTTGCTTTCCCTCCTCCTCGCCTCAAATCGTCCCCCCCCCGCCTCTCCTCAGGCCAACCCTCTGCCCCCCCCGCCCCACCTCGTAGTTCTCCATGGCTGGCCGGGGAAGTGGGAGGGGCAACAGACACAAACGGCTCCCGCCTTCCTCCTCCTCTCCCCTCCCCCCACTCGTTCTTCACCTGCCAATTCTGTGGCGGGAAAAAAGTCTGCCTGGTCCTCAGATCTGTTTTACCTTTCCCCGCCCATTTTCAACTTTCTTCAGCATATATATATATATATGCTCCTCTTATGATATCCAAATGTATTTCGCAGTTCCGCCCCCCCCGCCAACTTTTTAGAATTTAGCTTATAACCTTACCCAAAAACGGAACCAATTTCTTCCCACTGTCTTTCTCTCTCTCTCACACACAAAAATCCCAATGTGATATTTTATTAGGGTTGCTGCACACCAATTCCTCTAGAGGGCGTGACGTGTTTTAGAGAAAAAGGCTCCAAAGCATGTGCAAAGTGGGTTTTTTTGCCCCACAATGAAGTTTTTTTAAAAGGGTCAAAGTGATTTGAGAACAGTGAAGGGTGTCTTTCCTTTGCGAATACAGCTGGTTTTAAAAATAAACCCAACAACCAAAAGTCTGCAAAGTTATTTTTAGGCTTTAGCAAATATTTGCTAATCATATGTCTAAGTGGAAGTTGCTGGGTAGCACTTTTGTGCTAACTGAAAATCAGTGAATGTCTATTATTATTATTAAACAATTATTATGACCTTATTTACAGGTGAAAGGACAGGTGGCCGCATTTCATTGTTATGAAAACTAGATGACAATGACAATAATTATGATGATGTTCTTATTATTATGAATCATTGTTGATTTTAAGTATCAAGGCAATTCACAATCATATAAGGAACTAAAGCAGATTTTAAAATAATACCAAAAACAACAAATGAAGCTAGATTTAAAAGCAATACAGTGGTACCTCGGGTTACATATGCTTCAGGTTACAGACTCTGCTAACCCAGAAATAGGGCTTCAGGTTAAGAACTTTGCTTCAGGGTAAGAACAGAAATCGTACAGTGGCGGCACAGCAGCAGCAGGAGGCCCCATTAGCTAAAGTGGTACTTCAGGTTAAGAACAGTTTCAGGTTAAGAACAGACCTCCAGAACGAATTAAGTTCTTAACCCGAGGTACCACTGTACAGATAAATAGTCAGAGGCAGAGATCTTTTAAAAAAGGTGCTTTTCAACTAAGTTTACTCAGAGTAAATACAATGAAAGTTATGGACCTTAGTCATATTCATTAAGATCATAACTGAAAAGCATGTTTAAAAAGCAACATAAACCTAGCAGCTGAATGAAGCATCCTAAAAATCCAATGTGAATAAAGTCTTAAGCTGGGTCAAATTTCTAGATACACTAAGATCACATGCACACCATACATTTAAAGTACATGGCTTTGCCCAAAGAATCATAGGAAGTTTAATTTACTCATTCACAGAGCTACAATTCTCAGCACCCTTTAAAAAAAACTATAATTCCCATTATCCTTTGGAGGAAGTCATGCTTTAATTATGCTTTAAATGTATAGTATGGATGTGATATAAGATTGTGTCCTAGAACAGTTGATTGTGATGCTGACGATATGGGAAAAACCTGGGATGCTATTATGTATTTTTCCATTTAATATCCCACCTTTCCTTCCCAGGAGCTCAAAGTGGCTTATTCAGCAGTGACACTGAGGACCTGATGGCAGCATTGCTGAATCTTTTGGAAGCAGTGCCATATTGCTGTCAGATTCAGTGTTGTATGCAAAGGGAACTGGTGTGAAGGAAAGTACAGCACAATCACTTCAAAAGAGGAAACCACAAAAAAAAGAGTATTGGTTAAAAGGAAATTGGAATTGAAAGCTAAGAGAGTCAAATCTCTTTGAAGAACTTGTGTAACCAGGTAAAGTACCATGAAGTCCAAGAGGATGCCTGCATGACTGACATATGCTATGTTCCCTACAGCAGCCCTGTAATGTAGAGACTGTTGTTTGCCATTCTCACATTGCAAATGGGAGGCAGGGAGGTTAAGTAAGAATGGCTTTGTTTAATGCCACCAGGTGAGTTCATCACAGGAGAGGTGAGATTCAAACCAGAGATTTCGTGACTTTTAGTCTCTGAGATGCACTGGACTTCAACAGATAGGCTGGGAGTCCCACTACCTGGCTGCAGCACCTGACCTCAGGTGGGATACAATAGCAGTACTGCTACCATACAAATATGTATATACTGTTATGGTTTTTCCTGTAAGATTTCTATGTGTATAGGCTGCCTTGGGGCAATACCTAGGTCAGCTTTGACAAAAAAGTTGGGAAGTGATCTAGTGTTAGGCATAATTGATATAGGAGGCGCCTCTTGTAGTTATTTGGGTCTCTACATAAGTGATTTGAATTTGGCCCAGTGGCAAATCGGCAATCAGCATAGTTAATACTGCCATTGTTGCTTTTAGTTTTACATTTATATCCCATATTTCCTCCAAGGAACTCAAAGTGGTGTACACAGTTTTGCTTCTTCCCATTTTATCCTCACAATAACCCTGTGAAGAATGTTAGGCTAAGAGTGACTGACCCTTCTCCAGGTTCCCTGCAAGGGAGGCTCAAAAGATGGTGACAAGGGAAAGGGCCTTTTCAGTGGTGGCTCCTCACCTGTGGATTGCTCTCCCAGGTGAAGTTCACCTTCTGCCTTCACTGCTATCTTTTTTGGTGCTGGACTGATCTTTCCCTTCAGGCTTTTGGTGGACCAAACTGATTTTATTCTGCTGTTAGCATTCTGCCAGTGCTTCCTGTTACTGTTATAGTGTGTATATATGTCCATGAATTGTGTTTGTATGATGTTAAATGTTTCATTTGAATTTGTAATAGTATAATGTTATATACTGTATTGGGGAAGGGCCATAGTTCAATGGTAGATCATCTGTCTTGCATGCAGAAGGTCCACAGTTCAATCCTGAGTATCTCCAGATAGGTCTGGGAAAGATTCCCTGTACCAAACCCCAAGAAGCTGCTGCTAGTCAGTGTAGGCAATGCTGAACAAGACTCAGCAGACGACAGCTTTTTATTTAATTCAGCCTTTAATTCAGAACTGTAAGGACTAGAATCTTACTTTATCTTTAGAGGAAGGGGTGTAGTTCAGTGGTACAGCATCTGCTTTGCATGCAGGAGGTCCCAGGTTCAGCCCCCAGTGGCATCTACAGGTATGGCTGGGAAGGAATTCCTGCCTGGAAACCCCGATTTGGTGCTGCAAGATAATGAAGACAAATACTGAGCTAGTTAGACTCAGTATAAGTTAGCTTCTTATGTTTATGTTTTTAAATGGAGGGTGCTTAGAGACCTTGGCAATAACAAGTGAACAAACAAACAAACAAACAAACAAACAAACAATAAAGTTGCAGAACACATTGGTCTGGAGATCCCCCTACTTGCGAGATGCCTTAGAAACGGACTGCAAAACTGCAACCCTCATACTCCAAATGCAGGTTTTGCTCAGAGGCTAAGGGTTCACTGGGGTTTTATTTCCAGTCCTCTGCATTGCGCACGGGATTGCGCCCTTGGCCTCGGGAAGGGTGGCGGGGCCTTCTGTGGGGCGACTCCACGTGCACCGGCTCCACTTCCACGAGCGAAGCCTCCCGGGTCAGCCTGTGGTGCTTCTCCTCCCCAAGCCAAAGGGAGATTCCTCAGAGGCCCCGCCGCCCCGTGCGGTTCCTTTAAGAGTTGGCCTACGTGGCAGTGCTTCTCGCAGCGAGTGCAGCCACTTCCTGTGCAGCCTCGTTGCAATAAGAGCAGCAGCAGCAAGCTGCCAGCAGCCACCACAGGAGGGGTTGTCGGGGGTGTGTTTGAGTGAGCGGCTAGTCCGGTCTCCCAGGCGCTGAGCAGCACCCAACACATCCTGGAGCGAAACCCACTGCTCCCTTCGCCACTCCCGCAGCACTCACTTAGCCATGGGGCAGAACGATCTGATGAGCACCGCAGAGGATTTTGCAGACCAGGTGGGTGTGGATTCATTCCTCTTTCCTCGCCCCACTTTCTCTTGAAGCAGAGGAGGCCTTACTGCACACATGGGGTTTTGCAGATATTTCTGTAGCGTCCAGTCCCTTTCCTTCACGCGTCTTCTTTGTATTATATAGGAGAGAAGAAGATTTGCGGAGTGGGGGTGTTGGTATTTTGTGCCTGTTGTGTGTGTGCGCGCGCGCTGGGGGGGGGGGGGGAATTGGTCGTTGAGGATGCAATCTCGTTCCCAACATCATAGGATCCACCTCGGAGGGAATCGGGAGATCAGCCTTCCCCTCTCCCGAGTGCTTTGCACCCGCACAAATTTGAGGGGCGCGGCCCCATCTTTCAGTGATCTAATCTAAAATGACGGGGGAAGATTGCTTAAGAGTGTTCGCTTAATCAGTGTGGGATAAGTCTTACTTCCCCATCACAGACAGAATGAGAAACCAAAGCCATGTTAAGAGGGCCAGGGTTTTATCACTCGCCTCCTCAACCTCCTAAAGGTTTGCGTCTTGCGATAATTGGGGCTCAGATCACCTGTGAATAGACAGCCCTATCGAGTAGCTAATCAAGCTGAAATTCACCATTCCCCTTAAAGAGAACTCTGGATTATTATGGGACAGAAGACCACTTTCAGACATCATAGATTTTCCTCCCCACTGGCAATAATTTGCCTCTGAGATTAGAGGGATTCGCTTTAATGTTATGGGGTTGCCCGTTAGCGAAATGAAGGCGTGTCCTGTGCGTTTCTTTGCTATATTTATCCTATCCTTGAGGGAGGTAAGAGATTTGACAATTTCCAGAAAATGGTGAAGTAGATGTTGGAAAAGGGTGTTTATTTAACGTGGTCTATAAATGTGGGGGGGGGGGGGGGAGAGAAAGGGAAAGAAAATGTGAAAATAATGGAAGTTTCTCTACCCATGAGCTTCTGGAGTCTGGGAGTGCTATGTATCTAACCACCACCAGTATAATCTCTCTTTCCCTCTGTAGAATGTGTGAGTCATTTAATGTACCCTACCTTTGGAGTGGGGGCACAAAGAACTACCCCCCATACTTTATTTTATTTTACTTTACTTTAATTTAATTTTTAATTTAATTTAATTTAATTTAATTTAATTTAAAACACTTTCCACATTTGGGGATATGGAGATTTCCAAAGTAATGTAAAATCAGAAAAGGGGGTTTTCTCAGAGACCATGATCCTATCAAAATGCTGGACAAAGCATGAGGAAATTGATTGGTGTATTGGTAATATGCTGATCATTTGTGTTTTATATTTACATTTACCTATTATATTTGAGTAGTATTCAAGTTTACAAAAACCCCAAGTCTTTTCTTACTTTTATTTATTTATTTTTACTGATTTCTGTACTGGAGGCATCAGTACCTCTGTTTGGTACTCCAGATTAAATAGAGTGCTAACACAAACCAATCTTATCCTGCTGGTGTTTATTAGCCAGAAGAGCCAAATCTTCACCTTTCTCTGGATCAAAAGCGGAGAGGCTAAAAACTTTCCTCCCTATCCCCTGTGTTCATGAATGAATGGAATTCAAGCTTCCTTTCCTTTGCTCATGTGACATCTGGTTCCTTACTGCCCTTGTGTATATTTATTTTTAGCTTATGAGAAGGTAGAAAACTGCCCCAAACTATTCCTCTGGTTTCCTTTTTAAGAAGAAAATGACCAGGAGGTGTTAAAAGTTGTTTTAATTCTTTTGGTGTTAGGGGAAGAACAGTTGGTGACATATTCTGTTGTTCAGGTGTGTGGAAGGTAAAAGACACGTCTCTGCTTCCTACCTTTTGGACAAAGGAAAAGACAATCCAGTATTATCTCATAAGCCAGTGTCAACTGTTCCTGCCCTGGTACAGTTTATCTAACCACAGCCTGGCACTGTGATGGAAAACGTGTGAGACAGGCAACAGCTTAAGCTGTTTGATGTGTCTGGTGCCTCTTAAGTGAACCAGCAAGTGATGTTGGGGTGGGTGTGTTGCCTTTACAAAAAAGGTACATACATCCTGTGCTACTCCAGGGTATTTCCCCCCCCCTCTTAAATATAAAGCACTATAGAAATGAAACGAATAATAACAATTATTCTTTTCATTTCTATACTGCTGTATATTTAAGAAAATAAATAAATCTCAAAGCAGTTTACATCCTACATTATTATCTGCTTTCTTTGGTTTGGAGAAATGATAATATCCCTTGGTAAAAATATCCCTTGGTAACAAATACATTTAACTGCATGACCTTAATTTACCCTGGGTAAAAAAAAGAAAAAGGCATCTGAGACGGCAAGCATGGTAACAGTGACTTCTGTCACTTCTGCAGTAAGAGCTTTTATAATTTGATGATCGAGGGCCCTGGAGCTTAGCAGCTTGGCTGAACTTCTACACTACCCCAGCAAACAAAGTATGGGATGCTGTTGTGGTGCAGCAGTTAGACTGCCATACTAGGACCCAGGAGACAAGGGTTCCGATCCTCACTCAGGTATAAAGTGCACTGGGTGACCTTGGGCCAGTCACTTACTCTCAAGCTAACCTTCCTTACAGGGTTGTTAGGATAAAATGGAGAGGGGGAAAACAGTGTACACAACTGTGAGCTCCTTGGAGAAAAAGTGGGACAAATAACTAGACGTAGCATAGTGGCTGAGATGGCACATAGGAAACAGGAAACTGCTTTATACTGAGTCAGACCCTCATCTAACTCAGAATAGTCTATACCAGCGGTTCTCAACCTGTGGGTCCCCAGATGTTGTTGGACTACAACTCCCATCATCCCTGAGCTCTGGCCTTGCTAGCTAGGGGTGATGGGAGTTGTAGTTCAGCAACATCTGGGGACCCACAGGTTGAGAAAGGCTGGTCTATACTCACTGGCAGCAGCTCTCCAGGGTTTCAGGCAGGGAATCTCCCAACCCTACCTGGAGATACCTGGGATTGTGTCTGTGAGTGCAAAGCAGATGTCAGAATAATAGAATTATGGAGTTGGGAGGGACCCTGAGGGTCTTCTAGTCCAACCCCGTGCACTGCAGGTATGTTCTGCCACTGATCTATGAACCTTGATTAAGGAAGGCCCTGGCTCACCTTGAAGTTACGAAGTGTCAGATAATAGAAAGTACTTCTTCATGCAGCACGTAGTTGAACTATGGAACTTGTTCCCATAGGAGGCAGTGAGGGCCACCAACTTGGATGGTTTTAAAAGAGGATTGGACATAATTCATGGAGGAGAACGCTATCAATGGCTACTGGCCAGGATGGCTGCGCTCTGCCTCTGTGGTTTGAGGTGGTAATGCTTCTAAATACAAGTCGCTGTAAACCCCTGGAAGGAAGAGTGTTCTTGTGCTCGGAGCCTCCTTTCCGATTTCCATCAGGACATAGTTACCCGCTGTGAGAACATGATGCTGGGCTAGATAGGCCATTGACCTGATTCAGAAAGCTTTTCTTATGATCTTATGCAGGGGTCAGCAAACTTTTTCAGCAGGGGGCCGGTCCACTGTCCCTCAGACCTTGAGGGGGGCCGGACTATATTTTGAAAAAAATAATGAATGAATTCCTGGGCTCCACAAATAACCCAGAGATGCATTTTAAATAAAAGCACACATTCTACTCATGTAAAAACACGCTGATTCCCGGACCGTCTGTTAGAAGGTGATTGGGCCGGATCTGGCCCCCAGGCCTTAGTTTGCCTACTCATGATCTTATGTCTTTAGGCAAGCATATAAAAATCCTGAGTTAGCAGTAATAATGACCCCAGTTTTCTCAGCCCCCCCCCCCAATTCCCACACAGCTTCATTCTCCTTTAGCAAGCCCAGACAATTGCAGTGTCTTTCAGATGCTGCTAGACTACAACTCCCATCATCTCTGACTGAACTGGCTGGGGCTGATGGGATTTGGAATCCAACAACATCTGGACCCTAGAGGGCACCACAATGGCTACATCCCTTTTTAAACCTTCTACAGCCCAGTTTTGTTCTATCCCTAATCTTTGATTCATGATAAGTTCCCTGCACACGAGTTGCATCCTCCTAGCTTTGCTCAACAATTCTGCACCCATCCTCGCCCCTGACAGCTCCCCATCTGCTCACATTTATTCTTTATCTCAACTCCTTGCCTCTTCACCTTGATTATGCTCCAGGTGCCAATAATCTTTTTGTATGCTGCTACTCTGCAAAGTGCTGTGCATGTTAGTAATGATACATATTTTAAAAAACAGTCAGCATTCTTGCCTAGAAACCATTGTTCTATCTAGCTCAGAATTTCCTTCACTGGCTGGCAGCAGCTCTCCAGGGTTTCAGGCAGGAGACATTCCCAGCCCTGTCTGGGGATGCAGGGAAGTAAACCATTGTGCTTGCATTGTGCTTGCAAAGCAGATGCCCTACCTTCTAGCCTTGCCCCTTGCCAATAAAACCCCCACCTTAATATTGTCCTAGGAGCAGAGGTGCCTAGGTGAAACAGTATTTTTTAAAGCATTATCTAGGACCATAGGAAGCTGCTTTTATGGCAGGGCAGATCATTGGTCCATCTAGCTTAGTATTATCTACACTGACTTGCAAAGGATTTTCAGGGTTTCAGACAGGGCTCTCCCTGTTGAATGGTCTCTTTAAATTTGAAGGTTCATTATTGTTCCACAAGATGTATATTTCTTTAAAGGCCAGAGCAAATAGCATGACCTTATTTTACAGCTGTGAAGCAGTATAGCAGGTGCTGTTAAGTTGTGGTAATTAAGTTGTTAGGTAAAGAGCAGCATGTAGCTCTCTCAGTACCCTGGTGGATGGGTCATGCTTATTGATATATTGTAATTTAGTGTAAAAAGAGTTTTTGTTTTTGTTATTAAAACCTAGCAAAAGTTATTTTGCGTTTCTTGAATGTGTGGTCTCCCCAGCATGCTTTCTGCAGTGCAGCTAATCTGCAAATAGCCAACACTCTCAGTCTTACCTGGGGATGCCTGGGATTGAACCTTGGACCTTCTGCATGGAAAGCAGATGCTCTACCCTGAGTTGTGTCTCTTCCATGCTACTGGCAGGCTCATCAGCTGGATAGAAAAAGTCAAGATTTTTGTAATCCATAAAATGCAGGGTGACAATGTGGTCTCTCAAGTTTTGGTGGCAACCACAAAAGGCTAGCAACCACAGCCAGCATAAATTAGAGTATCCCATATCACAATGCTACCGGTGCAATCGTAGCAACTTGTTTCCCCTTCAGGGTGTTTTAGCTTATCACAACCATACTGGCATCACACAAATTAGAGCAGAAATGCCAGCCAATCCAAAAAATGATAGCTTGTAGAGTTGAATTTTCCATTCCTCCCCTTCCTTATCTAAAGAATCTTCAATTAAATCCCAGATTAGATGTTTTCAGGAGTTGCTTGTTACACAAACGCCAACTGTGCAAATATCTCTCCCCACATACATGCATATAACCTGCGGTACATTGCTGTACTCCCCCAAAGTTGAATGGTTTTGCTTTGTAGTTGCATAGGTGGTAATTGGCCCCTCTGCTGGGGTAAGGGACATGAAGAGGAAATTATCTGGAGAAGTTGGCAGAGAAATCAATTTAGCTGCAAAAACCTCAACAGCTGCTTTGCAATTAAATTGCAAAGTACTGTACTTGCAAAACACTTGAGGCTGCCTTTTGCAACTATGGCAGAAGTGCATCAGTTGCTCCTAGAGGTTATGGTTTGCGTATATTTAAAAAATGAATATCCACCTTGCAATTTCAAGAGGATCCAAACACGCCGTCACACACACCAGATAATTTTGCCAGTTTTGCACTCATTGGCTAGATCAACTGAAGGCAGGAATAGATTTGCATTTTACTAAACAATTCAAAAAATACTGCCTCCGTGCTTAAAAAAAATTCTCAAAATGAAGAACATTAAAAGCATCTTTTTCTTTTGAAATGAAAGCCAACAATTTAGGAAAGGAGTCTGGAAGATTCCTAAAGAGACCCATGGGGGGGCCGAACCCCTTGTGGTTATGGGCCCATGTGGCAATGAGAATTCCACTGGCAGAAATGCGAACTCTGTTCCCTGTGTCAGTCCTAGGTGTGGGGAACTTTTGGTCCTCCCGATATGGCTGAACTACAACTCCCATCATTCCTGGCCGTGCTAGTTGGGGCTCATGGGAGTGGTAGTCCAGTAACATCTGGAAAGCTAAGGTTTCCACATACCTGGTCTGTCTTCTCACCCAAAAGCAGCCCTGCCATTCCTCAATTTGTCCCCACAAGATGGGAAGAGCAGACTGTTGAAGACCAAGTAAGAAGCCTTACTTAGTTCAAATTCATATTTGAACTAAGACAGACACATCCTTATTTCACAGCTCTGCCAACTCACCATTTGAACATTAGACCAACAGAGTATGTGGCTAAGAAGATGTGAGTATTTAAAAAACAAAAAAAATCAGTGCAAAAAAAAGTTATTTTTAGTGAAAGTCATTTTGGGAAGGGCAAGAAAGATCTTCTCCTGGACAACTGGGCTTTCAGAATGTGTGTTTAAGAAACCTCATTTCGCAACTAGTGTAAACAAACTCATAGAAATAAACATGCAGATATACATATAAATGCACAGTTTCCTCTTTTTAATGGAAAGAAGCATCTGAGAATGCAGTCTTGTAAAACTGGGCAGAAGATGCAGATCCAAAACATCTGTTATCCCATATATACACAGTAGGTCCCTGCAGTGTACAGGAGAGCATAGTCAAGTTCCAAAGACCTCAGAAGCCTACTTCATAGTAATTCGCAGCAGATCTTTCAGTATGGATGTGTGGAACAGCATTCCCATCAAGACAACAACAGGTGCCCACTATCTGCACTTTTCTGGAAACAATGGAAACTTCTTGTTGTTCTGATAGGCTTTTCCAGCTTAATGGATAGGTTCTGTAATGTGTGTCTAAAGGTAAAGGCACCCCCTGACCGTTAGGTCCAGTCACGGGCGACTCTGGGCTTGCAGCGCTCATCTCGCTTTATAGGCCGAGGGAGCCAGCGTTTGTCTGCAGACAGCTTCCGGGGTCATGTGGCCAGCATGACTAAGTCGCTTCTGGCAAACCAGAACAGCACACGGAAACGCCGTTTACCTTCCCGCTGGAGCGATTCCTATTTATCTACTTGCACTTGATGTGCTTTCAAACTGCTAGGTTGGCAAGAGCTGGGACCGAACAACGGGAGCTCACCCCATTGCGGGGATTTGAACCGCTGACCTTCTGATCGGCAAGGCCTAGACTCTGTGGTTTAGACCACAGCGCCACCGGGTGTCTACTTCATATTATTTTTAAATTTATCTGTTGTTATTTTATGTGGTCCTTAAAACTGTTTTTCGCTGTGTTTATTGCACTGTGTACATTGCCTTGAGGCAATGTAGATAGCGAGATGATCACTAGCTAGCTAGATAGCTGTAGCTCAGTAATACAGCACCTGCTTTTCATGCAGAAGGTTCCAAGTTCAACCCCTGGCATTTCCATATAGGGCTAGGAGAGACCCCTGCCTAAAACCCTGGAGAGCTGCTGCCGGTCAGTGTAGACAGTACTGCGCTAGAGAGATGAACAGTCTCACTCGTCATAAGATGGTGACCTTTGCTACTAGCAATTGCCCTTTCTTTTCCCCAACAAGCCTCGTTTCCAGAGCTCAGCCCTGAAGAAAACTAGACCCAGTAGAAAATCTGAATTGAATGCAGCCAGGTGCTCTGTAATTGTTGTTTATTTTACCCTCTTTTCCATTACAAGGCTTGGCAGGCCATTCATGTAACCTCATTAGCAGCCAAGCTGTCTGCATAAAAGTCCTTCCCACTAATGGTTTAGCTTGAGAGAGAATAAGCTGCTGGTTTCCTCTCCAACATCTTTATATTCTTACCCTAGGTACTCTGTTCACAAGCTCAGTAGATCCATTAGTATAGAAACTACAGGAGAAAAACATGCTGCTTTTTATTATATACAGTATGGGATAATCTACCCACTCTCAGGGTTTTCCAAAACAAAACCATCCGCTTCACACACCTGTAGGAAGCTCTTCTATTTGGGTTATTTCTTTAGATCAGATAATCTCTATACCATTTTCTGACATTTAACCAGTTGCAACTATGTGAGCGTGAGGCAGGGGGAGGAGCTACAGCAGGGGTCAGCAAACTTTTTCAGCAGGGGGCCAGTCCACTGCCCCTCAGACCTTGTGGGGGGGGGCGGACTATATTTTTTGGGGAGGGGGAGAATGAACGAATTCCTATGCCCCACAAAAAACCCAGAGATGCATTTTAAATAAAAGGACACATTCTATTCATGTAAAAACACGCTGATTCCTGGACCCCCCGTGGGCCGGATTGAGAAAGTGATTGGGCCAGATCCGGCCCTCAGGCCTTAGTTTGCCAACCCATGAGCTGCAGGTTTTAAGCAACTGAGAAACAAGAAAGCCAAAAGCAACTACTATGTAAATCAAGGAACGTGCAGTCCTCCATATGCTGTTGGACTACAGCTCTCCTCAGCCCTAGCCAGGATAATGGGAGCTGTAGTCCAACAATGTCCAGAGGGCCACAGATTTCTCAATCCCTGATGTAAATGATCAGCATTAACAAGTGTGATCTGAAATCAGTAATTGCATGTCTCACTGTGTCTTCCTCCAGAGGTCTAGAACCATGTTGTAAATATTGAATTTAAGATGTTTAGGGTTCCAGGACAGTTTGCCAAACTTCTGTCCCAGTTTCAAATTTTGTTTATTTGCATCTAGTCACATCTAATCACCATCACAAGTGCAAGGGTTCAAAAAAACAAGGGAAAATATTCATCCACATAGTAACATGAGTTAACAAATAATTTCTTCATGAAAGGTGCCAGATTTCTTGTAAAATTCTTATCAGGGGAGGAATTGTGAAACTATGAAAAAGGCTATTCAATTTGAGTAAATATGTTCCATGCTTTTCTCCTTGTTTCTTCTTCCAGATTTCCTCGGTTAGTTCCACCCAAAAGTACAATTCTGTGTGTTAGTCATGTATGGTCTGTGAGCATGCCTGAATTTTTACTTACTGCTTTTGCATCTTGCTCTCTCTGTGTGTATAAGCAATCTCAGCACTTGCATTTTAACCTGGAGAGCTGCATAAATTCCTGCCTTGTTGCATGGTGGATATCAGGAGTTGGGGACGTCTGGTGATCACAGAATCATAGAATCGTAGAGATGGAAGGGACTCCCAAGGGTCATCTAATCCAACCCCCTGCAATGCAGGAAACTCAACTAAAGCATCCATGACAGATGGCTATCCAAACTCTGTTTAAAAGCATCCAATGAAGGAGAGTCCACAACTGCCTGAGGGATTCTGTTCCACTATTGAACTGCTCTTACTGTCAAATCTCCTTTCTTGTAACATGAAGCCATTGGTTCAAGTCCTACCCTCCAGAGCAGAAGAAAACAAGCTTGCTTCATCTTCCATGTCTCGGTCTCCTTTTCCCCAGGCTAAACACACCCAGCGCCTTCAACCGTTCCTCATAAGGCTTGGTTTCTAGATCCTTAATCATCTTGGTCACTCTCCTCTGCACACATTCCTACTTGTCAATATCCTTAAATCGTGGCGCCTAGAATTGGACACAGTATTCCAGGCACAATAGAGTGGTACTATTATTTCTGTTGATGCAGCCTAGAATAGCATTAGCTTTTTTTGCTGCTACATCACACTATTGACTCATGTTAAGCTTGTGGTCTACTAAGACCCCTATATCTTTTTCACATCTTTTTCACCAGGGGTCTTACATTTGTGCTGCTGGTTATTCATGCCCAAGTTTAGAATCTTGCTGTTGTCCCTATTTCATTTTCTTAGCTTGGGCCCAGTTTTCCAATCTGTTAAGGTCATTTTGAATTCCAATTCTGTCCTCTTTGGCATTAGCTATCCCTCCCAATTTGGTGTCATCTGCAGACCTGATGATCACCCCCTCAATTCCTTCATCTAAGTAATTTATAACAACGTTGAACAGAACCCTGCGGCACCCCACTTGTAACTTTTTTCCTGGATGACAAGGAACCATTAATGCACAGCTTTCCAAATTGTGTGTCATGACACATTAGTGTGTCGGCTGCAGTGTTTAGGTGTGTCACATGAACGCTTCCCATGCTGCTCCTGGGGCTAGTTCCCCTGATCCACCAAGTTTTTTAACTCCATCAGAAAAAGAAATGAGATTAGTCTGGCATGACTTGTTTTTGAGAAACCTGTGCTGGGTCTTAGTATTCACAACATTCTTTTCTAAGTGCTCACAGACCAACTGTTGAGTAATCTGTTCTAGAACCTTTCCTGGTATCAATGTCAAGCTCACCAGTCGGTAGATACCTGGATCTTATTTTCTTCCCTTTTCGGAAGACGGGGACAACATTTGTCCACCTCCAGTCTGCTGGGACCTCACATGCTTTCTAAGAGATCATAGGCAGAGGTTCTGGGATTACACCGCAAGCTCCTTTAGTACCCTTGGGTGCAGCTTATCAGGCCCTGGAGGTTTGAAATCAACTAGCTAGGTATTCCCTTACCATCTCTTCCTATCTTGGTCTGCAGCTCCCTCCTTACATCATTAATCTGTTATTGCTTTCCTTTTGTGCAAAGACAGAGGCAAAGTAGTTGTTGAGCAGTTCCACCTTCTCTCTGTCACCCAATAGCATTTTTCTGTCTTCTCCACATAGAGGACCTACCACTCGCTTGTTGTTCCTCTTGCTTCAAACACAGGTGAAGAAACATGTCCATCTTAAATCTCAGTTCATCTGTAAGCTCCTTATGCAGCAACTCTGGTTTGTTTAGATACCTCCCACTTTTCTTTCTTGTCTGCATTTGGTCCTTCAGTATTTTGCCCTTAAGAAGCTCCCATCCATCTTGGGCTCCCTTCTCGTCAGATGTTTCTGACCATGGGATCTCACCCAGTAGCACTTTAAGCTTTTTGAAATTGGCAAGTCCAGTGTGCCTGTCCGAACTAAGCTCACCTTTCCCTTGCCTCTGTATCATGAACCTAGGAGGAGAGGACACGATCACTTCCTCCCAAGTTTCCAAGTACTTCCACTTTGTCAGTCAGTTCCTCCTTGTTGGTGAGGACCAGGCCTGCAAACAATCAAGCCTCCAAACAGCTCGGACAAACTACCAGCTTTAATCCAAAAGAAACAAGCTGATTCTCTTCAGTCTCCTCCACCAATCCTTGCAAACACCCCTGTTTACGAGTCCTGTTCACGAGCTCCCGGTTGTGAGCTCCCAGAAGTTACTTGCCTGGCATTATTCACACTGTAGTTTTCATCTGCCCCAGCTTGCTGGTTGGTTGTCCCGTAACCATGCTCAACAAACAGCATGAAGACTTATTTTTATCTGCTTACTTCCTGTGAAGGGTGCATTTACCCAGTCATCAGAAACGAGTGTGGCAAGCCTTTCCTGGTATAAATAAATGTAGGAGTGTGTGTGCATGTATTGCTGCTTGAATCCAGAAAGCTAGCCTATTGGGGGAAATGCTAGGCTGAAGCTTTTATCCTGACTTGCTTTTTTTCTATGTGCCAGGAAGGGTGGGTTTTTTGGGGGGGCGGGGAGCTGGAAAACCTCTTTTTTGTAACCATTTCTTAAATTGCTTTGTCCAATATAAAGAGGAACAAGTAAATGTACAAAACCATAACAAGATAAAACAAATCCAAAAAAGATAACGAAACAACGTACAGTGGTACCTCAGCTTAAGTACTTAATTCGTTCCGGAGGTCTGATCTTAACTTGAAACTATTCTTAACCTGAGGTACCACTTTAGCTAATGGGGCCTCCTGCTGCTGCCACCGCGCGATTTCTGTTCTCACCCCGAAGCAAAGTTCTTAACCCGAGGTACTATTTCTGGGTTAGTGGAATCTGTAACCTGAAGCGTCTGTAACCCGAGGTACCACTGTAATAGGGTTTCTGGCACCCTGCTTACATTAATAAAAGGGCAGCTAAAGAATACTATAGAACAGGAATGAGGAGAATCCTGTGGCCTGCCAGATATTGCAGGAATTCCAATACCCATTAGTTCTGACCATTGACCCTACTGGCTGGGGCTTAGGTGAGGGGGGAGCCCAGCAATGTCTGGAGAGCCACAGTTTCTATACCCCTGCTATATAAAGTTGCCTGAATTGAGAGATCCTTCAAACTTGGGGTAAGAAGCTAAGCTGCCTCCCTGAACAGTTACAGACAAACCATTTTGCAGCACCATCTGAACATGGAGTGGCAAAAGTCTCCATAACTCTTGGTCTCAAGATGCCCCAGGGCAAAAGGACTCACACCAGGAAATTTTGGCTGTTCACAGAAATTTTGTGGTGGTAGTGAAGCAAAGGCAAGGATTCGCAGGTAAGTGGGCATAGGATTGCAATCTATATTATACATTCTGGGGAGAGAGCGGGCAGAGAATCCATTCTTTCTCTCCTAGTGCTAGAGCTCAAAGTCATCTAATTGAACTGATTGGTTTGGCAGTAGATCCAGGATGAGCAAAAGGAAGTACTTTACACTGTGTGTACATTTAAATTATGGAGTACACTGAAGAGGGCCACTAGCTTAAAATTAGCTTTAAAAAAGAAATCATGGAGAATTTGGTCTGTTAAAAGGCTCTGGCTAAATAGACTTATCTCTGAGCCTTTTGGCTCATAAATGGTCAGTACTGGAGTAAACGAGGCATCTTTGGAGCATCTAGGGCTGGCAATTGAGAACCAGTGTGTTATAATGGTTAAGAGCGCTGGATGAGTACCTGGGAGACGGGTTCAGATCCCTACTTGGCCATGAAGCTCACTGTGTGAGCTGTGGGCCATTCACTACCTCTCAGCCTTGGCTATCTCGCAGAGCTGTTTTGAGGATTAAATGAGGAAATGATAGATATAGATAGATAGATAGATAGATAGATAAATGCATTATGAGAAACAAGGTGGTTGATTAGCAAATCCTTTAGTGTGACCTTATACTATAGCTCTGGGATTAGACTGCCTACAGTGGCCTTCACTAACCTGGTGCTATCTTGGTTGGTTTGTGTGTGTGTTTTGGAATACAACTCCCATCAGCTGCAGGCAGCATTGCTGATAGTTGGGCATGATAGAAGATGTAGTCCCATAAAATCTGGGGAGTTTTCAAAGGCTGGTTCATTGCAAGTCCCCCCCTCCCATCCAGTTTTGATTAGCCATGGTCTCTGTACAGTCACACAATTGGAGACATTTTCAAGCTAGATGCATTTGGCATGTGCCCCATTTCCACCCTTTATGTAACGTGCGTCAAGGGGCATGGCTCCTGCATCCCACTCAGTTTGCAGTTGCCTCAGAGGGAACTTGCTCTGGCTAGAATCTCCTGGTGGGTCAACCTTACCACCCAAGATACAAATTTGGTTTGTTTACGTTTAAGTGATGAGAAGGCATTCCCCAAGCCAAACACTTGGAAGTGCCCTTAAGGACATTAGGAAAAGCTTTGCTGGATAAGATCAAAGGCCTATGTAGTCCAACATGTTCTTACTATGGCCAACCAGAGGCCCATTAAGGGAAGCCTGAAAGCAGAACCTGAATCTTTCCCTCTCACGATTCCCAGCAACAAGTATTGAGGTGTGCTACCTCTGACACCAGAGGGAGAACACAGCTGTGCTTTGAGGGGAAAGCCATCCCTATCCAGGTAGGAAACCAGGCGGTCCCTGCTTCCTGCCCATTCTTCTCACCTGTGTTTCTTTCCCCTGGCAGTTCTTGCGAGTGACAAAACAGTACCTCCCGCATGTGGCCCGCCTCTGCTTGATCAGCACGTTCCTTGAAGATGGCATCCGCATGTGGTTCCAGTGGAGCGAGCAGAGGGACTACATTGATGCCACATGGAACTGTGGGTACTTCCTGGCCTCCATCTTTGTCTTCATTAACCTTTTTGGACAGCTAAGTAAGTGGCACAATATTGAGATCCATGTACGCTTGTTGTTAAATGGAGATTCTGGTTCCTGGACCAAGGGACCCATAAATTCTCTGCTTGGACTACAGCTGCCCAGTCTATAATAGTGGCATGTCCTCTACAAGATCACAACCCTTAAGAGCATTCACAGTCCCCTTCCCCACCCCACCCCTTTATGCCAGATGACAGGTTTTGAAGCTGCCCTCACTCCTCTTAAAACTAGGGGTGGGGAAGTGGATACATCCGGCAGGCCGAATCCTTATCACCCCTCCCCAAATTTGACAATTATGCCTAGTGGTGAGGTGCTTTGAAGCCCCATGAATCAGCTGATCTGCAGGGCTTCAAAGCACCATTTGGGGCTCTTGGTAAGGGACTGGCTGCAAAGAGCCCTGCGCTGTGCTTTGAAGCTCCACAGATCAGCTGATCAGCAGCACTTAAGGAGACCCTTCTGGCCAACCCAGCTCGTTTTTTTACCCTCCTGCTAACAACACACATGGTATCAAGTGATTGGAAGGTGGGCCAAGTTAAGCCCTTGGACTAGAGGTTCCCCACCCTCTTTAGTGATAGCAGCCCCAGGCATCATTCAGTCAGACTGTGGGCAGCCTTTCCAGGTTCCTCCTATAAATACAGGTAGTGGCCATTTTGCGGGTGGGGGTGGGTTCCGTTCCTGGCACCTGCATGCATCGGCAGAGCATTCATAAGCACGCTGCACCCCATTACACCCCCACACCCGTTCTGGCCTCTTCCGCGTCCAAAATGACTTGTACATCAGCAATCGTGCATCAATTACGCATGCCTAAAATGGTTGCCACCTCTACAAGTCAACCATCCTTACATTCTCCTGCAGAGTCATTTTCATTCTTCTTCACCCATTCTCTTCTCTTAACCCCCGGTGGCTTATAAAGCAGAAATAACCACTCACAGGCCTCTCATTTTCCAATCCTGCAGCAGTACACCATGGCTTGATGCCCAACAGCTCATGTAGGTGAGCTTTGGAGTATTTCCTCAGTTGTGAATTGCAGTGACAATTGCTTAATATACTCTTGGCTTAATATACTGTAGACGAGCAGTGGGGAATCTCCACTCCGTGGACCTGATTTCAGCCAACCCATGCCCAACAGCCCTGCACCTGACTGTATATGACAGCTGATCATCAGTGCATGCCAAGCCCTGGACCTTTGCCTATGCGCTTTGTTTTTGTCTCTCTTTTGGCTCCCATGTCTGTCAGCACTCGGTCCCCTGAGTTTGCTTTTAGTGGGAAAGGAAAACGGGTCAGCTGATTTCATGGCCATGTCACATGGTTGACAGGCAGGTGATCTGGTGGCTGCTGGACTAGTGCTTAAAAACAAGGCTGCCTTTAAAGAGATTGATGTTGCTAAAGTTTGAGCAATGAAGGCTATGGTTCAAGAGACAAGCCAGCAAGAAAGGTTTGCAGGCGAGTCAAGGATTTAAAAGATATGAGGGTCAACAGAACCTTAGCAAGGGGGACATGATTCACTAATGCTGTTGACTTGGCTATTTCTTCTCTTCCGCCTCCTTTCCTAGGTGGCTGCATCCTAGTGCTGAGTAGGAACTTTGTTCAGTATGCCTGCTTTGGATTATTTGGCATTATAGCACTCCAGGTAAGGAAATCAATCCCAACTCTTAATTGCACAACACTGAAAAATCGTGCCTATTCACACTTGCGCCTCCTGGCTCTGAAGCTGGAGGTTCCATTGCCCCGCAAGCGCCCCTCCAGTAGCAAACTAGGGTGTCTGAGTGCTGACGGGCTCGAAGTCAAAACAAGAGGCGTGGTCGCATTAGCCCTGAGTTATGTAGAAGTGAAAAAACAACAACACGTCTTGTTTTCTCAAAGAAAACCACAAGGGGGGGGGGCAAACAGAAATTTAAAAACAGCCCCATGTCCAGCAGTGTAACGTTCAGTACTTCAGGCGGAATCTGCACACTCCCCTTGAGCCCTGAATTATGATGGCTATGCTCTGCCTCACAGCCAGAAGCAACACTGCAGTTGCTGTGGGGAGAATGCTCTTGTGCTTGGGTCCTGCTAGTGTGGCATCTGGGCAGCCACCGTGAGAACATGATGCTGAACTAAATGAGCTGTTGACATGATCCAACAGACTCATGTTATGATCTTATCTTATGAGATAGCTGCTGCAAAGTTCTTGGGAGCAGGGAAGTAAAATAAATTTGAAATGGGTACCCTCCTCTTCTAAGTCATTCACATGTTTGCAAAATATATTAGCAGTAAGGCTGTAAAGCATTTGTTTTTCTTTAGCAAAAAAGTGCTACCCCATTTTCACTCTCATACCCCTTGCTTGTCCAAAGAACCCATCTTATTTACACAGTGACATTAATGTGCATAGATCTTTGCAGAGAAAGCATAAGTGAACGTAACAGATCCTTGGTCCCAAGGAGTTTGTGTGCTAAATAGGGGACAGAAAAAGAGTGTGGGAGAGGGAAGGTAGAAGAAGCAATGAAAGTGAGCATCAGCAGATAGATGCCAAGCTTCTTTTTGGAGTATTTAGCTGCTTCAACCTCAAGATCAAAAGGAAAAGGTGGTTTTAAGCAAAGGGTTCAATCGTGTCTGGTTGTTTCCTCCTAGACAATTGCATACAGCATTTTATGGGATCTGAAGTTTTTGATGAGGTATGTCTCATTCTCTTTTATCTCGTTTTACTAGTTCTTGCCTATTTAATCTTAGTTTCATTTATCATTCACTTCTAACCAGCCAGCATTGAGGAAAATGATTATAGCGTCCCTTACGCATTTTGCTTGTCAAGGTTGCTTTTGAATGTTTCTTAACGTTTTATGATCATTGCTATCATCCGTTACCTGCCTTTCACTCTTAAGGCCTCAGTTTGGCGACAACAATCAAATCGCAAGGTTAAAAACTGTTTACAACTTACAATCACAGAAATAAGGTGGATCCCAAAAGATATATACATCTCAGGTGTCAAAATGTAAGCCACTTTCACTCTTGGGACTTGTCACTCAAAAACTCCAGAGGCAACCAGCATATAACCTTTAAGCATCTTAAGACTTGTAACAGCATATTTGATTGTGTAATTTTTGTTGGTGCACAAGCCCTTTGTGAATCTTGTCACACCTGATGTAGGTATTCAGGTGTGTGTGTTTTGGACTAACTATATTTCGCCATCTACAGGAACCTTGCTCTGGGGGGTGGTCTGCTGCTGCTGTTGGCTGAATCACGGTCAGAGGGGAAGAGCATGTTCGCCGGAGTCCCCACCATGCGGGAAAGTTCCCCTAAGCAGTACATGCAGCTGGGCGGACGAGTGCTGCTGGTCCTCATGTTTATGACGCTGCTGCATTTTGATGCTAGCTTCTTTTCGGTAAGTGGCCCAAACATTGCAAATAATTTGTTTTTATTTAGGAGGAGAGGTATTTTTGTATGGGATTTGCCTCCTCCTCCTCCAGCTCCTCCTATTCCCAGCACTGGTAGGTGCCTATTGATCCTGGTAGGGTGGAAAGCAGGGAGGCCAATGTCAGGCGGAGCCAGAGCAAGGGAGGGCAGGCAGAGTCAACCGATTATAGTTTTCTCCTCACCCTCCTTCCTAATGAGATGCTATTGTTATTTATTGTATGCATTGGCCATATTTTTTGCACTCAGCTGCCTCAAAGCAAGTCATACAGTAAAAATAAAATAGCAAAGACATTAATATCAGATTTTAAAACAGCAATAGGTAACTAAAATAATGTATTTACAAGGAATGTGTCCTTCCACTGCGTGTAAAGGATAAGCCCAAGAAAGGTTTTAACCCTCCCAGTTAAAAACCATAAGCCTGGATAAACATGACAGTGATGGCGCCAGGTCTGCTTCCTGGGTGGGTGGGTGTGAGCATGTGTGAGCATTCCGCCACTGAAAGTGCCTGTTGTCAAAGACCAGGGAGGCTAAGGAGGAGGAGGCTGACAGTCAGGGCTGCCTCCCCCTAGAATGGTGGCAATTCCTAAGGCCAGCAGGTGGGGCCTGGCTGAGGGGAGGTTGAGTTAGGTGGGGTAAGATGCCCTCTTCTCCCTTACACCAGCCTCTGCTGAATTCTACTTTTCTCTGTCCCATCTTCTCCCATAGATCCTCCAGAACATTGTGGGCACAGCCTTGATCATCCTTGTGGCTGTCGGCTTCAAGACGAAACTGGCCGCCTTGACCTTGGTCATCTGGCTCTTTGCCATCAACATCTACTTCAACGCCTTCTGGACCATCCCAGTCTACAAACCCATGCATGACTTCCTCAAGTACGACTTCTTCCAGACCATGTCCGTCATTGGAGGCCTCCTGCTGGTGGTGGCCCTTGGGCCTGGTGGCGTGTCTATGGATGAGAAGAAAAAAGAATGGTAGAAATAGGAGGGGCAGGGAAAACACATCATCTCGGTGTCTGGGGACTGACTTTTTCAACATGGGTTCCGTGGGGGAATAAAACCAAACTGCCAGCATCTTATGTATGTGCCCAACAATCCCTTTAAAGGGCACACTTTTTTTTTTATAGAATTCATGAAGGCACTGATAATCTGATAACTAGAGCATTCTTCATCAAGGAATGTTTTTTTTTTTTTGCCTCGAAATACTGTTCTGCTTTCTTTTGTAATCTCCAGAAATTGAAACATATAGAAGCTGGCTTGCCAAGCACCATGTGGGCACTGTATTTGCCGCCTTTAAGTTTCCTTAATGGTTTTCTAAGACACATTTTTTTAAAAAACGAAACAAACTACTGTGATCCGATATTCCTGTTTGTATACTTTTGGTGTCAAGGTGTTCCCCACGTCTTCTTTTTTGCGTTCTTGTTGTAATTAAAGAAGTCGCCTCCCAGATTGAGCCGTGACCATCTGAGCGATAGATCTAGCGCACCTTTTGTATTATGGGAAAGGGATTTTTCTGCTTTGAAACAAGCCAACCCATCACAGTATTACAACAGCTAGAGAGAGGACCATCTCTTGAAACAGAGGCAGGAGAAAATATGTGCAGCAGCTGGGTCCCTCCCAGCAAAAAGCTTATTCACTACTATGTTGTAGCAAAAAGAAGTGGGTGGGTGGGTGGTTGGGGACAGTGTGTTTGGGTTTCATGAACAATTGTTTCAGGCGGGGCAATCAGAACAAAGTCCATTGGCAATTCAGATTTCTGAAATCCATCTTCACCTATAGCCATTCTTGTTACTTTGTTGGAAATTTGCATACATTATAAATTTTGGAGCAGTGTCCCATATTCTGTAGATTTATGCAGTTGCTATTTGGGGGCAGTAAAAATCTGACCCAAATGAGCCTGTGTACCTGAAGAACAATCTTGCTGTATTACACCAAAGACCCATCTGACAGACACTCAGAAGATGCCAGAAGAATGATGGAACCTGTGACACACTAGATACTGTTCTGCTACAGTTCACTCACCACTGTCCATGCTTGGCAGGGGAAGATGTGAGTTAGGTGTCTATTAAGATATGGAGAACAGTAGGTTCCCTGTGGCTATATTACGGTATGTCACAAACAGGCAGGTAGCTGTTGGTATCTAGTATTCAGAGGTAAAATGCTTCTGTCTGTGAAGGTCTGTGAAGGCAACAAATTGGAATCTAGACAGTTATCTAGTTGTACTTGCCTTATTTTGTGGCACTGATTTCCACCAAATTATTTATAGGTTTGGTGAAAAGCCTCCATTTAATGTAGCCCTCATCTATCCACAGCCGCCTTCATGGGTGAGACGAACCGTCTACGTTTAGGGTTTTTTGTTTTTGTTTACATTTTTTAGCCCTCTGAAGGGCTACGGCAGTGCGAATGAAAATCCAGCTAGCTACTCTGTGCTAAAACCTCAAAATCCTTTGAAGAAAGGTCCTTGTCAAATTTTTCATCTTGCCCAGTAGATTTCTTCCATTCATCCACCAATAAATATATTTTGCAATACCCCAGAATTTGCACCTGGAATAATAATAATAAAGAGGTCAAATTCACAGGTATTTATATTGTGTAACCTAAGAGGATTCAAGCATTTTTTAAAGGCAGAAACTTAGCATTTGCCCATCTGTCCAAGGGGGAGTTATGGACACTTGTGTTCCAGAGGAAAGAATCTCTAATGCACCACCATTATTTTGGCTGGTTGTGGAAGATACAAAATGAAAAGTAAGGGAACCTCCTGGTTTAAATCTACAGAGTCTTCCTGCTTTCACCTTCACTTCTTCAGAAGGGGAACTGCAAAGCCAGCCTGACTCTCCCATATGATGAGCCTCCTTGTTCAGTCCAATGGCCCCCCATCTAGTCCAGCATCCTGTTCTCAGTGACCAACTGGATCCATTTGGGGGTGGGAAATCTTAGTTGTACAAGTATAGAGATCTATAGAGATCTGTAGAGATCTAACTGATGAGGAACCTGTGGCCCTGGCTCTGGTCATTAAGACTACAACCTGACCATTGGCCATGCCGACTTAAGGTTACCAGATTTTTTTCAATGAATCCGGGGACACTTCAACTTCAATGGATTTTGTAGGGGGACTGATTTGTAAATCTGGGGACTGTTCCCGGGAAATGGGGACGTCTGGTAAGCTTAATGCAGACTGTTGTTGGAGTACAGCAGCAACTGGAGGACCATGGGCTATCGCCATCCATCATAAAGATTAGAGCAGCCTATACTTTATTAACAGACACTGCCCAGATCCCCCTCAACCCTGGACCCTGCCCCAAATACCTTGAGATTAACAAGAAAAAGGCAATTTTTGAGTGAAGGAAGTGCTACACTGAAGGCCGGCAACACTGGTTGTGCCTTCATAGCAAGACTGAAAGGGATCTTGCAACAAGGACCATTCTGTATTCAGTGGTGTCTAGTTCAGATGATGCATTCCTAGTCCAACAAACTGTTTGCTGGGTCAGGGATGAATTGGGAGAGCACTTTCCTCATCTCACACACCTCAAAGGCTGAAATTCTAGCTCCCACTAACCTGGTTATAAACCCAGTGAATTTATTATGACTTCCTGCTGAGCAGAAAGTTAGCATTGTGCTGTAAACCCTGATTCCTATGTTAGAGCCTGGGAGGTGCAGATTAGGTTAGAATCCCCAAAGATCAAATTCTGTTGTTTTTAAATGCAAGAACATGTGCAAATATCAAACTGTAATAATCAGGCCTATAGTTACTATCCCACGGTTATAGCTTCTTTGGCGATCACTTGTAGCCAAGTAAGATTGTATTCCATAAACACAGTTTTAAGAGTGAGTCAATAAGTGACTGTGGAGGCCAATTCTGGATCCACCCGTCCGTCCACAGTGGGGACATTGGCTTCTGGGCGGGAGTTGATCATGTGAGGGTTTGCCAAGCATGCCTTCCTCTTAGCACGTTTCTCCCTTGTGTCCTGAGTTTGAGTGTCTTCAAAGCCCATGACACCTTTGGTAAAGGCTTTTATCCAGTTGGAGCTTAGCGGGCCAGTGTTTCCTCCCCCACAGGTGACCAGGTAGGGAACTGTTAGCAGTTTTGGCCCTTTAAAAAACAAACAGCAAATGCAGGCAAGCATGTCAGAAAAACATTGTAAATGAGAAACTTAGAAGGTTCGTACAAGGTTACATAAAGTACAATGGCATTGTTTCTTCCACACCCCCCCCCTAAAGATCAGAATTAGACCTAAAGCAAAATACTGTACACATCCAGAAAAAAACCCAGACTTCCTTTTCCAGCCTCCTTGCAACACACAATCTGTGTTTATGGTGTAACAAATGTCTACTTCCCACTGATGTCTCCCAAAGCTTTGAGTCTCTGATTTCAACTTTTGATATCAACCTCTTGCCCAGGCCTGCTTGTTTCTGGAAGAGAAAAATAATTCCATGTGTAGAAATTTGTCTTTAAACAAAACAAGAGCTTCTAGACCTCATAATGGCGAGACATCTTTAAAAGGGACAGGACTGTAGTTAAAGGGTGCTGGGAATTATAGCTCTGTGAGAGGGAAACAACAGTTCCCACAATCCTTTGGTGGGGTGGGGAGTCTTAAATGTATGGTGACTTAAATGCATGGTGTATTTGGAGCCTGGTTTTTAACCCATTTCTGTTTGGTGGTGGTAAGATTTGCTTCATTTTAATGCTCCCTTTTGCTTGATCGTGAAGCAATTCCCCCCCAAAGCAGCAAAGAAGCCTTTCATATAAATCATTAAGATGTCCAATGTTATAAGAAAAAAAATACTACTCCTTTTCCCTTATGGGTTATCCAAGAGCCCGTATAGAGTCCTTAAGTGGGTTCCCTATCAGTAGGAGAAAATAACAGAGGCCAACCAGAATATATTAAGAAGCAAAGCGGCTAGTAAGCCTGATCTTTATTAAAGGAAATAAACTGTTGCAACAGGATCCCCGCTCACCACATGCAGGAGGGAGGAGGACTCTGAACAATGGTGCGCAAACCCTTATGTAGACCCTTGAAATTGCCCACCCTGTTGCCCAAGACCACCCCCCTAAAACATACATACATCACAGGAGGCAGTGGTCTACAGCAGAAATCCTGTCTGTCGGGATACTTGATAATGGTCACTGATTGCATTACCAGTGCAATCTGGCTATTCTTTTGTGATGGTTAATAATGGTTCCTGAATCCAGGTCACAGGCTCACCTGATTCATACACAAATACACTCTTTAAGAGAGGATTTGCAAGCAAAAGACAATGGGAAGGCTTTCCCCACATGCCTCCCTTACTGCAGAGGAATATTTGAGGTCAATGTGGGAGAATCAAAATGGCTTCAGGATTGTTCTCCCATACTATTTCAGACACATGGTTCATATATTTAGATATGTGTGCATTTAAGAATATTCTATATTTGAGACCTTAAAATTCTTAAACAAGGTTGTGACTCCATTTCGGGGACTCCAGAGCTTGTGCCCAGAGCTGGTGTTGCTAGTAAAATATGACACCCTCCTCCACACACAACATTCCTGGTTCTAGTGAGAAGGGTGTGCAAAGTGACAGAAATTGCATTTGCACTCACCCTAAAGAATGCTGAGAACTCTAGTTTGTTATGAGTGCTGGGGATTGATTATATGTAAATCACAGTTCCTAGGCTTCCTGGGTGAAGCTTTGTACTTTAAATTATGATTCTTAATATCATCATACCCATCTGTGATTTATTAATTGCTTTCTAAACAACTGTCTCAAGGTGATATACACATGAGATAATTAAAAACGGCAGATACATTTAAAACAGGTCTAAAAACCCAACGTAGACAGTGGTGGTAAAAGACCAATTTATGCAGCTGGGAAAACCTGTGGGAACCAAAATGCTGCTTTGGAAAAGTACAGTGAGTGATTTCCTGCTCTATCTCAAAGAGGAATGCTATTCCTCAGAACAGGGAAAGCCACGCTGAAGACACTGTTCCAAGTTACTGGGGAGCAGGATTCTCATATCTTTGGAGTTTGCAGGAGAAACTCTGCAGGAGATGGCAGTGTATAAAGGATAATGCAGCTGCGAGGTTACGCATGTATGGACAACTGTGTTCAGGCTATCCCTATCCAGGGATATTTGCTTTATATGTATGGTGTGTATGCAGCCTTACTTCAGCGCCAGCAATGGGATATCATCAGAGCACCTGGAAGCACCAGGCTTACTTAGGGTGCTCAGATCAGACTGCATGTCACTCACAGCTATGTCCTACATAGGAACATCATAAGAGCTCTGCCAATGGCCCATCTAGTCCAGCATCCTGTTCTCACAGTGGCCAACCAGATGCCTGTGGGAAGGATCTGAGCACAAGAACCCGCTCCTCTCCTGTGCTTTGCAACAACTGGTATTTAGAAGTATGACATGCATAATTTTGTGAACTATCCTTGTCACCTCTAACTCAACTTTTTGTATACTAAAATGCTATTTTTATTTTATTAAAAATAATAAAATAAAATAAATAGCTGCCCACCCTTTCCAACTGCCTCCTGCGGTGCTTGCCCCATCCTGCCTAATGCTAGGGCTGGTCTGAAGACACCACATGTCCCCCAAAATGCAAACGAGGGGATATGGTTCATGCCCTCTTTTGCCAGTGAACACACTTCCTCCACACACACCTCCAACTGGGCTGAATTCATTCCAGAGGTCTGTTCTTAACCTGAAACTGTTCTTAACCTGAAGCACCACCTTAGCTAATGGGGCCTCCTGCTGCTGCCGTGCCGCAGGAGCACGATTTCTGTGCTCATCCTGAAGCAAAGTACTTAACCTGAATAACTATTTCATGGTTAGCGGAGTCTGTAACCTGAAGCGTATGTAACCTGAGGTACCACTGTACAGGGAAAGTTGCTCCCAGTTCTTCCAAAGGCTGCTGTCAGCTATGGAAGTCCCTTCAAAAATGGTTGTGTGCTGCAATGAATCTCTCCACTAGATGGCAGAAGTGGAGCATTGCTGAATGAAGTTGATTTACCTACTTAACAGGATCCTTTTAAAAAAAACCAAAAACAAAATAAATTGTATGATTATTTTTCTTAAGAGAAAAGCTAGGTTATCAAAGAAGGAGCTCAGGGGAGTTTGTACAAAGTAGGAGGACAGTAGTTGGACATTTGCCTAGTTAAACCTCCTTTTGTACCGGATGGGTTTATTACATGGGGTGAGTGGCCTGAACCTAACACCAGCCTAGAAGATTTTTGTAGGATGTTCATAGCTCATGATGGGTCTTATTTCTAAGAACGAAGGCAAAACCAGAGGCTAGACACATGTGATGACGCAGACCTGCAGGTAACAATATGGGTTAATGTTATCAATGCCTATTAGCTATGATAGCTATATTCTATAAAGGTAAAGGTAAAGGGACCCCTGACCATTAGGTCCAGTCGTGGCCGACTCTGGGGTTGCGGTGCTCATCTCGCTTTACTGGCCAAGGGAGCCGGCGTACAGCTTCTGGGTCATGTGGCCGGCATGACTAACCCACTTCTGGCGAACCAGAGCAGCTCACGGAAACGCCATTTACCTTCCCGCCAGAGCGGTACCTATTTATCTACTTGCAC